GTATACCTTCACGTCCGTGGACTGGACGGGTTGGTTATATTCTCTTGCCTGATGGCATTAATTTTCGCGTCAAATTATTCCTGCTCTTCAATCTCAAATTCTGCCGCAACACTAATTTTTTTTGTGGACGGCGCCAATTAGCTTTCGCCTCGGGTCACCGCACTTTGAGGCTTACCTGCACCAGCGCGGAATCGAACCGCCACCGGTACTCTGTCCGCGACGTCAAGAACGTCGCCCTACCAACTACTCCACAGGGACGCCTAAGTCCTGCCGCAACACTAAGGCACTGGCGCTCACACTGAGCCGGACTGCAAGTCACCGTCAATCCGTGGGTCCATGCATAAGCATGATGCCAAAAATATCGCCTTTGTCATGAATCCAGAGAGGGCAAAAAGCAACGGTCGCCCATGTCCAGGTCAGTGCAAACTGACAAGGCACAGTGCAACTGCCAGTGCCGGCACTTGGCAAGTGCACTTGAAAATAGTGTCATGCAGTGGTGCAGTGTTGATATTGGGCACACGAGGTAGTAGTGATCAGCAGCGTATTGTTCAGGCACCTGCAGAGTGTCATCGTCTCTCACAGGTGCACGCAGCACAATGCCAACCAATAGGCAAATAACTGTTGCAGGCAAACTAGCAGCATTCCAACAATCACACCCAGGCCCACTGCTCAGCTGATGGCCAGCAGGCACAGTCCAGACAAGAGGAGCAAAAATAAAAGGTCCCAAAACACACGACACAAAGAGAAACGGAAAAAGCGAATTCAGGCCAAAAAGGGTGGTGAAATTGTCAAAATACCTGCTTGGGTCACCACATTCCTCAAGTCTGAATTTGTCTCTCCCCCTCACTGGGGGGTTGCAGCGAGCAGACCTACTAACCCTTTTTTTTACCGTCCAACGCCTCTTGGCTTTCGCCAGGTCGTTCAACACGTGCAGTTGCATGTTGCTTAGAAACAGTAAATTAGCGAATTATTGCATACACATAGCCGCCTTCTGGTTGGGGGCCACAAAAGTGAACTGGTATTGGACCTGTACATAGTCCAGCAGCCGTCACGATTCCATTGCAACAACACAGCAAACAAAAAGACAACACACAAAGCAACAGACCAAACGCGAGCAGACCTACTAACCCTGTATTGAGTTCTGGATACCACACCTTTCTGCTATTCAGAGGTTCAACTACAGTCACACTGCGGCAGATGCTAGCAAAGCACATGTGAGAGGACTCCGAGGGTGCGCCGCCGCCATGTACAGATTCTTAATTGCCTCGCATTAGAACTGCAATTTAAGCAATTCGAGCATTTTCTATCTCACTGCCGCTAATGGATATACTTAATTAGTTTCGATTTCTGCATGTTTTTGTGACACGGTGGGAAATTCCCTCTGTGTCGTGTCGCAAATCATTGGTTTTGTTTGGTGTTGGCCCCGGCCCCGTTTTCTGTTGTTTGCTTTTGCTTCCCGAGGCGAAACGCAAATCTGGCTGGGGGATTTGCGGGTCGTCTGCCGCTTTGTCGTTTTGTCTGTTTTTCTTGTTCGTTTTACTGATTTGCTCTTGCTATTTTATCGTGGAACCACTGCGTTTCATTGCGAGATTTTTAATTCGTTTGACACGTTTACACCAATTTTAGGACCGGGCCTTAGAGCGACATCGGCCGTGCCAGAGGAAAAAGATATCTGAAATTGATAGGATTTTTGGAGACGGAGTTGGGACCTCCCTTGTACTTTTTACCTTTTGCAGATTAGTTGATCGGCAGTGATGGGCCCTCGCTGTTCCCATCACTGCGACTGGTGGCTGGTTTGTTGGTTGCGTTGGGCTCCGGCCCCGTTTTTGTACTTTGTGGTTGTTTCCTTTGTTTGGTCATTGCGTGGGTCGATACGCATTTCTGACCGGGGGAAGTGCATTTCAATCCAACGCTTGGCCCTTGCGTTTTGGTTGATTGTTTCTTGCCACCATGTCGTGTACAGTTTTTTTTTTTGTGAGGTCTTATGATCTCTTCTTACTTTCATTTATTTCTCACACATAGGACCGAGCCTTTGAGCAGAATCGGCCACACTCGAGGAAAAAAAGTGAGAGATCTCTGAAATTGCTGAGGAACTTGGACGTACCAAGAAATCGCGTCATCTGGAGATCAAGCTTGAGTGGATCAAGGAGCAGGTCAATCGTGGCAGCCTTAGTTTTCTGAGGGAACCAACAATCCTTCGGACTTGTTGACGAAGTGCTTGGGCACCTCGGCATTTGAGTACCATAGGTCGGGTCTTTGTGGAAGGTTGCTGTGAAAGGGGGTCTGCACTTGCATGTGAAGCTAAGCGTTTGGGAATCCCCTACATGGGCATCACACAAGACATGGAATCCAAGAGTACACAGACGGCAGTGTCTCAGTATTTGAACCAGTATCGAGATCCAAAGAAGGTTTTTGTTCATGTTTCATCACCATGTGCTTCAGGATCACCCCTGCGGCATTTCAAGGGAAATAATGAACCAACCTCTGCGGATTTCGATTGGGACCAGATTTTTCCACTTGCGGGTTTTTATTTGAAACTGGGTGATTGTAGTTCATTTGAACTTCCATGGAGGAATGAAATCTGGAATCGGTTTTTGACCACGGAGACACTCAGGAAAGCCGGACACTTATTTGACGTGCAAGTCCACTTGTGTGCAACAGGCTTTCGAACAGCTTCTGGAAGAGCAGTTGGTAAGAGTTTGGGGTTCACCTCCAACTCTCGCCCGTTTGTGATGATCATGAACCAGAACTTCGGGCAGTGTAAGTGTGTGGATCAGCACGCTGCCATGAACGAAGTGAATTGGTCTGAAACGGCGAGATACAACACAACTTTGGCCAGGGGCATTTTGAAAGCTGCCATGAAAGCACTGGAAGCGACATGATTGTTTTGCTTTGGCTTGTGATGGTGTGAACAATCAGTTTGACTTGTTTTGAACTTCATTTTGCAGTGAAACGTGTTTGCAGATTGATCAGGTGGATGGTGAGAGCACACCCAGTGAAGCAATTCCAGCAAGTGCTGATGCAGCTGCAGTTGCTGGTGCAGCATTGATGGCTGGTACAGCTACGAGCTCTCACTTGCCTGCTACAGGCCCACATACAACAGACTCATCTGGGATGCCCTATTTTGAGACCCCTGCAGATTTACCATTTCCAAATGAAGCTTGGTCACCTGAAGCAATGTTGACGTGGATGTACAACAGGTGCTTGAGACGTCTTGATGCTTGTGGTACGGAAGATCGCAGAATTCTTTACCAGCAACGTCTTGGAGTCCTACATGAAGTTATGCAAGCATGCAGGAGTGGCAACCCAGAGGCGCGCCACTCAGCGTCGATCATGACGCGCAGTATGCGGGATTTGTCAGAGGATGAGGACTCTCCGTTGCATCAGATGTCTTTGATTCAGGTTTCCAATGAGATGGATGCTGCAGAAAGAGCTTTCAACATTGGGTCAAGGATTACAGAGACAGTGCATGCAGGTTCGAGCAGCGACCACCCATCTGAAAGCAGACATGTCAATGCAGTTGCAAACCAATTCATGAACATGCTGGAGGATGATTCAAATGAAAATCCAGAGGAAAAAAACCAATCAGACAGTGATGAGATGATGGAAACTGATAGCCAACGCAGACTTCGTTATCTCAACAGGGAAATGTGTGAATGCAGCGACCTTGAAGAATGGATGGTATATCACCATGGGGAATCTGAGAGCAGTTCAGGTTGAAATGGGCACCACCATTTGCAATTTAGGCTAGAGTCTTAGAGATCACAACCTTTTGAATTTCTTCTGTAGGGCACAGCAATAGTTCTTCCCCCACGGCATTCAATTTGGCTGCGCAAAGAACCTTGGAATCATTTTCAAGCTTTTGCTACCTAGCTGAATCTGGTAGCAAGGCGGGGTGCAACACGTTTTCGGTCACGTAGACATGTCAGTTTAGCTGTAGAGTTGCACTCCATGTGACATAGCTGCTGAGTGTAGTATCTGTTCATATCCGTAGGCGCTTGTGATTCAAGGAAAAGAAACAAAATACAAACAAATTGCAAAATCTGAAAGATGGTGCCCTTTTTACTGTCCAAGTTTTCGCTCACTTGGGTAAGAATTGTACAAACTCTTTTAGAGGATGTTTCACGGGTTTTTGGAAACATTCCCGTTTTGGATGTTTGAATCCTTCATTGGTTTTTCCCAGCTTTTGGAAAAACATGTGATGATAATGTTTGTTTCTATGCCACAACATTTAGTGGACAAAACTTTTGGGTTGGAACAATTTTTTAGCCCACCCACCCACACCATGGGGGTCCAAGGATGGCTCGGATGCCACACCGGTCTTTAATGTGGCTAGTCAAACCCCTTTTGGTTGTGGTAGCCAAACCCTGAGCAAACAAGGAGAAGGATAAGAAGGCGCTTGGACTTGAGATCGGCAATTCACATGTGGACAGACGGCACTTTCGTTTATATGCATTTTTTTGATATATTATTTATATGTATACCGTGGCGATAGCCTCACGTTAGGAGATATATAGTTTGGTTTTTTGGCGTGGCGAACAATTTAAAACGACGAATTGCGTTGCGATGTTTGACAGCGCATTGGGAGGGTTTTGGGAGGGAACTGCCTACTTAGCTAGCACCAGTTGCATTCCATCTTCAACTGGGATTTCCTTCTTCAGCTGGTTAGCATCAGCCTAGCCCTGCGGCCTAGAACGAAACCATGATATAGTACTATACTAGTACCGCCATTTGTAGAAGTGGTGTGCCAAGAGTGCTTCATTCTACATGGGCACGCAGAAGTGAAAAAAAATGAAAAACCCTGCCGTCGGGCCATTCCCATGCAAATCAGCGCAAATTACAGTGACCGTGGCAGATTGTGCAACAAAAACACACGCGAATGCGAACAGTAAAGAACACGATTTTTTTTCAATTGTGCACGGGGCAGCAGGAATATTTTTTTTGAACCAAACAATGAAATCACAGACGAATGGCAAATTCGTTTCAAAACAGTGCGTGGCTCAGATCCCATTTGGCGAAGATATTGCTAAGAAATCTGTGCGGAAATCATGGCCAAGTACGCCCAGAACACCACCACCGGCCACACTTGTCCATGGGGAAGTGCCGATGATACCTGCCCCAAGAAAATGGAACAATTTTGGGTTCGACCCGATCAATTGATGAAATTGATCAGGCTGAATATATTTCTGATTTTGATTTGTTGCAACCTTCTTCCACGGCAGGTGTCAAAATTATATGACATGGACGAAACGTGACACCTTGGCAGTTCAGCGATCAGTATTCAAATTGTCTGTATTTGTTGTGGTCAGCCATCTTAGCTGACGATCAAGGACAATTTGCCACCGGATGCCTTCACTTTGGCAGCCAAGAAAGCCGCAGCCAAGCGCAGGGATTCACAGGAGACCGTTGAGCAACCGCTGTTTTCTCCATCAATTTTTGGTCAACAGCGGATTCATAATTTGGAGAGGGGTGAAACATTTTGAAACGGAGATTGCCTTGGGTTACACATGACAGGAACAACCTTTTCGGTCGAGTTTATTTCCCATCAGATCATGAGGTCAAAATTGTCAAAACATTTCCAAACCGTTTTTATTAAATGCATTTTGTATGATTTCGCCACCAAATTCAAATCGGCCATTGGATAGCCGCGATTAGGACAGCAACAGCTCCTCGGTTGTGCTTGCGCATACACCTGCGTGCCTTGCAGCGGCTGGAGCTGGGTACAATACGGGACGAAGCGTCGAAAAGGACAAACTCAAGGAGTTGCTTTGGCCTCCGTGGGTTTTGGAATGTGGTGGCTAAAGAGCTTGAAAATTGGCCCGTGGACAATCCAGTACTGTTAGAACATTTTTGTTTGGAAAAACGGAGTTGTCCATCGATTTCCCCGTCAAGGAGGGCTATTGACAGATGCAAAGACCATTTAATCATTTTCATAGCATATTTTTAATGATTGTGTTTGTCGGGGCCACCTGGATCTTAGTTGAACCGCTAAACTCCTGCGGAAAATAATGTTCCTGTGTGTGTATTTTCGATCTTTGCGGATCTAATTCCATCGCAATGACACTGCTTGAAGAGTTGTTTCGTCAGAATGTCAACAGTAGTTTTTGTCAACGGAGGGAAACCCCCTCTAGCGTTTGGTACGTTCTTGGATGTCCATCATAGTAGCATATTATTTGGGTGGGGGTGCCGTGTGCAGATCCGCTTTCATCCATGTTACCCTGCATGTTTGTGACATGTGCACCTATGCTACATGTTTCGCACATGCACACGCCAGTTCATGTTGACATGATGTTAATCATTCATGCACAGGAAATGTCACGCTACATGGTTCTCACATGGATACGTCATGTAACGGTATCATGATGCTAGTCATGCGCAGGAACTGGTACGCGACATGGTTCTTACATGCATACGCCATGTCACGTTAACATGATGCTAGTTATGCACAGGGAATGCTAGGCTGACCGAAGTGCTCAGGGTTTCTTCCCATCCATTCTTTTCCCTCGTATCTCCTCTTTCCAAAACAAAAGACCGGTAAATTCACAGGCGGAGGGAAAAAATTGGACCGCACATTCTGCGCCCAAAATCACATGAAAATCAGATTGCCAAATCGATTTGGCGCTGTGGTAAAACATATGTCTTGCCAAAAAACACGTTCATTTCGTGAGCGCGGAACCCCCCCTGCTGGGTAGTTTGTGTTTCGAATGTGTCATAAAACTTGGCCCATCCCAAGATGAACTGCTGCATCAATTTCCCAAATGTTCCCTCCAAAGGTGACTGCTCTTTCACGGGTCTCATATTTTCTCAGGTTTTGAGAGATTGCCATAGATTGCCTTTGGGGACAACCTGCCCAAACCAGTTGGATCAGTGCCGGTGATGAGTGGACACATTTTCTATTCTACAATTTCATTGCACCTCACTGGTGCAGGAGATCTAGGATTCTTCTTTTTGTTTTAGTTTATGATCTTCGCGAAAGAGTGCGGGTACATATCCCATTCTGACACTGAGGTCCGTTGCCCTTAGCACAAGCCGCTCTTCTGTGAAGTCCGGCGGATATGACGGGAAGGCCACGGGGCGTTCCACTACGTCGCTGAAGACAAAGGAGGTCGAAACCTGAAAGCAATAAAGCTGCTGCTTTTATAAAGGTGGTGAATGATACAATATACAATTTCTGGAAAAGTCCGGAAGATGGATTTGGAACAAATCCACAGACAATCCTTGAATGCCTTGGAAAAACGATGAGAAGCGCGCTTACAGTCACAACATGAGATCTTGGGGTCGGGGAACGTTTGAACACACCGAGGAACTTGAGAAGAAAATGATGGACTTGATCAGTCAATGCCTGGACAACAAAGTCTTGGCGTCTTGGCTCTCCTCAGATCCACCATGGGCCCATGGGCCAGTACAAGCTGAGTACAGCTAGGCCGCTAGGCGACCGCACAGCTTTAGTTTTTAATCTGACCATGGCAGTTGCTTCACCTGTCCCCCGAACGCATGGGTTGCGAGGCAGTTCTGCATCCTTTTGTTTTTTTTTTTCCGTATCTGAATAAGTTTGGAGAGTCAAAAGGAGACACTTTAAGAAAATCAGTATGTCAACAAAAATAACAAATACAGTGTGGGGAGAGTTTGAGGTGCCTTGTGAGGGGAAAATTATGTCACAAGGATTTACATCTCTGAACATCTTGGGAACTGATGTAGTATGCAGTGGTCGTGACTTTCAAGACCTGGTTTGAAAGTGTTCCAAAGACATCCAAAGACCTTTCTTAAAGTTTTTAAACTTCATTCAAACTTGGTGCGACGTTGAAGATGTCAGGAGTTGCGCCAGCCGCCCAAAGCCTGCACTGACGACGCGGCCTCCGTAGGGTCCTCCACGGCGCGGAGCGAGACGGCGTTGAGCACGGCCAGATCATCACAGAGCCTCAATGAGTCAAAACTTGGATAGCGTGATATCATCGCGAGATCATCGTGATGATATCATAGAAATCCACAAATGTCCGAAATCCAATTGAAACGTATCAAAGATCCAATGCCAAATCCATTCAAATGGATCTGAATCCAGTCTCTATGTCTCAGGATTTATCAAGGTGTGTTTACGAAAAGCAATGCTTGTGTCCTGGCCCAGCTAAGTTAAGTCATCGAGGCTCCAAGATTGGGTCGTCCGTCGGAAAATGGAACGTTGTCATGTTTAGCGTATTTGTTTTACATAGTTGTTGAACCATGTTGGATTTCAAGCCCGCAGTGGCCACTTTGAGATGGCTGTTGGAGTCAGTATGCAATGATAGCTCTGCAGCTTTATCAATCAGGCAGTGTTTTCGAAGTTCTGTGGAGTTTGAACAGAGTTCTTTTATAAGATTGTGGACTAGTTCAAGCTTGCTCTGAGCACCTGCCTGTGGTCTTAAAACCTTTGAGGACATCCTGTCTGTTTCTGACAAATTCATACAAATTTAGCAACCATGCCAAAAGACTTGCACCAGATTGCTGACGGTTTCATTTATTTTTACATCATAGTCAATACATCAGATATTGTCCACAGCACAATTCAAAACACGCAACTGACACTTATGTCAAGATCACCTCAGACTTGTTGCGTTTCCTGTGCAATTTAAGGATTGAGACAGCGAGAACCTTGTTTGCACATGGGCAATGCGATTGAAGTGACGTTTGATGGGATTCGACATGCTCGGCAGGGTGCTCTCCCAAAGGATGCCACAAACCGATGGAACCCTCTCAAGTTGTGAGATTGCATGAAAAAACCTAAAGATGCTTGAAAGACACTCATTTATTAAAATATACATATTCAGTATCATATTCATACCATCCCGATGTTTTCTTCCTTATTCTGCGTTGCTCAGGAGAGCAAGCAACTAAGCCCAAGGTTTCAAAGGCCAAAAGCATTGAGGGTGGTGACTTGGTTTCAACATGTTTCAACATGTTTCAATATCTTTCGACGGTTTCGATATGTTTCAATGAGAGACTCACGAAATTCACGACCAACGTTTCTCGAAGGCATAGTAATCTTGTTTTCCTTGTTTTCCTGACTTGGATTTGCACGTAGACACGGATATCCTACCAAACTTGTGCCTGCCTGATTTGTTTGCTGGACAGTTCTTGTGGCATGTGTCATTGTGTTTTTTTCAGGGCTGCAATGGAGCATTTTGATGTTCCGAGTTTGAAATGGCCTGAAAAGGGTCAAGTCAAAGGAGTCAAAGGAGTCAAAGGAGTGGGACTGGGACCAGCTTTTGGACCCGGACACCAAAACCTTGGGGCCAGGTTACGAGGCGCTGGAGCGATACCCTGCGTTGTTGAAGGAGATGAAGGGCCTTTCCGCCTCAAGGAAAGAAGTGCCGGAAGGGCTCACCAGCACCTCGAAGGACAAGAACAGATGTTGGGCATAACCCTAGGACTAGGAGGATTGAAAAGAGTTGGATAAGAAAAAGGTATTTTATACTACTTTCTCGTGGAACGTCATAGTATTGATTTTCACCTGCTACTCTTGAAAAGAACAGGAAGTTGAGCCTAGGCTTTAGTGAGTGTAACCATGGCAACCACAGTGAAAGATTTCCATCCGCCTTCAAGAAACTGGCTGCGCCAAGATGATAGCAGAACCTTGCTCGTTTATGGTGCACAATCCAGCAGTCGAAGAACACCATAATATACTGATACTGCCTCTACACATAGTACACATACAAATGTAATATAACATCTGTGACAAACATCGCCTGTGCGAGACTTGAAAAGGCAACGGCAAGCAGAAGCAGGCCATGAAGTTGTCTGAAGATACTCGGCAACATTTAAGGTGTTTCATCGGCCAAGTCCAAGCATTTTGATGGCGAATTTGATGAAAAATCACCATGAAAATGCTGTGCCTGCTGTGAAAAGGCTTTGCTTTTGTGTGGACATGTCATACAAAATACACACCTTCACGTTACTCTACCTATGATGATCATATTAGATCATCTGGGTGCAGCGAAAAAGGCGTCCCTGGGCAAGTTTGACGCTGATGAGTCGCGCCTGGCCTATCTCGAAGCTTGCCCTGGTAATGTGTGTAGCTCTCCGGATTTTTCTGCAGACTTCAGAAGATCTTTGCAAGATTACCCAGAATACTGTATCAGCTGTATTTGGCAATTATATATTGGTTTGGCAAACTAAAGCAGAGAAACGGGGTGGCCACTACAGTCTAGAACAAACCTCGCCCGAATCTCTTCATGCTTTGAGCATCGAAGGAAATGCAAAAAAGTGCTGCAGAAGCGCGCAACAAAAACCGCTCTGCCCTTTGCTTTGGCCACTTGGATTGCTTGGTAGACCCATTCCTTTCAAACTCCAAGAACTAAACCAGAATGCCAGACCATGTACCCGACACTCATTTGCTGATCAAGGTGCTCAGACGAACTCCTCTGGTACGTTCATTACCTACTTGTAAATCATTTCCACAATATTTCAGTGGTTGGGTGATTCTGAGCTAAGAGATTTTGGCTTCCAGATTTGGACGATTTGGGTAGAGGATCTTGTCTTAGGTACCATCGCTGTCACTACCTCGCAGTGGTATTGCTTCTTCTCACTTGCAACGACATTGGGGTTCCAATTAAATTGCTTTCTGCTGGAGTCAATTCTGTCGTTGCTTTTCGTTGTGAACTCGACCCGTGGCTTCCGATTGCTAGGCGACGACACAGGCAATGCTGGCCCAGCAGCTGCCCACAAGGATGTGACCATGGCTGAGAAGCGCGATAAAGCCAAGAAATTGTCGGATGCATCGTTGGGGACGCTGAACTGAGATATCTAAGCTGCCAGAGCTTGGGTGAGTTTTCTTTTGAGGGCTTTGGTGGCTTCACGGTTTTCTAGATTGTATCCCTTGCAGGCATTGATAGGACCTTTAGTATAGGAGGTCATTGGTCATTTATGATGTTTGGCGGCTTTCTCTCTTTTCTTCTGGTTGCATACGCTCCGCCTTCAGAACCATTTGAAAATTGTAAGTGACAGATTTGGTCTCGTGAAGCGCCCACCCCTTTCCCTCGTTATATTTTGTCTCAGGAAATTCGATGCAGACCAGTCTCAGATTGCGTACCTGGACATGCAGAACACTGCAGCGGCACCTTGCCCCAAACAGTTGCAAAAAGACAGGAGAGGTCTTCGTCCATCATGATTCATGACAAGTAAAGGATTTATACATGCCAAGCAGACGAAGTTTATGATAGCTTACTTGAAGGCTTACCTAAAAGCTACTGGCTTTGAGACACCATTTTTTCAGAGTCTGAGAGACTTATGGTTGGTCCAGTTGGTTAGCCCCTGCTGAATCGGGCTAAGAGAAGCTCGGTCTGACAAAATCTGCAGCATATCTGTGTGTAACTATACTATCTTATAGCTACATTGACATGAGATCCGCATTGTATATGATACAAGTGACGTACATAAGGACAAACTACATAGTATGATAACGTGTCTCTGTATTATATAATGTATGCGTATGTATTGTACTATATAATATTAATAATATATGTATATATATATATATCTACACCATATTGTATATGTATACTTCCTAGACGCGTAGATCTAGATCCAGGCAATTTCAATTAGAGCCATAGTATCGCAGACGAAGCAAGCTTCAGCACTCTGAGGAAATGCGAGCCAAGAATCGCGTGGGACAGGGCATCTTTTGATCCCCTCCTTGTGCATTCTATGCAGTCTTGCTGTGCTCTCTTCACTGGCCTTTCTCGACCACTCACAAGTGGTGCCTTTGAACCATTCGTGAGGGTCATCTAGCGACAGATCTCCGTAGCATTCTTTGAGTGGCGAGCTACTGCCCTGGGGTTGCCCCATGACCACCACAGAAAGCTGTCGGTGCCATGTGACAGAACCCTTGCAGATCTGGAGGGTGTGTTTCTTTCTCTCGGATTTGATGACTTAGCGACTTATTTGGGTTCGAGAGTGGCAAATACGAATCAATAGCACTTCATAGGACCCGTGTGAAATTGGATCCACCCTTTCAAAATCTGAGTTTTCATTTTTGGTTCGTTTCAGAGTTCCAAGGGCCTGACATGCGGTAGCAGTCTGTACCGTGTCTTGCACGAGAGCACAACTGCATGCTGCACGTAGAGGCCCTTGTGAGCAGAAACTTGATTGGACTTTGGTGATGTCGCACGTGGGCTGGAAGGAAATCACCAAGATCCGTTTTTATTGTCCTTAATCAACATTTTATCGTGTCATTTGCTTTAAACTTGTGCGCCATGATGGGGTCCATATTTTTCAGGCACCGGGAGACTTCCGGTGCCGGTGGGCAGCTCAGGCGCCCGTGGGCACTGTTCCTACAAATGGGACTGGGCCCACTCAGCTACCGATCTACCCAGGCTGGCGACATGGATCTGCGATCCGCCAGAAAGTGCCGACAGCGGTGGATTTCTTTACTGCTTCGCGGTGAAACAGACTCAATCGCTATGCAGTGGCTATGCAGACTTTGACTGTGTTTATTCTCCAGGCAAAACTTGGAGCGCATGTTGAAGTTTTTGACAAGGGAACAAGGGCTACGTCCGGTGATTGTTCATGGATCCTGAGGATTCATCACCATCTTGTAGTAATTGTAGTATCAAATTTGTGGAGTCTTTGATTTGCTTCGCAGGCATTGTTCGATTCAAGCTTCACAAGATGGCCAACAACAAGCGGCTTGATGTTGTTTGATGAGCAGATTCTGCAGCATCTCAAACTTCTCAATTGCAATTTCTCAATTGCGCCAATCCAATCTTTTGTGGCAACCTTGTCATGGGTTCGCCAGCAGTGCAACAACCGCGATGGAGGACCTACCGACAAGCCGGCAAGCTGACGAGCAATCTTTGTTTTCACACTAGTCACTAGTTCCTCTGTGACAGCGTGTGTGAGGCATGATTGGATCCTCGATTTTGGCAGGTCTTAAAAGGCATCAACCAAAGTTACCAAAGCTTCAAATCATCTGATCATCTGAATTTGGGAATTTACAAGGTTGGATGCCATTCATTGCCATTCTGCCCGAAGGAACAGTTACAGTGCTGGGATTTGTGAAGTTGGGGGCTCAACATCTGCTTCGATAGAAACTTCTAGGCTCAGGACTTGAGACAGGCCGCCAGGGTTATGAAAGTTGTTGAGGTCAAACCCCGCGCCAAGGCCGTGGGTGGCTGTGGGTGGCTGTGGGTGGCTGTGGGTGGCTGTGGGTGGCTGTGGGTGGCTGTGGGTGGCTTTCACCTGCGCAGTTGATGGTCTTTGAGCATTGGGATGAACTTTCATTGAGTCCGGTCATTCTGCATGTCATTAGTTGGATTCTGGAGTACCTGGAGTGTGATTTAGAGCACAACTTTGTTGCCAATCCCAGTTTGGCTTTCTGAGAGATTCTCACCGTGGTGTCTTGTGCAACAGTTTCTCACCGTCGACGCTACCCGCTACCACCGCGTCCACCGGTTCAATTGACGCTGCTTCAGGTGGCACAGAAACCGGCGCCTCGGCGAGCACCCAAGGCTTGTCAAATGGGTCGCCTGTGGATGAAGCTCGTTCGCTCGATTCTCTGCACAATTTAACATACAGTATTTGGATTTATTGAATGCTTAATCATTTTCAAGCCCTGAAGCGTAGGATTTTCCATCTCCATGATCTCTTGTAGAATTCTGTACTGTATAGTTTTCTGACAGCTATTGATCAAAGCCCGGTAGGCTGAAGTGGCTTGGACCTCAAAGCCTCAGCCAGAAGCCAGCCATACAGCTGTGCAGATTGGTTCCATGTTGCAGAGAGTGCCATTTCCAATCAGGAATCATGAGGTCCGTTTGTGGGCCTTGCTTCTGGGCGCAATGCGGAAGAGTGATAGGGCGACCACCTTCCACAGGAAGCTGGTATATAGAGGAAATAGCAAAAGAATGGTTTGGGGACAACTTGTTCAAATCTAAAGATACGATCATTGATCGGATTGACCAAGCAAAAGAACACGGAGCTTGCATCATTGCAAGATTTGTTCCCTGGTAACACGGTAACATTAAGACATCCGATAGGACATGATGCAACCCTGCGTAGTGGCGACATGATGCAATTCCCCCCAAGGCCAGGGATGCACCGAATGGAACGATCCGTCGTACGGGTTCCTACTGATGGCAGAGTGCTGTGGCCCGTGGCACTGTGTTCAGCAAGATTTTTTGATCTTTCATTCATTTTTAGGATGTTGAAATCAATCCGGATTAAAAAACAAGATATCCTTTGTGCACTTTGGATCCGTTTTCCTGGGCACCAAGTGCTGAGTCTACCCTTGACTGAGGTCCTGTGCCAAGGCGCCCTGTCGCTCGCTGGCTTTGTATATTTCAATATGGGAATCGTCGCTAACCATCCAACCATCGAACCGTCTGACCGTCTAACCAGTAGTGCTGTTGTGTTGGCACTTGGCCTGCCAGGAGGACTTCCAGTCCTTCGACTTCAGCTCGTGCCTGAGATTTTCATTGGGACTAGGTATACCTAGGTGATCCTAGGTGATATCCAAAGGATTTCGGCATTTGCATCGTCTGCATCGTCTGCATCGTGTCTTTCTCGAAATTTCCTTGGGATGATGGCACGACTGGACGGGTGTTGCTATAAGATTTTCCGTTTCGTCCAGACTCACAGATGATCAGACAGAGACTGACGAAGAAGAGACATGAACTGGTGGACTGCGGGATGAAGCGACAGCGCCAAAGAGAAGCGACAGCACATTTACAAATCCCTGCGATATCTTCAACCCCTTCAGAATCCAACCATGGCTCTGAAAAGGGCTTGGAAGTCTTGTATCCGTACAGGCTGCATCTGGACATTTAAACATATATATATATAATATATATAAGTCAAATATATTAATCAAATATTCCTTTGTCAGTCATAGCTTGGCCTTCTACTCTACTGTTTGAATCTGGACTAGAAAACCTAATTGAAAACGAACATCGTATTCAAACCTAACCATCTCAGACTCCTCCTTCGCAGAAAGATGGGCTTCAGCGCAGCTGTTGTGCCAGAAATTAGCAAGCAAGAGGATTGTTTTTATTTCATTTTATTTCTATGTAATTCCTGAGATACACTCTCTCGACAAAACCTGCTTGCCTTCACGTCTACGCGTCTACGTTCATATATATTATATACCTATCATGCTATTTCCATTTTGGATGAGGTATTTGCTGTGCATCCAGATGACCAGCACCTTATACGGGATTGAAGAAATGCCAGAGCTCTAGATTTCTTCTTCTTGCCTAGATTTCCTTGTTTTGGCTGGCTTGATTATGGCTTGATTATGCTTGACTACTACCAAGCGAACAGCAGCCAACCTTATGTGCGGCCATGCTGAGGACCTGAAAGATCCCTATGAAAGTCGCCGGATGGCCCGGGCCTCCCGCACTCTCTATGCGGGGACAGCAGCATCCCAAGCCAGAGAGGTGCGAGATGTCAGGGGTAGGAGAGGTCAAGGTTTTGGTTGCAACGGTTGGTCATTTTCAATACCAACCACCATGCGTACTTCCGTGGCATGTTAATTAATGCAAGAAGTGGAATGCACTAGCAAATACTGCAACGCAGGATACTGTGTCAGGTAGAACTTCAAGCAGTGATTTTGCTTGTTGTGATTCTCCCCGAAAGCTCCCATATTTGCTTTCCCAGGCAGCCCAACGCCAGGCAACAATTGGGTGGTGGATTTGGCAGAGAAGACATTCTATCAGGGGTTTGACAAGTCTTTAGATGGGAACGTCATAAGAGTTTTGCCAATCCCGTTCTCAAATCCATTATTGGTGTTGTTCAAACGGCATCTCTTGTCATTTCTGAACATGTCTGATCTGATAACAGGCTCGATGGTATTTGATGGTAACATCCCCCATTTTTTGATAGCACTGCCCCTTTCTGCTGCTTTTCATCCCCAGATCCGCTGGAGGCTCAGTCAACACGACAGCCCTCTCCACGACGTTCGCCCTCGCCTTCTCTAGAGTCCAAAGCAAGGACACACCTGGTGGATCTGGGATCTCTACCAATCTACCAATTCCCCAAATAGATGTACCCGGATGTACCAGGCGTATTATTCCATCAATTTGGTGATGTTTGGTTTTTTATTCCCCCCACTTTTGGATATACAATCGGGTGTTGTCAAAACGTCGGGCCCAAAGTTGGGCGGTGAACCATCATATTCCCAAGTAAATTGCCATTTCGAAAGGCACACCCCTTTTCACACATTCATTTCTCAAAGCTCTGACATCCCCAAGCCCCAGATTTTCGCAGATTGAGTATGACTCAGGTTCGTTGACTCCTATGAATTGTTTGATCGAAAAATTACAGCCATGGTCGTTTAGTACCCTCTTCTATTTTGGAATCAAACCTGTTTGGAGGATCCTAAGTGTTTGTTGCCTGCAGAATCTTGATGATTTGCATCATTTGCTACCCTCATCTACCATGCCTGAACAAAACCTTCATGTAGCTGTCAGCATCACGACTTCATCGCAGTCTTCCATGCTGCAAGCTTGGAGGACACCCAGACCGGTTGCCCGCCCACGGCTTTCTACACCGAACCAGGTTTGCAAACGGTTTGCGATCTGCCATCCACTGCCAACGTCAACATTTCGCACTTCAATGTTATGGATAATTATGGAGCCAAAAGTTTGTTTCCTTTTGTCTTCCAGACTTGGACTTTACATGCTTCCGCATGTACATCGTATACGAACTCACAGCCAAAAAAGGAACGAATTTGCAATGATTTGCACGACATTTGAAGTAAAACAAATCGACCAGGCAGGCCAGATCTGAACTTGCTATCTGATTAGAGGAGATCAAAAAGGAACATTGAAACTGTTTGGGTAGAGCATTGATGAGGATTGTCATTTTGTTGTGGGGTCTCCATTTGCAGGTGCAGACGATGCAGGTGGCGCATGAATTTGCAGTGTTGTGGATCGTGCCTTGCTGTGCTCAACGAGTGGACTTGCTTGATGGATCCCATACTTGAGCTGCTCGGGGTTTGGGGGTTCCACGTGAATGCGTCCAAACATTGAAACAGACGTAGTTTGCAAGTTTCAAGAGTTGGGAGAGGTTCAGAATTGCAAGCTGAACTACCCAAATGGTACATGCTGAAATGGGCAGTGTTTTCTTTGTTCTGCATGTTTGATGCTGTGCAGGGTGGAAAAAAACTGGAGGCTGGGCAGATGAACTGGCTGCACGGGAATGTTGACATGCCTTGGGTGCCAAACAAATGCAGCTGGCAGGCCGGCTTGGCCCTGCGACGCCTAGTTGATCTGAAAGATGTTCTATGTGGAACAAAGGACGACACAAAAGCCAACCTCTATGCCTAGAATCAGACCGGCTACGTCATGGCCAGTAATGAGCCAGCTGCACATGGTATCCTAGGAAGTTTGCAAGCTCGAATGGGTCCAAACACATTGACCAGTGTCCATTTCAAACTGCAGACGAGTTGAAAGGCTTGTCTCTTGCAGTAACACGGACGGGATAAAACTCACGAATCACATGTCCGCAACAAAGATGCAAAAGCAATCAAATTCATCAAAAAATTCATCAACAATGCATAATTTAAGACACGCTTCCATGAACTCAGAGCCATCTCCAGCGAGGAGGAAAAGTTGATGGCACCGCGGCCACAGAAGCCGCGGCCGGCGCCTTTGACCGCTGTCAATGGTTCTGACAGTCCACGGTCCTTAAGAGGCCAGGGAGACGAGCCCAGTGTAAACTCACTTGGCGCACGAGAAACTTCTATTTGAGCTGCATGGGTTAATCATGTCTGTATATACGTATATATATATAATATATACGTATATATAATTATACATGTATATATTTATATACATGTATATATATATGTATGTATGTATGGATGGATGGATGGATGGATGGATGTATGGATGTATGGATGTATGGATGTATGGATGTATGGATGTATGGATGTATGGATGTATGGATGTATGAATGTATGGATGTATGGATGTATGGATGTATGGATGTATGGATGTATGGATGTATGGATGTATGGATGTATGGATGTATGGATGTATGGATGTATGATGTATGGATGTATGGATGTATGGATGTATGGATGTATGGATGTATGGATGTATGGATGTATGGATGTATGGATGTATGGATGTATGGATGTATGTATGGATGTATGGATGTATGGATGTATGGATGTATGGATGTATGGATGTATGTATGTATGTATGGATGTATGGATGTATGTATGCATGCATGCAATGTATGTATGTATGTATGTATGCATGCATGCATGGATGGATGTATGTAATGTAATGTAATGTAATGTAATGTAATGTAATGTAATGTAATGTAATGTATGTATGTATGTATGTATGCGTATGCGTATGTGTATATGTATATAATACTGTGTGTGTATATATATAAACATTTTACAGTTTTCTTCTTCTGGCCTAAGAAAAACTTTGCGAGAAGCCGCTGGTAGGTAGCTCAGTGCTCGTCCACCACATGGCAAGTGAAGAGCTCTTTCCATCGGCGGACGACATTGTAGGAGCGGGAGACTGGCACAGCCATTGCAGATGATCTGCACGCAACATGAGCAGATAGATTGCAGCTGCTGCATGAAACGAGAGTGGCATTGTGGCATTACCTTTGTTCCATAAGTCTATAACGGTGTCAGTTCGTGAATATGCAGCACGATTTATTATTGTTCCAGTCAAAGCATGTCAAAACGACAGACTTCAATCCGCTCTTCCTTGAATTGGGTCCTGCACCCCCGGAATATCAAAATGGACCGTGTGAATACTTCTTTGCAATTCAACAAAGATGAACAAAGATGAATCTCCTATCGAGGCATCACCAAAAACATGAAACTCTTCGGTGAGGCATCTCGGCATCTCACTTTAGGCATCACTGGCATCCACTGGGCAACCACTGGGCAACCTGGGCGGTCAGGACAGGCCGAGGCTGCCAGCACCGCCTGCAGTCCGAGTGACTCTGAGGGTTCAGAGGGATCAAAATTGTCCAGGGACTACTGGGACTACAATGATTTTAAGATATTTTAACCGTTTTCAAGTTTTCGGCTACTTTTAGGATGAATGGTGATTCATCCCATTTTGGAGGTAGTCTTATTCTGACCTATACGGAGCTCATGCCCATGACGTAGCATTTGTTAAACGTTACAGTTCGTTGCTCTTTGCTTCAGAATCTTTACCGGGATGTGAAATGTCGATATCCCTCAGAATCACCCGCAAAGTGGAATAGTTTCATAATTTTAATAAAAGATGTGACAAGTTGTGTGTGGTCCTTGGGCACCTCTTTTTTCTCCCCTTGAATTGACAACATCCCAGCATCAGCTGGGTGCAACGACTTCCCACTCTGCAGAGTTACCAAAAATAAAGATTTGCGATTGGTTCACTGAAACTTCTGGTTTTCAATTAGTCGCAGTCCCTGTCCAGATTTGCAATAACTCCAAACCTAGGTTTGTACAGCATCGGTGGAGGCGGTGCCGGCAGTTCCACTGCGGATGAACGCATGCGCCAGGCATCAGACTGGAATCATGGAGGGTTTTCATCACTTTTAGCCCAGCGACCAGCTCTTTTCTCTGAATTAAAGAGAGACTGATGAAATCGATTGAAATCTTGTGAAGTACTGGCCCAAGAATCATCACAATGGACACCTTTCTCTGAGATGAAGCATCCAATCCATGGAGGAGGTGCAATATGATCATTGTAGGCACTGGAACAATGCTGCAGTGCTGTGTTGGACCCTGTGCAGCTAAAGCTCGAGAACCAAGCGCTTCGAGAAGCCTTTGGAGACACCCAGAAGAGGTGGAGCTGCCCCAGAGACTCTCCGCTCTGACAGGAAGCCCAAAACAAGCCCAAAACAAGCCTTTTCATCCACATAGTTCCAGATGTTATCAGATGATTCATTTTTTAGATTCAGGTTATTGCAGACTGGTTGCAGACCTGTTGCGTTGCGTGGGATCTATCGCCAGGTTAATGGAGCTGGAGGATGAGAGACAAAGCTTCCTGGACGAAGGCGTCTATGACGTGGTGAACTCCATCTGTGGTTGTGTGCTCAGCGGCTGTGCCACAAATGGGAACCAACCCTGGTACGAATGAAGACGAATGAAACATAATGAAACATACATCCATCAGTCCCCCTGAGAATCACTCGAGACGGGAATTGTACTGATTGTATTCATTTCTTTCTAATCGTTTGAAATCCAAGTGAAATGAAAGATACCCGAAAGTGTCTTCACAGCTGCAGTCCAACAGACTGGCGAGGTCAGACTGGCCTCTCCCCGCGGGATGCCAAGTGCCTTATGGGCGATGTGGAGAACAAGAAGACCAGCGGTTTCCTGGCTCAGCAGGGATCGGTCCGACCCGACGTTTGGACCAATGTGTTCGACCTGACTGAGCCATTGGCAAAGATACGCAAAGGCTTTTAGTGCAGATCCAGCAAACAGTCGGTACAGTCTTGAGCTTGATATGTCACATTGTATTGACTTTTGATACAGTTTACAGATAGAGATCTGAATTTTCAGTAGATCCGCCGGATTGCACATGGCTGTCTGACAGGGCATTGTATGGCCAGTATAGCTAAGCCATTTGAGCTGCAGATGAGGTGGAGGCACAGTCACGTACCACATTGGAAGGCGTACGGACAGGGTAGGGGACAGTGGATGCACTCAGACTTGAAGGTTCCAGTCCTCTTCCAATATGAGAAGTATGTCTACAGGATTGCACTTAGATATCCCTGAAAGCGGGCACTTGATATTCTTTTAGGACCGAGGTGGACCATGAGGCTTTCACCAAAACCTATCCAGACTGCCAAGAGAGGGGATTCCCATGGATTCCCAGTGATTTTCTTGTGCAATGTTGACCTCTTGGGGCCCAGTACGGATTTCCCGGATCCGTTGACCTTCTCCGGCTCACCAGTGGCGACCTCCCCGTGGGGACGCCCGTAAAAACCAGTTTCTGTGAGCAGAAGGCATTGGGCAGAACATTTGGACCCCTTTGATTAAAACTTGTAAAACATTTGGACCCCCCATTTGGACCCCAAGTATTTGATTCCGAATTGCCATCTCAAGCTCTGGGGAGGCGAAAACCACGTCTATTATATTATAGAAATATGTAGAATCATAATATGTTCTATCCAAGTTGTTTTCGTATGCAGGTGCCAATTCAGCATTGGCATGTTTCATGGCTCCATGATTTAGGAAACTGCCCGTCTGCTTGTTTTGCTCACAGCACAGCAACTTCTGGAAATGAGTGGGACCCCCTGTGGTTCTTGCCCCAGGTGGGTTCCCGAATCAGGATCTTCCATCTTCTGCACTCTCGGTGGGGGATCCTTCCAACTGGTCCGTCTGGCGCTGGACCCAAAATTCACTGCCAGGGACTTCCTTGACCTGAGCAGTCGAATCACTCATCTCATCGGCGAATTCACTGTTCGAGTGGGTTCGTCGGTTCAGGAAGTATCCTCTCATCCTCCTCCACCTCCTCCGCCTCCTCGTCAAAACTCTTCACAGGAGGGCAGAGGGCCTCCTTCTTCACCACCACAGCGAGCCCAAGGCATCACGCAAGCACCGCGAGGACAGCCCGGACTGGAAACCCTTTTCCTTCGCCCATCTCCTTTGATCCTCAAAGCACGGGAAAAGGCTCCTCATCCACCAGCCGCTCCAGAGCCTGCACCTCCACATTCAAAGTCGCCAGTTGTCGTGCCCCCTCGTGCCGCATCCCGAACTTTTGGGCTGCCTGCTGGAGGGCTTCGGTTTCGGTGGGTGTGGAGGAGCGAGAATCTCTTCCTCGCAGTTCTTCCCCCACTCTTCCGATAGGGCGTCTACCTTCCGAACTTGCGTCAGGTAGCCGACATTGTCCAAGGTAAGTCTTTGCTCCTGAGTCACTGAGGTGTATACATGCAGAAAATGCCCATGTTGCTGGGATTGGGCAGCCTCCATTGGCGGAGGTTTGGCAAAGTGGTGCCTTTGAGGAGAATCCCCAGCCAGCGGCCTTCCGCATCCTGATGAATCTCTACAAGTTTGCCGCATGCTTTCCCTAACTCGTGGCAATAGTAAAACTCTACCTCGAGGAGACTGTAGAGGGGGAAGGATGTCTCCTTCACATTTTGCGGCGTCAGCCATGTTTTCCGTGGATGACTTCTTTTGGTTTCGTTTCGCCCGCCGGTCTGGTATGTTCTTTGGGGCTGGTTTGGCTTTTGCTTTGGCAGCCCTTACACTTGCCGGTCTACGGATCGACCTCTTCGGAGGCATCCGCCCAGCTCCTTTCACGAGCTTTCAGGGCTTCAGCCGCCTCTGGAGAAGAGGTGCTCACCACCTCCTGAAGGGGCTGAGAAGGAGGTGGTGGCAAGACCTTGTCGGGAGGATTTGGCTCCTCTTGGCCAACCTCCTCACCAGATGCTTTCTTTGTAAGGGGCTCCCGATGAGGTGAAGGAGGCCCTGAGAAAGCTAGGCTCTTGCTTTTGGAAGCTTGATGCTTTGCCCACCAAAGAGGGCGGTTTACCCCTCTGTTCTTTTTCTTCTGATTTTGTTTGCCTGTTTTGCCTTTTCTTCGGCTTTCGGCCAAGAGCAGACGAAGCGCCTGCGCTGCCAGAGCTTGGACCCGTCCCTCAAACTTCGAAGGCGAAGAAAACGAAGAAAGGGTCTGCCAAAGTGAAAGCCATGATCGCTCAGTCTCACTCGAGTGTCCAAGGAACTCCTCTGGATTCCCTCTTCAAGCGACCTGTGAAAGTTTCCTTCAAGGACAAGAAAACATCCAGCAGCTCCAGCACTTCAGGGGAGTCATCCCAGAGCTCTTCTCTTTCCACAGACCACAAGCTGAGGAGGATTTCCAAAAAACTTCCAGGCTATCTTTGCCGGCGAGCCTGCAAAGAAGCAGCGACAGTTCTAGCCCAAGCTGCTGCAGGAGAGAGCCTATAGTCATACGCAGTCTTTTGCCGCTATTACAGGCAAATCCTCCTATCGAAAGTCACATCCAAGCCTTTGCTTCGAGAGATGCAAACAATTGCGACAGTGATCGACACAATCCTCAATGGGAACATTTTATCCAGCTTGGACATCTTGTCTCAAAGGTTGAAAAGCCTGGAGCTCCTGGCGACAGGGACTTCGGCCGATGTGATTGACTTCGCAGGCAGAAGGCAGGAATACGCTGCAGAGACAAAGCTTCAACAAGCTCTGAAAGGCGGCAAAGGAAAGGTAGATCTTCCTCGAGCAGAAACAAAGTGCAATTCAAAGGGATTCCCCAAGCTGAGCGGGCTTCTCTTCAGACCGTCCATGGGGAACCAGGTGCCCTTTCAAAGCCCAGCAGATTCTATTGGACAACGCAAAGCCTGGTAGAAAGGTTGTGCCACCTAGTTTCTGCAAAGGGGTCAGATGTTCTCTGAACTGCAAATAGCGAACCCATGCCAAGTTCACATAGATTTCGGACCTCGATCCCGCGAAATCTATGGCGTTGGGCCACCATCTGCGGATGGAAATGGCAGAGCTCCATTCCAGAACATATCAATAAATTGGAGCTCAAAGCTGTTTACACTGCTCTGAAATGGCGGGTGGCCCGACAGCGGTTGCGCCATTCTCGTGTGCTGCGCCTTGTTGACTCCATGTTATCACTACAATTTTTAAACAAGGGGAGATCCTCCTCACACAAACTTAGGAGAATCACCAAAAAATGCTGCACGTTGCTGGTTGCCAGTCGTCTTTTTCTAGTTCTTCCTTACATTGACACAAAGCAAAACCCGGCCGACAGGCCATCTAGGCGGCCTACAAAACGAAACTGGGCAAGCGCCAAATAGTGGAGTGTCAAAACAAGCAAGAACGAAAAAGACGACGGCAGCAACTAGGAACATTGCAGCGGTTAGTCATCAAGCGCAGCACCGAATGTCGCTATGAGAAAGCTTTCAAACGGTTTTTGTCGTATCTTGCTGGGAAGTGTCAACCTTTAGGGACCAAAAAAGAACGAGTTGATGGTCAAGCCCAAGAATTCTTAGAATTTCTTTGGGAAGAAGGTGAGGGACAATCCTTGGCTGCTGACGTGTTGAGCGCCATTCAGCGCTACCAGCCTAGTATGCGTCGCTGTTTAAATTGTAGCTGGAGATTATTCAAGACATGGCAGCGGTTCGAAATCCCAGCCAGGGCCCCCCCTATGACTTGGCAAATTGTTCAAATACTAATGGGGTTTCTTCACCATAAGTCCTCAAGTGGCCCTAAGCCTAGGAGTAGCTTTCCGCTGTTTACTTCGCACAGGAGAACTCCTTAGTTTGCAAGCGCGAGACATTGTCATTCCAGCCGGGTCACGATGTGCAATCTTGTACCTTGGGGAAACCAAGACTGGGCCCCGTAATCCACATGCAGGCACGGTATCTTGTCATGATTCAACCCTAGTCCATTTAATGCAAGTGTGGAAAGCAACATGTGACCCACAGGCTTTCCTAGTTCCTTGGCCCCAATCTCGTTTTCGCTCAACTTTCAATGCTGCACTTTCTTCATTGGAATTGCAAACATATGAATGTGGGCCTTGTTCATTGCGGCGTGGCGGTGCCACTGACCTGTGGATGTCTTGTCGAAATTACAGTCAAGTAGCACACACTGGTCGTTGTTCAGCGGAACGGACAGTCAAAGGAAAAAATCAGGATTCAATTGCCCTCCTTACTCAATTGACATTTAAACCATTTCAAAAACATATAACGTTTTTATGTCACTGGGAGGAGGTAACTAAGAGCTGTGTTGAGCCACAACTAAAGTCAACGAGGCGGGGTCGTGGAAGATGAAAAGAATGCTACGAATGTTGCCTCCTTATTTCTTGAATTCAGCCATGTTGGCCTAAAGAGAAAGGTTTTTCAATGTGGCTTTGTTTTGCTTCTGCCATGTTGGCCTTGAAAGAAAAGGCTTTCTGATATGGCTACTTTTGATCAAAAGAGACTTCCGGCAGGGGCCGCTCAGTGTTTTATTCCTACCAACTTTGGTCCTGCTTCAGCACAAAAGGAGCGAAGGTGCATTTCCTAGAACTAGGATATTCTAGTGATCATATAGCATCACATAGTATATATATGTATATATGTATATATATGTATATATACATATATACATATATATATATATTATATATATATATATCATATAACTATTTGTATGGCATATTACCAATATATTTGACACATGCATATAGCATCATTTTCGATAAGGATAATGTTCTTAACTCAACCCGAGGTCTGCGGCCCAGATCCTTGCCCGGCGCTCGGAGCAAGATCTCAGGCCCGATTGGACCAAAAAACAACGTGCCAAACAGCCAGATGAAGTGCTGTTAAATCTACCATTGACAAGTACTTTAGGATTGGAGTTTACTTAGCCTACTTTTCTGCAGTTTGTTTGGTAAATCTGGGGTTTGCCATGCAAAGTGCTGTGGTGTCGCGTGCCAGGTCCGCGGAACTGAGTGGGGAAAATGATAAGCTCCGAAGAGAGCTGGAGCGAACCACCAAGATCCTGGAGGTGCCCGGTACCGTGCACCGTGCACCGTGCAACACTGTTTCTTGTGAAGATCTGTGGAGATTTCTGAAGGCGAACCAAAAGATCAATGACATGATCAATATGTGGTCAGATTCTATTGCATTCATCATAATCATCTATGTTTTCACATACTTTCACATGTGTTGACCAACTCAGGCCTTGGTTTTCCAACTCATCGGTGTCAGGTGCTGGAGCAACAGAAACATCAGGCCGAAGACAAGATGATGGCCCTGGAGCAGGACGCCATGGCTTTGGATCCTCTGTGCCAAATTCACTTGGTAGAACCACACATTCTGGCTTGTATATATTTGTATCATTTGTACTGTACACACATAAATAAACAAATATATACGTATTACTACATATATATACATACATACATACATACATACATACATATATATATATATATACACATGTCATATTTCAGAGGCATTTAAAGTGGTGTATACATATTTATATGTGTATATATATATATATAATTGTCTTCCAAAAGGAGCACAGGCCATTTGCCAGGCCACAGGTGCTGTAGCCACGTTTTGCGATGGCGCTATGAGGAGCACACGGCTCTGTTGCGGCGCCTGGCCGAGGTTCAGGGTGCAGGCCACCAGTGAGGGTACCCCAATAGCCTGATGGTTTATTTATGGAAAATCCCATCTATGAATGGATGAGAACTGGGGGTACCCCTATTTTAGGAAACTTCCAACTGACCCAAGAATCGGAACATCAGAGAATGTTGGATTGAGATCTTTCCAGATCTTACCAGCATATTTCTGTTCATTTGTCGAGCTTGTGAAGCAATGGGAGCATCAGGAATGCAGGAATTGAAACCTGTGGGTCTTCCCTGCGACATGGGACCTTGTTTGGATTTGTTTGGATGAGTCAACGCTTCCGACATTTAGCTGTCAGAAGTTAGGATACCTCTGTTGTCGCAGTGGATTTCAGCATATTTCAGCTGTTTCACCAGATTTGAGTCTGCAAGTTCATTGAAAGACCCGAGCATTTGGCCGAATTTGTTGGGCAATCCTGTGACCACGAAAACTCATTGCTGGCTGCAGGTCAAATTTCCGAAGGCTTGGAGCGCCCAGAGCGGCCACAGGACCGAAATCTGTAGGTCAGTTGTGTCAAAAGGATCCGCAAAAAGCCGGCAGAGTTCAAGTCATTATATCATATTACAATTATATACAATTATTGTATCAGTATCATATTGTATCAGTTGGCATTGGTTCTACTTTTTTTCTGCTACGTTGCTTTTTGAGAGCATGCGAGCCTGTCGACCTGGCATTATTGACAACTCATAACTGTCATAAATGTCTTCCAACTCTGGGTTTCTGCAAAGGAGATTGACCCTCCAAGAATTGCTGACGAGGCCCAGTGGCCATCTTTGAATTGTTCAGTGCAGCTACTATTCTAAGAGATTCTAAGAGTTTGAATAGGTAGTTATAAACGGTTATAGGACTCGTCTAGAGTCAAGAAGCAATTGCCGCTCTCGTCCTTTGGTGCTGAGCTCACTGCCTGAGTTTCTCGGCTTTGGCGAAGGTCGTTGAGCCAGTGGAGCAGGTCACCCCCTTGGCAGTGATGACGATGACAAGCAGATTCAAGCAGAGCGTTGATGGTTGGGTCATTGTGAAAGCCGCCTGAAAGCACACCTTGTAAAGGTCATTGAGTCATTTACATTTTGGAGAGTTTTGGAGTTGTACCGTGAACATCCGTGAACATCGTGAACTTTGTCAACCTGATTTTTGGTTTTACAGCCCAACCCAGTGGTCTTTGTAGAGGCAGATAGCTGTATCAGGATCTGAATGTTGATTGAACCCATAGATTGTGATGTTTTCCTCTTTGTTTGGCCTTTGTTGGCTTGTATCCCAGGTTTGGTTCATTAATATGCGCCGTATAACGGATCCAAGCACGCTTTGTCACAACACTCTAGCCCCTGCACGCCTTCCTCTGTGGCTCAGTCCGGGGGAACTCGGCAATTTTCGGGCGCCAAGAGATGTAGACCAGCTGAAAGAAAACGCCCAATGAATTTCAACATGGGGCTTTAGGGCGTGAGTAGCAAGATCAGATGATTTCGTGTAATTTGCCCTTTGGATTTACAGTATCATGGATTGTGGCGTATACTGACCGTACACTCACTAATCCAGAACAAATTGCAATCAAGACATAAACGAGTCGTGTAGACTATGGAGATACACTTGCTCGACTCAGGACATTGCGCATTGCGGTTTGACAAATTGAGCTCCAAATTGATGAACGAATGCGGTTCTCGATGGTCTCATCTCGGGATCCTGTTCCGAAACAATGCTGTGCCAGCAGTTGGATGACTTGTTGTGACTGCAGTCTTTCGATGTCTTTCGGATCACTCTCAGATGTTGCAATGTCGCACTTTTTTGCGCATTTTGGACACGCTTGTGAACGGCCAACAGCGATTCTGCTAGGATGACCCTCGAAACACCGTCGACGCCTGAGAAACACAGAGACGCTGAAGATACAAAGATGATCGAAAAGCTTTCGTGGTTCTTTTTGGATCCACAACGGAAGTATTGAGCATACAGTATGGGTCCAAAATGAATCTCATCAGATTTAAGCCATAGATTTCCGAACATGTTGACCATTCATGTCGTCATGTTTTAATGTCAAACCCTATGTCGCTTTGGTTTTTACGCGCACTGAGGCTCCCGACCCCTGGTATCCCTTTGGAATGGAGTCGGCGCAACGAAAGCAAGGCCGCCCGGCCACCACGGCTGAGGCCTGGGGCCGGCTGTGAGCAATGATGGCAACGATGGCAACGATGGCAATGATGTCTTGAGGTTCACCGAGTGCTTCAGAAATCTTCAGAATCTCTGAAACCAAACTTCGCCCCAGACGCCAACGCAACACTTGACGCTTCGGCTTTTGCTCCTGGGACTCTAGGTCCCAAATTCTTGGGGACCCGATGTCCCCTCTATCCGTAGATGTGTGCGACACAAAAGTGTTGAATTTTTGTTCAATTTGGCACTGATACATACTGATACCATATTAACAAAATTGACAGACTTTCGGGTACCGAACAGTTTGGCTCCAGAGGCTGTGCAGCGACTGCTGGCGGCAACGGTCCGAGTCAGACAGGTCTGCGCCGCACAAAGCGACGATTGGTGTTTTTTGTGGGGTTACCTTCTCAAGGGATACTTATTATATTAATATATATATATATTATATATATATTATACATTACATATTACATCGTGGTACTTTTTGGTACTATTTTCATGCATATGCATGTTGATACGTTGCGATACTTGCTACATGTCATGGTCGTGCCCAATCTAGAACCCACACACAAACACCCGTGTTCCACACATTCGAATTCAGTGGTCGTGGGTTCAGCCCAGTAGCCGTTCGGCTCAGTAGCCGTTCGGCCCAGTAGCCGTTCGATTGCAATGGCATCCCTGGTTGCTGGCTTGTTTTTGAACCCGTCTGAACGGGTTGGTCGAGGTGGTGGGCCCCCAGGGGTTATGTGAGTCCGATTTTTTCCGGGATTGCGATGACTTAAAGGGATGTGAGTCGGGCAAACAAACCAAGGTTATCCAAAATTACATTACATAATTTTTCTGTATTCAATCTTTGTTTTGTTCCACTTTCCATCCTACCTTCAGTTTTTCTTGGTCTCAAAAGATGATTCCAGAATGTTCACCACAAAAATATTGGCCACAGAGTTTCCACCCTACCTGTACCGAACGGCCTTCTACTTTTATTCCATCTTGGATTCCCAATCCCATTTGAGCCATTAAGAATAAATGTTTGTTGGTCATTCCGGGTTTACTCCACTTAAAAGGGACAATTGTAACATAGAAGAAGAGATTGTTGGAGACTTATCAACCCTAATGGTTGAGTCTCTAACAGGAATAACCCAATAATTGATAAGTTAACGAGTTCCTGACCCACAATGGAAGACTCATCCACCATGCCACCATGATCCCCAGGCGTGGCAGAGCATTTCTGCTGCTCTCAGCGGCGGCCCTCGCCGCCCTCGGAGCTGCATGTGGCGAAGCTCCTGATGACCAAGGCAGGGCGAGCGCATGGACCATAGATGCCATAGACAATAAAACACTGTAGATTCAAGCATAGAGTTAAACTATGTTAAACTATGTTAAACTCAATTAAGTATATTTATGACTTATAACCATGTATTCAAGATTATTCAAGTATGTTTAAATATTTTATTTGACATTTTGTGTTGACATTGAGCTAATCCCTTCTAATCCCAGCTGTCGAGCTTAAAAAGTTGCCTCTGTACTGAAGGTCCAGTGCTACTGCGAAGCGGTGGAAGGGAGACGGAAGAGCCTTGCTGCGGTAGATGGCTTTTACCGTCTTCAGTCCGCAAGGATGAAGCTGAGTTTCGGTGCAGTGACATTGTGCCATGGAAAAGGAATGAACATCAGATTTGAAAGAGAATTAGAATTGGACAATATGTGGTCATTGAATGGGGCTGCCCCTTTGTGCCTTGCGGATCTGAACCTCGAACACGACTCACGATTCGTGTTCTTCCATATCCCGGAAAAGTAAGTGTAACGCTGCGGCCCTGAGAGCTATCCTGGCTGTTTCTGCAAAGCTGGGCTTGCACAGAATACTGCAATGTTTTGGAGCCCTCCTAGAGTGTGAGCTAGGAGTGTGAGTTAGTAGTCTGAAACGTTTGTGCAACGAGCATACCTAGGTATTCTAGATGATGAACCACAGTAGACGGATTGTTTTGGGATTGGGTTAAAGCCACCAATGAAAAGCAACAACTTTCACTTTTGCCTGGCACTTATATACGGGGCTCTGGCTGAGGTGAGCTGATGGTCTGCCAGTGGCGCATTGAGGCAATCGAGGCCTCTCCTGATTGAGACAGAGAACATGGTCTCTACAGTCTCTATATGACAATCACGGGACACGGGACACACTCTGAAGATCTCTGAAGAACCACTTGAAACAGGACAGTTTTTGGTTTGTTTGTTCTGTGCAGCATCAAATTCATTTATTTTTGTCGGCAGGCGCAGCAGCGTGCCCTGCAAGAGCCAGAGGCTAGGGCGGCAGTGGAGGAATCGCTGCTGCAGATCTGTGTTGGTTGTGAAGATGTTTGAAGTCCAAAGCCACATCTTGGAAGGTGCCTGAGAAGCAGGTGGTTTCTCCAACCGCATTTGAAGCCGTGAGCTGGGAAGGAGACATAAGAACTGCATGGCTTGCGGCTTCAAGCATTTTGACATTCAAAACTTCAGGCAAAACCATGTTTCGTCATGTGAGAAGACCAATTCTTCTATGCGTCACACCTGACATCGTTGCATCATGAGCCACGACAGGACAAACAGATGGGTTTAATCCTGTGGAGACATGCCTCGCAGAGACTTGGCTGCAGAGGTTGCAGAATGGTTCAGGTGAAGCTTATTGCCCGTTGTGGATGTATGATTGATGTATGATATGATTTCTGGTGAATTCAGACAACCAACAATACAACTGGTTGGTGGTTTGGAACATTTTTTATTTTCCCATATATTGGGAATAATCATCCCAACTGACTATTATTTTTCAGAGGGATTGAAACCACCAACCAGACAATAATACAATGTCTTGAGGATCTTGAGGTCACAGGCTTCGATTCCACTGTACTTCAACAGTCCGTACTGCGACTGTGAGGAACTGGCCACCCTACACGATGCGGCTCTGCAGGGTCTTGAAGAGCGCGCAGCCCACTATGCTGTGACCAACTGGAGGACTGGCCCCATGGCACCGCCTGTGTACAGTGTACCACAGCGTACCACAGTGTACCACAGTGTACCGGTCTACCGACAAAATTCTGGTGCTCTTGAAAGTCCGAGTAGCCATCGAGGGAATGACATTCCAGTAGATGACAAAGATTGATAAAGTCAGGATTTCAGCATTTTTGACCAGGCATGCCCAATGGTCGACTTCTGAAGCATTGTTCAGGTCAGCCTTGCAGTTCTTTCAGTCTGCAGCTGCAGGAGCAACGGTCTTCCAAAGCGTGTCATCTTTTCGGAGGACAAAAGCACCGCTTTGGAAAGGTATCGAAAGCTGGTGCCTTGATCGAATTCTTGAAGAACTTCTAAGAACAACTTTTTACATCTTTTTACTTTTTCAAGGACATGATTGTCCCAGAATACTGGATTTGGTGGCAATTGTGGAAAATCCAGTTTGAAGGAACTACACTTGTGATGAGAAATCTGGAATAATCTCATCCTAAACGCCTCACAAAATAGGAAAACCATTGAAAGAGTCTGTAATTCTGGAGCAGAAAACTGCCCCAGCTGTGCCTGTTCGGCCTGTTCGGCCTGTTCCATGCTCCGCCTGCATTGTGACACGAGGCTCTGCCGGGCTCTCCAGGCAGAGGAAGTCTTTGCCGAAGCCGCTGCAGAGATGCGAGGCCTCACCGAGGCCTACATCGGCACATTTTGGTATGATTTTCTTGGCAGTTCCAGAGTCGCCAGAGTCACTAGAGTTTTTGAGATCCCAGAGAAACTGCTGAGGTTGAAACATTCTTGTGTTCAGTCCTTGGAGATTGTGGTACGTGGGATGCCCCAGGCACCCAAAGCAGCCTGGGCGAATCTCCCAAATTCCTTGGCGCGGCGCCTGAAATTTTGGAGCTGCGAACTGGAGGAAACGGGAAAGCACTTGAGCCATGCCCAGTTCGTCGGTTAAGTGATATGTTGGTTTCTTGAGGCTTTCAGGCTGACATGGTAGTGGGACTAGTGTGCAAGGGTCAGCAATGAATTTTGCCTGAAGATGATGTTGCACATGTTTCTGTCTTCGAAACATAATGAGTACAGTATGTGGATTTCAAATTTGCCGGTGAACTCCACTCCCTGAGGAGACTTGGAGTAATTGGCAGGATGCCACTTCGAGGATGTACAGCGCAGGTCATGATGCGCTGGGTGCGTGGCGGGACATCGCGGAAGTTTTAGAGTGTGCTTGCCAGCATCTTGGCCGATGCCGGATGAAACGATAGCTGCATCAGCTTGGGTAAATTTGGTATTCAACTTTCTGTAAATTTTAAGCTAAACCTGAGAATAAGTCTATTTGGGATGGTTGGAAAAAGCACCGCCGATTGCTTGCAAAATTGAGGCTGTTTATTTGTTGGGCTTACCACAGTATTGGTAGGTTACATCCTCATTTACTGTTGCTTGCATCCCATATTTGCTGGGAAATCTCGAATTGTTATTATTGTTATTATTGTTATGATTATTATTACTATGAAATCACTCTTATTGGTATATGACCAGTATCTGCCAAAAATAATATTGATGGGGAGGGTCAGAGATTGATGAATTCCCGGGCTTTCCATTTGGAGAGGCTAGGAAGGAGAGAGCAGTTTTGAGCCAGTTGGATCCGAGGCATTTTGAACACTTGCAAGACGGAGGGCAGAAGGCAAGGGCAAAATGCTTGGCAAGTTCATGTTTGAAATTTGGCTATGAGTCATAACCCTGGTACCTAGTGAACCACAAAACAGCTGGCAAATGGATGTTCATCCCATTAAAATTGATACTAATAGGTTTTGACCCATCCCCATTTGATACCAGCTGGAAACAAGAGCTAAAGGGTTTGGAAAGGGTTTGGCTGTCTACTGGATGCCTGATGAAAAGTGGGAACACTGCAGGTTATCGCAAAGCCAGAGCTTCAAGCAGCCCTCATCATCTTTGTCGCCCGCAGTTTGGAGGTGGAGTTGCTGAACTCTTTAGGAGAGACACCGGCGGCACCAGTTGCTACGTACGTTTGTCCGGAGTATCGTGCAGATGTCTATGCGTATGTGCGTCTGTAGATATCAGATTGTGATGACTGCCTGGGGTGGTGAGGGTTTGAGCAGCTAGTATGATGTCCATACTTAGAGCAAGAAGCATATCCCACTAGACTCACCAGAGACTTCATAGAACTGCTTCAAGCACACCATGCTTTGTTGGATTCTGCTTCCTGCCCTTTTTTCTTATGTTTCGATTTCATTTTTTTCAATGCAACAAATGTACAGTGAGTCTTTGGATGTGGTGCTGAAAGGCATGGAGAGAGTTGCTGGGTCTGCCAGGAATCTGGAGATGCAAAGTCTGGGCTACCGGGGCCATGACCAATGCCGACCTGTCAGGACTCAGTGGCCTTCGGGATGCCGATGCTGACGATGATGGTGAGCCGCAGCTCAGCTTCTGTGTGGAAACGCGGCTGGATATGCTGACCTCGGTACTGGAATTGCTGTGTCACCTCAATGTCTTGGACCGGGTGGGCGAAGAGCTTTTACATGCAGGCGCACGGCTGCACAGCTGTCAGAGGATCAGATTGGCGATTGGGGATTGGTAGTATAATGGAAAGATGCGAAAGGATGTGGAAAGGATGTGGAAAGGATGTGGAAAGGATGTGGAAAGGATGTGGAAAGGATGTGGAAAGGATGTGGAAAGGATGTGAAATGCCACAATTTTAGCTTTGAAATGCGAAAACGGGTCGACTTTCAAAGTCTCGACAGCGATGCTGCCAATGTGTCAGGTGGGTCTTTGCCTTCCAGCCAAGTTGCTGCATGGTTGGCGGAGAATGTGAGCCAGGCCTTGCTTGGAACCGAGTGTGCAAAAATGAGACCTAGGAATGGTGCCCTGTGCCAGTAACAAAGATAGTGAACATCTCCCGGCAGTTCTTTGAGGGAGAAAGGCTTCCATGTTTTTGGATGTTTTTTGATCACAGACTCGTTTCGAAAGGTTCCATGCTGCTCCATAAATTTGTACTTAGATGCCACAGAGTGGACCCCAAATGTTTCTTCTAGGACTCGTTTTGCAAAGCAATGGTTATCTCAACATGGGTCGTTGCACCAGGTGAGCAGTGATGTGAACGACCTTCACAGTTTGGCTTCTGGCGAGCTGAGCGCTCGTGTACTGCTGCCCTGGTTCATTGAATGCTTGTTGCAGGTGAGACACATTCAATTTGATGCCTTTGGTGCCGTGTTTCTGAGTTCGAGCTTCTTTTTGTAGCTTGAAGATACTTGAAGAACTCGGGCATTCCTGTCTCGGAGCAATGTTGAGAGGCAGTGGCAAGTGCTGCACGAAGGGAGGAAGCAAAAGAGTCGGAGGACTGATCGCAAGCCGTTGCAGTGGGTTGTATCAACAGGTATTGCAAACTGCACACAGTGCACGCATCTCAAGGGAATGATGCCCGGTCCATGTTGTTTTGATTTGACAAACAGTCATAGACAGTCGCTTATTCGGCGAGGCTGTTGCCCTTCCCTTCGGTTCCTTCGGCCTTTGGAAAGCTGCACTGGACGGCCCATCCATGAGCACACTGTTGGCCGCTTGGAAGGGCTCTGATCTGACATTTATTGGTTTGATAAAGGCTATAGCGGCTACATCCCAAATCTCCAAGCCTTTCACAATAGGATGATGCAGGTTCTACAGGTACTTGAATGTGCTACCCCTTCAGACTCTGGACGGGGGGAGCGACCTGCCTCAGGCAACACAGACAAACCTATAAACCTAGATCAAGCGGGGTTGTAAGCTGCTTGCGAACTTATGAACCAGGGTTATTAATTATATTATATTATATATATATTAGAACTATAATGAACTATATGACTAATATATCATTATATATTATATCGCATTTGTATAACATATTAAACTATAGTTAATAGTTGTATATATATATATACACATACTTGATGCTTCCTGATTGGCGTCCAACTGCTCAGGACAGATGCGGGCAGCTTGCAGGTGTGGAGCTGGCTGAGGCTCTGAAGGCCTTGGCCTTGCAGCGCAGCAGCCAGGTTGCTCCGACGCTGGATACGGGGGACAGACCTCGAGAGGGGTCACAGGGGTCACCGGGGTCAATTGGTCAGGATGATTTGGATGTTGCGACATCATCCTTTGCCAGATGGGTATGTGGATGATTTTGGATGTTTGTTGTTCACTGTTTGGGATGATGGGACTGGTGAGTTGTTGTAAACGTCCCAAAATCATCCCAAGGCCATACATGGCATGCCTTACATCCCCAGGTCCAGAGGCGTGACCCCAAGAAGCTGAAAGAACTCACCAAGGAGCTTTCCAGCAGTTGCATCCTGGCATTCACATATTTTCACAAGTTCCACTAGCTACAGTAGTTTCAATATTTTCATTATTTTTTTTGAATTTCCACTTCTATCTGGACTTTGTCAGATGATGATCCTTGAAAACGATGCAATACCACCAATGAAAGTATGATTTTATTTCCTTGTTACTTGAGCGGTTTCTTTGATGTTGGGTTATCAAATTGACGAATCATTTGACAGTTCTACGTTCTACGCTCTGACACATCTCATATGGTTTGGTTGCTTCAGACAGTACCTTCAACACATCCAAGGCACAAGGCTCTTGGATTTGGACTGCGATCAGTTTGACACCCCGGCGACCAGCCTCAGAATGGGCCGATCGATTTCTTGGACAATCTGCAATCTCTCTTTAGGATTCCTTAGGTCATTTAGGTCTAAAAATAGCTTCAGATTCAGTGAAACATAGTGAAACCAGTGAAACAGCCGTGCAGCCTGAGGTCTTTGGGTTGTCAGGGGACCTCACAGATCCGTGAGCTCGATACAGCAAAAAAAGAAAGTTTTTTTTTTTTTTCGCCGGTTAGCAGCTGGCCGAAATTGGAGGGTAGTGTCGTGCAAGGGGCTAGTGCGGCTAGTGACCTGTTGAATCTTTGGTTTCCAAGCCAATTTCGCGTTTGGGTGAAACTATGCTGCTTTATCTGTTTCAATTCCAAATGATGATGTTTTTGATGTTTTTGGTGCTATTGAAGATTGAAGATGCTCCCCCAGTGATGCCTGAAGTGTGGGTATCACTCGAGCAGTCGGGACGACTGGAAACGAGTGACCATTTTCCAGAGCCGGTCAGGTTCACAAGAACAGACAGGAGTGACATGCGGACAGGCTTGGGTAAAGAGTTGGATCCCACTCTAGTTTTTTTTTTAAAAAAATCCTGCATGTTTGGTATCATAGTCTCACCTTAAAGGCTGCGGTTTTGAACATGGGACCCAACATCTAGATGTCCTTCTTCATATGCATTGTGCAATTCAGAAGGGCTGCGGTTGACGGTGACAGGTGTGACAGGTGTGACAGGTGTGACAGGTGTGACAGGTGTGACAGGTGTGACAGGTGTGACAGGTGTGACAGGTGTGACAGGTGTGACAGGTGTGACAGGTGTGACAGGTGTGACAGGTGTGACAGCCCAGTTGACTTGAAGCATTTTTTCACTTTCGAGCAGCTGAAGTCGGCCGTGCCCGCGACATTTTAAGTGCGAGATCAAGTCAGCGGCCCTGGTGGCTGTGAAGCTTGTCGCTCGCCAGGAGATGCAAAGATACCCCAGGGTATAGTACGATGATACTTCCAGTCTCAGCTTGCACGACTGTACAGAGCTTTTTTTGGGAGCTGAGCTGTGGCCGGCTTGGCCACTGGAATTGGATTGGACCGTGCTTCCAACCTTCCAGAATCCCGGCAGAACATCTTCCGGCTGTCTCTGCAGGGATTCCAGGTGCAGACTCCGACAACGGGTGCTGATTGAAGTGCAAGAGTGAACGCCTTTTACATCTTTCACACTGAAATCGTATGACATTGTGATGATCCTGTTGGAACGTGCCCGTTGTCCACCTTTGAATGCTGTCTAAGGAGTCAAATTCATCTGCGGTTGCTGTGAAGTCGCAGTGGCTGCCTGTACAAAGTTGAACTGACCAGGTGAGTCATTCTGTCATTCTTTGGGTTTCTTTGGGTTTCTGCAAACAGCGAGAACCCCGAGAACCCCTGAATGCGGCTGAGCTGTGGGAGAAATTGAGAAAGCAAAAGGGAAGCTTCGACGCTTCTGGTTGCAGGGGCCGCAGGGGCCACGTATTTCAATCTGTTCAGATGCTTGAGCGCTGTGCAATGGTTCCTGGAGATTGAGTTTGTGGCATATATTTAGAGATACTGATGGGCTTTTTAGAATTTTGCATCAATCGCCCTTGCGCGTCAAAGCTCTGCCAATGTGTGCCAATGTGCTCTGCTCCTTTGATCTGCTCTCTCTGCAAGGCCTTGTGGTCTGTGCCAAAAGCAACGGAATCTCTTGCCAACCTTGCGCACTTGGCCTCCGGTGGTCTCAGACAGTTTTGTGAGTTTTGCGAACGGCTGTCAGCTTGTGGGGGTTACTTGGTTTCGCCGCAGAGGCAGCCTTGGCAGATACCTTGGATCACGGCCTGTTCAAACAGATGCAAATGGCACATCTTCGGATGTTGTGTCTCGCTGATGTGTGGCCAGGGCACAGCTGGAGCGTTGTGGCTGTGGAAAGGTGTGCCGGGAGGCAGGGTCTCATGTTGACAACTTCAGAGGGACTGTGATGGACTTGGTGATTGAAACAAAGCACACATGTGCGAACTCAGATACTTTGGAAAGGTGTGAAGAACTTGTGATGTCCCAATAGTTGGTCAAGACTCAGGCTGATGGCTGCTTGCCGCAACCTTGGGATTCTGTCAGTCTTCACTTAGCATGGCTGATGTGAGAAGCCATCAATTTCACCACTGGGTGAGTTGAACTGCAATATTCCATGGACGTCCATTGAATCAGATTCTCAGTACTATAGTCCTTAGCAAATATGACAGTTGATTTAGACAACATTTCCAAAGGCCAACATGTGTTGATCCCTCAGTGCCAAGGAGCTGCCAGAAGCTGGATGAAGGTCGCTGATCCGACTGATTTTCTGGCAGGAAATTCTGGGTTGGGGTTCACCGAAAACCATGAGACGTCAGGAAAACCAGAGATGGCAAACACCGGGGATTTGTGGCATCACCAAACCGAAGATTCCAGGCATTTGACACGATGCTCCGTCGATGCCTGGAAAATCCGAAATCCGCTCACTGCCGCAGGCACCATTTTCCCACGGATTTCGGATGTACTTCTTTGTGGCTCGAGCGCCTCTGGTCTGGAGATTGAGGCCGGCAAGTTGTGGAAGGAGTGTTTTGCCAGAGTGGTACTGCACATAGATTCATAATGATTCATACATGGCTAATAAATTGCTAATAAGACTAATACATTACACCGATATGCAACGAAACAGGTTCCAGGTTTGCCGGGTCGACAGTGCTTGCCCTGGTCTTTGCTGCAGCCAGTTCCAAAGCCTTTGCCTCAGCGATCCCGACCAAATCGTTGGCGAGCTTTTCTTGTTGAAGCCTTTCAAGGCATTTCATTTGCCACCTTGACTTCACCAATGCCAGGAATATGTTCGTCCTCAAAAGATAGATGCTACTCGCAAATCTTTTTATGCTCGCCCTTCATTCAATTTTCTTTGTCGCCTTATTTCATACACCTTCACAGTCCTTTGAAAGTGCGGAGAACGCGCCTGCTGTTGGACTTTGCTGTTCGCCTGGTGAATCGTTACAGCCGACTCCCAGATGCGCAACGCAATGTTTCGATGGTGAGGCCAATCATCGAGGTTGGCATGGCAAAGGTCAAATGGCCAAAGCCCGAGGAGTCTAAGCTGTGATAAAATTTGAACTGAGATGACTCAGCTGAGAACAGTCAGAATGTCGTTCCTCCGGGTTCTCCAGATCAACATCACAGACTGGTCCTACTCATGTTTGATCAGAGTCCAAATTTTGTTCGGTGCTACAGTGCTACAGTGCTACATGCCCACTTTCTGCGTAGATTGCATAGGAGACTCAGTTCTTACGTTTGTGTCGGATATGTTTTCGCCAGCCTTGGAGTCGAAGCATTTTTCTGGCATGTCGACAGCAGTCGAACTTTGTTGGACTTGTTGCCTTAGATGGTAAGATTAAGAAAATTGTTCTGCATTTGACCTAGCTCGAAGCCACTCTGCACTTGGTGTCCACAAGCTTCTGACTTTTTGGCGAGGCGCTTTCACTGTATCAACTTGGGCGACCAGCCGAGTGACTTCTGCAGCGGCCCAGAAAACCACTGGGAGGCGACACAACTTTGGTTTTCGGAGGGTAAGTCAGATATCAATGCATCAAGTAAGCGCAAGTAACCCTCAAGAGACTTTTTGAAACTATGATGACCTTTCGGAGCAAGGCTTGTGAGTGTTTTGTACATGTTTGTACCAAATCTTCCCAGGTAGAGTGGAACTCTCGAACTTCAGCTTCTGCCTCAAACTGGCGCTAGGGCCCAAGGGGCCCAAGGGGTCTTGGTTTTCCATGTTTTCCAACAGACTTAGCAGATTTTGGGCTATGGGTGCTGTTTTTTGGTGCCCCGCTTTGGAAAGGTACAGGCCACCTGGATGTCCGCGTATCACTTCGAGATGGCGGCACTTTTCAGGCGCTTTTTCGTGATGACGCTTATTGCAAAGTCAAGCGGTGGGTCAAACGTTTTCGCTGATGGAGCATCAGCAAAAACGTTTGAAATGGTCACATGTTGCCATTTCATCGATGAACATTTAGTTTACTTTTGGTGCCCCAAGATACACCCTGCGCTCCACGTAGTGTACGGAAAGAGCCACAGACACCTTGACAATCCTTGACCCAACTAGGTGCAAGAGATGCCAAGCACACAGTCTGGGGTCTCAGTGGAAACTAAGGTCTGTTTACTGTTTGGTAATTTGTCCCAGGCCCACAGGAAGCCTGGCTAGTATCACTCACACTTTTGTTGGGATTATGACTAATATGATCATACTTACTCCAATTATCTCCAACTATCTACAGTAAGTGGGTCTGTCAGTTTATATGATTGACATTTCCCTGTTGAGCACCCCGTATCACGGAAAATCAAGAAGGGCTTCCTGCGCAGGAGCCTTGGCTGTCCACAGCTGCTTTGCCTTGGGCATCGGGTGCCAGGGGGGGGGTAGGCGAAGCATACAAAAATGGGAGTGTCATGGCGTGTCTGAAAATTGGGTACACGGGTACACATCAAACTAGGCTTTCAAATGGAGAAAATTATGGTAGAATCAAGACTTGGGGTACCCTATACTATTTTAAGGCAAAACCAATATGTTTGAAGATCTTGCGGGGCTTGCACATCCAGAGCTTGGAGCTAAGCGGCCAACTTTGCGGAATGTTTGACCTGCACTTTCAAGCTACGCCCCATTTGGACTCAGGGCTTGAAAAAGTTGAGTTTCCAGACAAAACGCGGCACAGTTGTGGAGTGCTGGAATCTGCTAGATATTGAAACATATTGAAACCAGCAGGTGCACCTGTGCCTGGAACATAGAGATCAACCTTTAAAGGTCCAGAGCTGAGCTGCCATTCAGATTTCCCAGTTGCTAAGATCCCAATCTTTGAGAGAGTTCAGGCAAAGGTCTGTCTTGAAGGATTCTAACTTGAGGGTTGAAGGATTCCAATGAGATCAGAATGAGATCAGATCAGGGATTGCTCTGACAAATCCAAAATCTGCAGGCCTTTCGGCGCCCCTGCGCCCCTGAGATGCGTTGGCCCGCATGGCGCTTGAAGATTTTCATTGATTTGCTTCAGTTGTGTGGTCTGCATGATGGGCTTTGAGTCGTTCATTAAGTTGGACGATTCGTTAGCTCTTAAGAGCTTGAGTGAGTCATTCAGTATTGATTCTAATTATTTTCATCCAATATATATATATATACATGATCTCAAGTTGTTCAGAGGGTTGATGTGCTGCCGCTCAAGAAATTCATGCTCGAGGCCTCGGCTGTCCTTGGTGTCCTGGTGCAGGGCTTGCGGTCCAATCTTTGGGGTCTTGCTTGTCCCTTTTATTGCACTGGTCCCTCGGTTTCCTTGGCCCTCTCGTTCTTCCTTTTGGGCTTTCTTTGTGGTTGTGGTTTGTGTGCTTGGTTCCTGCTCCGGTTTGACATTGTCCCGATGCATTCCTCCACACTTCATCCTGCTGCATCAGCCCCATCTGTGCCTCCCGTGGTCAACCCTCGTGCTGCCACTTGCATGGGCCACAACGGCGCCGACCTTGAGATCTCCTTGGAAATTGGCGGCCTCCGGGTCACTGTGTCTGGGCCTTCTGCTGCAGTGTGTGACTTTGTCCAATACCTGTCGGCCTATCAGCCACGTGCTCGGTCTCCTGACCCCTTCCACTGGATCTTTTGAGGTCATCAGCTCACGTTCCCCCACTTGGCCTCCTGCCTCGTCTGGACTTGAGACTCGCGATCCGGTTCTGTCTTCCTTCAGCGCTTGCCCTTCTCATCTGCGTGCTTTGGGTTCCAAGCTGGTCGGGGCTTCGCTATCTGGGGCTGGTCGCATCGATCGTGCTTGGACTGCTGGCCGTTGGGCTAGAGCTGTGTCGGATTCCCGTGTCCACTCGCCGAATCGCACGCCACCTTTGGACTTGCGCTTGTGGTGCGTGCTGACGGTCTGGATCGTCCAACCATCTTCCGTTCCCCGGCGTCCTATCGGCGTGCCATTGGATCCCTTGAGAACAGCTCTTCCATCTCCCAGAGCTTCCGAGCTTCCCCAGTGAGTCTGAAGCAAGGGTGTAATTCCTGGCTGCCGGCTTTGCAGAGTCTGAGACCGAAGTTTTGCCTTGAGTAAATAACCAATGGCGTCAGTTGCCTCAGAAGAGGAGGGATTGAGCTTGGAAGCTTTAGTTACTGTGGAGTCTAGCCTGGAGCCCTACGTGTTCCAATGGCAGTCAGGTTCAGAGGCCGATGGCGTTGCAGAAGCCATGGCATATGTGGTTGCAAAGCGGATGGGAGGATTTCTTTTGGCTCTTCCGGTAGGCTTTAGAGGTTGTGCTCAACAGGGCAAATACTGGAGAGGAATCAGGACCCAACAGTGTTGGTTGTGCCAGGCATGCTCATGGAAGATGGCACCAAATCCACCACAGGCATGGATTTGGCAGTTTTGGCCGTGGATATGGCAGAGCCGAGGGTCCAGAAGACATTGCAATGGGGACTCACCTTTTCAATTTCCGTCTCCAAGAGAGCTCCTCGCTCTGACTATGGAGTGGGTGCGGGGGGTCAGACGAAGAAGCTGGCCTCTCTTACCACATTGCCACGGGCCCAGAGGAGGAGCAGCCAAAGCAGTCAGCAAACACCGGAGGTATGCCTTCTGGAGGAGGAGGTCAGCAAAGCCAAAGAGGGTGACCGCTACCAGCCTTGCAGCTTCAATGGATCGTCGACACCGTAGGCCCTGTGGAACAAAGAAAACCATTGAAATTTGCGCAACTGGTTTCCCGGAACTTCTCCAGCATGCAAAATTTTTCAGTGATGCAGCGATACCCTGCAATATGTGGTACTACCTGCGGAGTACTAGGCGGTCATCAGGAGATGCTGGGGGAGAATGGATGAATGCAGCTGCTTTTGCACCAAAAACAGGTGCCGCAGCGACAGACCGAAATCAGCAGCATGGTAAAACGAACGCCAACAACTTGTATACATATATATATATATATATTATATATACTGTATACTTATATATATATACTTATATGTGTATATATATATATACATATATATATAATTATATATATATACACTTATATATATATATACTTATATATATATATAATATATATATATATATGCATACACATTTTTCCATGTATATTCCATGTATTTTCCATTTGTTTCACAGTTTCACTGCTCCCAAGGTTCACGTCACAAGTTGGTTGAGCGCCGCAGAATATGCAGCTGCCTGGCGCCACCTGAGTTTCATGGAGGCTGGCGTGGACGAGAAGCTTCGAAGCATCAAAAAAATGGCAATTTCACACCAGCATGAGATACAGCTGGTAGAACTCCGGTATATCTCTGGTACCATTCAAATTCAATGCACAGGAAATGATTGGAGTTTCAGAAGAAATACCAAAGATGGAACCAACCGACAATGGAGAGGGTGAACATCCATGAACACCGATTGTGTTGGGATGAAAACAGGGGTGCGGGCTGATAGACCGCAAAGGAAGTCCGCCACGGAATTCCAGGGGTAGCTCCATGCGTTTCTTCAATGGCGGTCACCCGCGCGTAGATTTGCTAACTTGGGGTGGAGGATCACCGAGACCTCATGAGATATGCTTCCATAGTCTCCGGTGTAATCTGCCAATTTCGAATGCATTTTAGGCCAATGAAGACCAAAGAACCTTCTTTAAGGGCACAGGGTCAAAACAGCTATTTGGCTTTGAAGGACATGAAACAATATCATAGAGCTTCTGATCAGATCGATGCACAAACCATTGTACATGAAAGTTGCCCAGACTCTAAAGGTACGAGAAGTACATGGTGTTTTTTTTTTATCTGCCACCATGCATGTGCATCATGTGCATCATGTGCATCACGTGTCCCAAAGCCACGCCCTGTGGCTTTCCTTGGCACCTCGCGATTCCTACTGTTGCCACTGCCATGTCGGTGGAAGTGCAGTCCTTGGCAATCAATGCACTGACGAAACGTATCCAAGAAGAAGCCAAGGTCTTACCAGTTGCTTGGTGCAATGTTGAGTTGTGATTTCCCCGCTGACCTGCCATTGGTGTTTCTTGGTGTCCAGGATGGCATTTTGAGGGTCGCCGATTTCCTGAACTACCGGGTAGATCCTGTGCTGATGGACAACTGCGGAGCCATTCTGGCAAACAAACTTTCGAAGCGAAAACTCACCAAAGTTCTGGCGGGATGCTCCAGTTTCTTGGCTAAGCAATTGGGTTGATAGTTGCCAGAGATAGGCTGAGATAGGTCCTTAATCAGGACAAGCTGCCACTACCTTCGACTTTGGCTTCGAATTTGTCACCTCCAAACTGATGAATCTTCGAACCTGCTGAGTTAGTTTCTTCAAAGCATCAGGTCAGGGCCTCCTCCCAGCATTAGCAACTTCCAGGTGCAGTTGCCATTTAGTTTAGCATCAGCCACGTTGCTACTCTTGATGGACTTGTCTCCATTGGGAAGCCGGGAAGCAGATTAGAGATGTTTCTGCCATTCGTTTCCTTTTTGATTTCATGCCTTACCCATGGTTTCATGCCCATGCTTCGCCGTGCTCCAGACATTTGGGCATCCCGGTGGTTTTCGCATATGCCTCAGTACCAAGCGCCTGGGGTCGGCGAGAAACTTTTTCTGCGACCATTCAGGTGGGATATTCAGTTGTCCCTCAAGTTAACAAGGCAGCAGCTTTGCAAGGCCAAAATATGTCTCTGCTCGGTCCAAAAACCTCTGGGGTTCACCTCCCAGAATCGGTCAGGGACGAACGCACTGGGTCTTGAAGGAGGCCATCTCGGCTGAGGATCATGTAGTGATTATCGATGACATCGTCAGGACCGAAGGTTTAAAGATGTTTAAACATGTTTAAAGGGCATGGGTGGAACCTTGAAATCTTCGGCTTTCAGACTTTTTTTGTTCTTTTTGACCATGACCCAACTGGGGACATCAAGAGGAAAAACATCCCAGTTGCGCGGTCGAGGACTGGGTCTACGGTGGAGGCCTTGAAGTCCATCTGTCAACAAGCCGGTGCCAAATACCTGGGGGCAGGTGCCATCATCCACAACCGTCTCAATGGCCAGACTTGGGATGGAGAGCTGGAGAGCTTGGCTCAGGTGGGAAGACTTGCCACAACGGAGGGTTGCGGCTAACTCATGACAACTTCGATGGTTTTGGTGACCTGCACCTCGAGTGCTTTGTCCAATGCTTTCCAGTTGCCCAGGTGTCTCCGCCCTCCGCTTTTGGCCGGGCCGTGGACATCAGCCCAGCCGTAAACGACTTGGCGCTGCCGGAGGTGGTGGCGGCCGATGTCCTCACTGAGCGCGTGATGACGGAAGGAAAGGTGTTGCCCGGGAATCTGCTGAAGGTTTATTCCTTCATCAACCATCAGGTGGGGCTACCATGGTTTCCATCAACTGATGGGGTGTTTAGTCAATGTTTGGCAGAGCTGCTGTCCAAGTATATTTGGTCATGGTCCGTTATTGAAAGTCAATGTGTTCATGCTTGGTAGGGTACAGAATGTGCACAGGCAACGCCTCAAATCCCTTCAAAGGAAATTCTAGATTGGGAAGCTGAAGGGTTGCTGAAAATGAAGTGACCAGCGTAGATAGTGGACTTGAGACCACCAACTCTCAAGATGCCTAAACAAGAATCTGTTGGAGGCATCGTCGTGGCATCCATTTTGAGGCATTTTCGCTTGTTGCACTGGAGTCCCGTGGCACTGAACTATCAAATCCTTTAACCAACCTTTGGGCCTTTTCCACACTTCCGACAGATTCAGATTCAGAGGGCATTGCGCCGGCTGAAACCGTAGGTGGACACGGGGCTGATGGATATGTGCGGCCAGTTGTTGGCGCGTGTCTTCGCTGGCTTCGGTGTCTCAAAGGTTCTTACTGCACAGACTGGAGGTCTACCTCCGGCGCATGCAGTTGCTTGGACGCAGGAATCTTCTTTTGCATTTCGGTGTATAACTTGCGATTTCATGCTGCAAGACAACATATCTGTGTGTATTTTCTTGGTTTTTGCACAGGAGGCCCCAGATCTTGCAAAGTAATGTTGAGGTTTGTGTGATTGTTCAATCTGCATCAAGCCACCGGAGGAATCGTGCACATTTCAAAGGCAACTGCAATGAGGAAACACAAAGGTCAGCATGCAAAGATATGCAAGGTGTCCTCTTGATGGCCTACAGTACTAGCTGCCTTGCTCTTTTTTTTCTCCAGGCTTCCATCACAAGAGTTTCCCTAAATTTCCTCCAGATTCGAAGGTCTTTCCTCAAGGCCTCCCAAGACTTTGACCCTCCATCCCAAATCAAGGGCTTTGAGGGAACTCAGGTGAGCTCAGATGACCCCATAGTATCCCTGAGGGATGCAGCTCTGCTCCAAAGGTCGCCACGGCTTTGCGAGTACCCTTGGTGTGCGCCAGGGAGTCTCATGAGAATGACACCGCAGTGATTGAAACCATGTACAGCGCACCATCCGAAAGCTTTACCAAGAAGAAGAAACTCGTCCTCTATGTGACCAAGGAGCTGCGCTCATGTGAAGCACAGCAATTACACGCCTTCAGTTGTGGTCCCCTTTGCGAAGTGTGTCCTGCTTTGAAGTACTGCTCGTGCCCAGTCAACACGTCAACACTAGCTCTTGCCATCATCTAAGTATGGAGGGCGCGCGATACACAATGACAATATGGGAATAGATCACACGGTCATTGAGTCATCTAGATTCTAGATTCTTTCAAATTCTTTCATCTTTTGGTTCTTTCCTGGGCCAGGAAAGCTTGAGTGCCAACGACACTGTGAACTTGTCAGCAAAGAGGATGCAGATCGGTACCATCATGGGATCAACAAGCAAGGGCAATCATGGCTTATTCTCACATAGACACGAATAAAGGAAGCCTTTGAAGGAACTTCTTCTTTATGAACCGGCTTTTGCAACTTCAGAACGCTCTCCCAACAATTTTTGAACCTCAACAACCACTTCTCTTTGGGTATACAGTAAGTTATAAGTCGGCAACGTCATGGATACCCCAAACTCATTGCCTTCCCTCCCAAATTACATAGAATAACGTAGACCTATTTTGTTACATTGTGGGACACACTCGCATGAGAACAACTCTGGAATCAAGGTGCTGGTGGTGGACGATTTTCTGGCCACTGGGACGACTGGAGTTGCATTGCACAAAATCATTCAACAAGCGGGCGCTGCTGCAGCTGGCATGGCATTCCTTGTGGAGAAACGCTTTCAGGATGGTCGAGGAGCCGCGCAGCAAATTAGAAATTCAATCCTGCTGGAAATGCACTGAAGTGCGAATATTTTCAACACGTTGAACTCTGCCAGAGACTTGCTTCGTTTTTTGACACAAAATGAACTGCACCAATATGATTCAATAATTATTCAATATGATAGTGCTATATAGTGCTCCAATGGACCTTGACTCACTGAATGTTCCGCAGGAAAGATCCTGCGGGAGTTACCGGAGATGTCGGGGCGCATTGTCTCACTGGCGTGCATTGAGTCTATGTCAGAGGACGGCCTCCGCATGATCTCAGAAGTTGACCTTGATGACCTTGATATTCAACAGAAACGAGGTTGCTTTAATAGATTCCAAAACAATATGCCACTATGCTGAAATTTGCCCTAAATCTCAAGCTAGAGTCTGTGCTGCTTTGCAAATCGTTCAACTAGAATCCGCCCTTTCGCAGTTTTATGTCTCAAACGCTCCGAAGGATGGTATCAACCTGGACTGTAAGGTGGTGGGTGACTGCAAACCACTCCCAAGTGTGGACGACCATGTGATGATTGACCGCGTCTTGGAATGTGCCCAACCTGCCACTGGCTATGGCATGATCAACGCCACAACCTTTCTGAACCACAAAGTCGATACGAAACTCATGGATCAGGCATGACGCTGATGTGGTTGGGTGTGGAGTGATTTGGAATATTTGAACATTTGTGAACATTCGTCAGTCTTTGAATTGGAAACCTCCCCTTCTCCCATGTTTGCCGTTTAACTCAGTTGAATTCCTATCTTACTGAAGTCATTAGTTTTGTCGGCACAAACCCAGTGTTCCGGTCCAATCCCCCTGTGCTCCTAAACTGTCTGTTTGTACTGGGTTAAGTTTTTTTTTGCCAAACTCACATCGCTCTTTCCTTAAGACTTGAACTGCCCTTGACTTTACTTTTGGTCAATCCACATGGGTTTGTCTGAACATAGGTTACCCCAAATTTGATGGTTTATCAGATATCATCATTTCAACATCAACCATGCACTTTTGAAGAGAAATCACCCATTTTCAGACCCAAACATCATGTTGGTGGTATTCAACATATTCCCATGTGAATATCCCCATTGAATCCCCAGTAGAATGGGTATATCATAGGGTTATCATTGGTATATCCCATGTTGGGTCCATTTCCTCAGGCGGCCTTCGTCCTGGCCAAGCGCTTCGTGGACGCCCGCTGCAGCGCGGTGCTCACGGCGGAGATGTCCGGGGTGGCGCCCGCGGCGGCGCTGGCCAGGAAGCTGCGAGTGCCGTTGGTTTGTGCCAGGGGAACCCAGGGAACCGTTGGGGAAACCGTTGGGGAAACCGTTGGGGAAACCGTTGGGGAAACATTTTCTTTGGAAACATATGAGGAAACTCATGAAAAAACCGGTGGGAAAATATTGGAGATGAAAAAAAAGCATGTTGAGTCTGGGAAGCAGATTGAAACACTGATGACATTCAGCATCCCTCCATCTGAGGCCAGGCGTGAGCTGAGCGAAGTGATGAAGGTGTCGGGTGGTACTATCTCTGCAAAGGTCGAGGGAAGCACCGACTTGGCCCGTGGCATGCTACACATCTTCAAAGAAACTCAAATTCAAAGATGGTTCTGTGAGACACGGGGAAACCAATGTTCACTTCCCAGAGAGAGGATTCAGTGGAAACCTGCTTTTGCCTGCCTGGCGGTATCTGGTGTATTGCAAAAACTTACAATTGCTGCAAAACGTGCTGGACGTGAGCAGTGATTTGTTCTAAGGACCACTTGCGAAAAGACGACACAGCGAACTTGTCAGCAAAGAGGATGCAGATCGGTACCATCATGGGATCAACAAGCAAGGGCAATCATGGCTTATTCTCACATAGACACGAATAAAAGAAGCCTTTGAAGGAACTTCTTCTTCATGAACCGGCTTGATCTAGATCTGATTACAGTTGCAAAGTCAACTTCAGAACGCTCTCCCAACAATTTTTGAACCTCAACAACCACTTCTCTTTGGGTATAAGTCGGCAACGTCATGGATACCCCAAACTCATTGCCTTCCCTCCCAAATTATATAGAATAACTTAGACCGACCTATTTTGTTACATTTGGGTCGCTCAAATGTGGGACACACTCGCATTATGAGAACAACTCTGGAATCAAGGTGCTGGTCGTTGATGATATCTTGGGCAATGGCGCTACAGCACTGGCGATGCAGGATCTTTGTGATCAGGCCCAGCAATGTAAGTCATTCTATGGGAGTGCAGTGGGGATCAGCTTTCGCATGTTTCCAAGAGATCTCTCACGTATTTAATTATAGTCATAACAACGTAAGTCTGCACAGCATGGTGTGATCACACATGGTTATCCACATACATATGTCCAACCATGTATTCACCACTGGGCATGCACATGTGTATATACCTACATTTTGCGGAAGAGTACACATATCATATCATATAATTATGTTTGAATGATTGCATAGAGTGAATCGAATCGATAGGTAGTGTACATAGATGAATGTACTCGAAGATGATACCTCCTGTGTGATCAGACCTGTATACTGCCTGGCTCTTCGCCCATATCATTGACGCGCTTTGTCATGGTAACAGTCAGATGACACAGAATTTCCCCCTTGGCCGTCCAACTCCCTGGCGATGTAGTGATGTAGGGGCCCATTGCCATTGTCCAACTGATTTTCCATGCGGTGGGGGCGTTGGTCGCGACTGCTCAGGTGGGCGCCACTGTGGTTGGAATGGGTTTCCTTCTGGAGAAGGCGCAAGATCAATACCTTTTAGATGCTTTGGGAACTTGGATGTGCATTCCACTTGATGTGTGGTTAAAAAAACAAATTGAACAGTCAGTAGCTGTGCCTACAATCCAGTCCCGTAAGAAAAGCCGATTATAAACATTATCTGTACATACTATGCACATATGGCTTGTTCTCCACTTCTTTAAGTGAGATGCACATCCATGTATTGCCACGTCGCCAAGAATTTGGATGCTTGTTACTAAACATGATCAACATTTGGGCAGGTCCATTATTTTCACCTACCTACATCATATCTTTAGAAAGACCAACTGTTTTTTTTTGCTACTTGAAAGACACCTGTTTGTACCGTCTGATCAAAGCCAGGATGCCGACCTTGGGCACCCGGGAGCCTTCCGCTGCCCTCTGCAGGTCTTCCAACATGGCCGAGGCAAAATCCTTGCGAAGCGTCCGCAACTGACAGTGTCTTGGAGCACGGAGTTTTTGCTGCTGTGGAAATATGGGCAGATGATGGCATGGGTCAACACGAACGATATCCCCGATGTTGGGAATTTTGATCAAGAACGACATGTTGATGATATTTGATGATTTCCAACAGCATGGCATTGTTCTTCTTTTCGCAGTGTCTATTTCAATCCAATAGCTGGTCATCATTCGACAAAGGGGCGTGTCTCAGGATGGTATCGTTGCCCTCACAAAGATTCTATCCATGGATGATCAAGGACTCGCTTGCTCCAAAAGCCTCAATTTCCCCAAACATGATGAGGTCAGTGAGTATTGAGACATGAACCTTCTACAATGCCAAATTCGAGGCTCAGACAAGTGATGCCAGTCCAAACTTTGGATCTTTCAATCTGCCAAGATTCGGGGCTTTGAAGAGTGTTGATTCAGTGGGTCAGCATTGCCGGTTGTGTTTCAACATTTTCAACAGGGCAGATGGGCAGATCCCGGCGAGGACTGAAGGTCTTCCGCTGTCCCGAGCCTCAACGTGAGACCTGGCTGCGTGTGGCCAGCGATTTAGTGCGCCGCATGAGTGCAGAGGTCGAGACTTGGAGCGTGAAAGGCACGACAGGATCTCACATCATTCACATCCTTTCCCTAGAGGCCCTAGATTTTGCATGTAAGCAACTGCCTGGAAAAAAGACATGGAGAAAGACATGCTCTTGTAATCTTTGGATATCTTTGGTATGAATTCATCTACATGTAAGCTTTCAGAAGCCACTGAGACCTGTCGGCTTGGTGTGTCATTTAGCCAGAGGTGGTCCTTTTAGCGGTTGTGCTTGGCAGTGATTGACAGAAAAGAACTGGCACAGCATCTAGTCACAATGCAAAATGCTATGCATAGTACAAACATATATAACCTGATGGCATCTGACACTCTTAGCAGTCTTAGCAGCAAGGAGTGCCGGGCTGTCTTGGTTCTCATGTGCCTTCACTTTGCTTACCCAGGAGATTGACGTGGCAGCGAATGCCATGAAGTTCCGCAGCGTTTTGGGCCTCCATATGAGCATGGATCCAGTGCTGCTTGATGCGTGTGGCGATGTCTTAGCAGCTCAGTTCGCAGGTGTGACCAAGGTACTCACAGGTGCGGAGGTGTTGGTTGTGGCATCTCTTGCGGCGCTCGTGTCACTGAATAGATTTGAATTGTGGTCAACGTCATAGCCATTTTCAGGAGATACCTAGAAACATCCAAAAATCATTTGGGGATGCTTGGGGAATCTCCAAGTGTCAGCCATCCCTGGCAGGTGCCCCTGTGCAGGGTCTCTCTGTGGCTTATGTCGTTGCTCGACACTGTGAAGTACCAATGGTCTTTGCACGTGCCTGGACAGCATTTGCAGTTTGTACGCTAAATGAAACGAACTTAGTGGATTATGGCGCTCTGGAAGACAACTATTTTGAGAGAAATTGGGTGTTTGTTTTTTGGCTTCTCTACAGACTTATCCACGCAACTGCATCCATTTGGTCCTCATGTTCGTCGCGAATTCAAGTTTTTTGCATACTGCCCCTTGTTTGGCAGTGAATAGAGGTAATAGAGTACGGGAGGAATCTTTTCCCTGTGCATAGCGCATGTTCCAGGTACCGGTGTTCCGCTTACCATGAAGGGTCAGAAGATCTTGAGCGCACAGGCCATGTTTCTTCGCACCAAACGGGTGTGGATTTTGAGCACCGACTCTGCACACATCGCCACTGGTGCACCACAGAAATCTGTGATCCGCGATCGCTGACGGGTTCAGGCACCATCTGGCAACTTCAACGTCTCAGCGGAGTTCTTTGGGCCTTCGGATCGTGTGCTGATCGTAGATGATTTTTTGGCTTCGGGTCAAACTGCCAAAGCCTTGCAACAAATTTGAGACTTGGCAAGACCTGGATAGCATATGCAGCTTATACAGGGGTGTCAACTTGCTTTATGGTCCGCATATGGCGTGAAGTGAAAGATATAGTGCTTGTTGGGGAAGCGGAAGCCGGCACCCAGACAGCATTCAATTTGCCAATCTTTGTGGTTGTGTACATCCACGGTGAGTCCATTGAACCAAGGGACGCTCCCTTTGCAGAAGTTCGATGCGGATTTCCACTGATGTGAAGAAATCACCCTTTCCCAAAGGTTTGAGGCATGTACGTATATTATATAATGTATTATAATTTACTGTATGTATATATATATATACACTGCTGTATATAGTATATATATGTATGTATGTATGTATGTATGTATGTATGTATGTATGTATGTATGTATGTATGTATGTATGTATGTATGTATGTATGTATGTATGTATGTATGTATGTATGTATGTATGTGTATGTATGTATGTATGTAATTAATGTATGTATGTATGTATGTATGTATGTATGTATGTATGTATGTATGTATGTATGTATGTATGTATGTATGTATGTATATATATATATGTATGTGTATATATATATATATGTATATATATATATATGTATAATACATTTTCATATAGAAATTTCACCCAGCCCTTGTGCGCAGATCAAGGTGTTGAGGCGGGGGTCCAAATTGCTGGCTTCGCTTTCTTGGCGCTCAACAAGACACAGTTGGTGGGTCAGCGAACTGCTGCGAATGGTCATGGACCCACAGGCTGCTGGGTGAACGGCTTGGTCCCATCGATGCATGCGATCAATCATGCTAGATTATTGCACTTCAGAGCACTCTCTTCTCATCTTTTATCTTATTCCACCGTGGGCTATTTCATGGAGTCTTTTGAAGATGCAGAATCCAAACGGCCTAATAGGCAACTTCCTGATCCTGATTAATTACTCAAGATCAAGGTAATACTGTACCTCGAAGAAGGTTCCATGAAAGAAACAGCGTTTGTTTTAGTGGGTGAACGCATATTTTTGCGGCTGGGAGAGTGGCGAGGAATCTGATTTCCACCCTGTTGCAGTTATTCGGTGTATTGAATTGACAATCAATTGAACAGCTGGAATTTATACCACAGCGCAGTGCCGACGTTTTTTTCGTGGAGTCCAATTGCAACCCGGGATTCACAGTCCTCCCGCTGTGAACTTTCCCAGGCCGAGAAGCGTTGGGTCCCAACAAGGCTGGAAGACCTAGGAAGACCCGGACAAAGACCCCCAACATACCCCAAGTCTTTGGGAAGGTAGTGAAATCTGATAGGCAAGAGCTTGAAACCATCTGAAAGTCAACAGGGGTGTCACGATTTGCTCACTGGTTCTTGGGGTCCATATTCTTTTGAGGAGGTTTGTGTCAAGCTTACTGGTACTTTGATCATGATGTCCCATGGATCATGTTAATTTCTTGGAACATGACACTAAATGTCCCATCAATTTCTGCAAAAAGACTTTGCTCAGTGCAACTTAAGAGGATCCTTTATACCTCCACGCGTGACTGAGGTGGTAGTTCTGGCAGAGGTCTTGGGAGGTATCACTCAAGGACGCTGTGAAGTGAAACTGGCAGATTGGCTTCAGCGCTTGTCTTGACGCGTGTCTTTAGTTAGTTCCAAGTAGGTAAGAAAGAGGTGTTTCTGCTGATGATGTCACACCCAACACCCTGTAGTCACTGTAGTCATCGACTTTCAGCCTTTCCTTCTGCTTCCAGACAATCAAAAACACCTCGACTTGCAAGTCGTTTCTGACGCGGGGTGGGCAGCACCAGCGTAGCGGAGCAGAATTCTTGATCTTGCAACAGGTTCCACGCCTCGAAAGGCCTATATTACAATGCCCAGTTTTTCTGGGTTGAAGATGCTCCATGAAACACCTTTCAAAGGTCCTGTTGATAGAGTCCATACAACACCGTATGTTTAGCATAGAAAACTATAGAGAGACGATCTTGTAGCTATTGGACTTTTGTGGGCTGTAGACAGCGTGGACCCTCGCGAAGATTTGCCGTGTGCACACAACCTTTGAAGTCTTTAAAGGCGTGCGATGTTTCTATGCAGAGTCTAGTCTCAACCATGCGACGTACCGTTTAGATTGTTGGGCCATCGCACACCTACATGTTTTGATCCACTTCAGCAGACGCTCCATCTGCATTCGAAGAAACATTTGAAGAAACATTTGTTGGTCGGTGAGGTATTCTGTCTTGCTGCTCACAGGGCTTGTTTGCAATATGTCTTGGATGGATCAGGGATGCCCCATTCTCATCCTATTCTTCAAGTGTCCGTTAGACAATTTTCCCTCCATAGGGGTTCAGACACAGCGTACCGACACAAAATGTAGGTATAATAATGACAATGTATAATATATCAGAAAATCAATGTGTCCAACATCTAACGACTCTAACGACCTAGGAACCCACCTATGACCACAGCTGCCAAATGCTGCCAAGCTGCAGGCTGCCAGCACAGCGGTGTCCGAGAGTGATGGGCGAATCTTGGATGGTGTGTCCATCCGTTTTTTCGAGTGCTGCCGACCACATTGGATGAGCTCGATGAGCTCATCTGCAACCAGTCCGAAGCCAGGTCCAATTGTGGCACCTTTGAGATTCCTTTGGATTTGAGTGAGGTGGGCGAAGCACCGGAAACCAGAATTGAGAGGTGGAAGATATGACCTATGTAACCTATATGTACTTATGTACAAACGGGGTTGGAGTTTCCTCTAGGATTTCAGGGAGGTCAACCCCCCTAAGAAGGACTGATTTTCTGGCGCGAAAATTCTTCGATTTTGATGAAAGGCTGCTTTTATCAACCCCACCCTTTTTCTACAGAACAACTTTTGGAGACCTCTGAGTCGGGAGACCCTGATTTTCTGTGTAGCTTAAGTGCCCAAAATCCAGGAGCATAATTTTAGCATCTCTGGGAGGACGTTCCTAGATTTTCTAGTGGTCCCTGATTTTCTAGAGGGGCACTGGTAGGTCATTTTGTTTTGTTTAAACATGCTTAAAATATCTTAAAATCTAATCCCATCTCTCTCCTGTCCAAGTTTGCAACACTTGCCGCATCTCGCTGCATTTCATTGCAGCCGTCTCGGGGAATGCGCACTTAGAATCGCACTTTGGGCATCTTTGGGGTAATTTCGATGGTATTTTTGTGGGATGTTAATGGGATGGAATTTCGATGAAATTCGAATAATTCGAAAAATTTGATGGGTTGGATGTTGGTCTCTAGAAAAATGGAACCATTCCCTGGAAGTTGTTTTCAAAAATTTTGATTTCGATTTTCAACATTATACCATTCAAGCAGGGTGATGTTTTTCTAAGAAAAAATACGGTCCATAGCTTCGAAAATGCACTTCTTGGGGGGTGCCATTTTTCTAGGGTAGCTCGAATTGGTTTGATGTCTGTAGCTAGATTTTCTTGGGTCCCTAATTTATACAACATTCATTTTCTAGTAGAAAATCACAGGCCCCAACCGGACCCGGTAAACTGCCACGGGGTTTATGTATACATTTATGTATAATATGTACACATATGCAAACAAATTGGACCATATAGTGAGACCAAGGTGCAGGTCTCACCTTGTTCTGCACTTCACCTGATCCTGATCAAAGCGATACAAACTGAGAGTGGGTCAGTCGCAGGCACATCAGCTGCGGATCCGAGCAGATGACCTTCTGTGTCGCTCGGGTTGTCAATGTGGGTTGTCTCGGGAGAACAGTCCCATTGAGTTTCATCATTTTCATCGACATCGCATAGAACTGCATAGATCGTGAGGGGAATCGGAATGAGGTCTCCGTTGGCCGCTGGAAGCAAGCGACCGACGACAACAGTTGATTGAGGTGCGGTTGGACAGTCGGGTGGCTGAACAGACCTGGGTTCGGGTTATATTTGGGCTTGGACACACCTGGGACCAATGTTTCTTTTTGCATTTGGGAGATTGCGGCAAAACATCCTGTTGAACTTGGGGCCATAAACATCGACCAAGTTGACGGGAATTGAAAGCAGCACTTTCTGTGTTCTTCTCAAGCAGCCGTTGTGTCGGAGTTGGGAATATTGGGAATACAAGACTAATGCCACATATGCCACATATTCTTTCTCCTCGGTAGACATAGAAAGTGGCTGCCACGCGATTCGTCCACGGTGTGTGATTCGACTTCGCCACTGGCAGGATGCTTTCCGAGCCATGGGGGGGGAGTTGGAACGACTTGGATGCCTGGAACTGCGGAAGTTGGCCAAGTTTACAGGTCTTGGCCTCAGGAAGGTGCACAGCAGTGCGCATGACAGGCATGGAACCTCTGGCCTCATCCTGCGAATATGGCGTTCTCGACCTCACTGGGGATAGTGTGATGCTGGATGCTGGATGATGCTGGATGATGCTGGATGATGCTGGTGTGTTTGGTCCACATTGAAATCGCAGCGTTGGATTTGGCCAGGCTTTGATGGAAGTGATGATGAGTGGAGTCTGCCGAGAGCCCAGCATAAGACTCCGCACTGGCTTGGCACAATGCAGATGCAGCTACTAGTTTTACTAGTTTGGCAACTGGGAATGCCCTTGATCTGCTTCTAAATCCGATAAGTATGGAAATATGTGACATTTGTCATTGACCGAACCTCAGACCTTCGATGTGCCATTCCAAGCGCTGTGCCAAGGGAGTTCCAGTCCCTTTGTCGGGACTTTGGGACAGAGGCATAGGGGATGGCCTGGCTTTTTTGGGGATGGATGTTCTTATGATTTCTGATTGGCCAATGGGTAATGCCTATATGATTTATGACTGATACATGGATTCGGATCATGTTTCTGATGGAGTTACTTTGTAATTGAAAGCATGATTATTCCAAATCTCACGAACCACACGTAAAACATCATGAAACATATACAGATAGGCCCAACACCACAATGCTAACGATGCCCAAGGAATGGATTGAAGGTCAAGTGTCGCTAATAGTGTCAGGATGGGCTCGACTTGGAAGCGTTTTCCAAGCTGGTGGATGAGCAGTCTGAACAGGCGGGCGACGTGGTTTGCAGATTCTTCGGCTTTTTTTTGGGAGTTGCATCTCCAACAAGTGACTTAATGATGATGAACATGGCGAACACCAAGTGTTCTCGTCCCTTTTAGGCTTCCCGGCTGTGGAATGCTGTGGACTATTTCAGCCTTCACCATACAATGGTACTGTCCATCATGTGTACAGCATGACGTGTCAGGGCTGCTACTGCTCAGATGCAGAATTGCAAGAGCTTCGTCAGCTCTACGGAGTGCGTTCAGGCCTAGGATTGGCTGGGAAGAATCACAAGCCCACTTCTTATATGTATATATATATAATATATACATATAGATACATATATTATATACGTATACACACGCACACTTTGTTTGTGTTTGTTTCACAGTCATTTGCCTCTGTACATTTCTGCTTTATCTTATTTGCATTTCTTTGCTCTCAGGGTGCACTTCAGCACAGACCCGACTTTTGTCCTTTTGCCTGAAGGGAGTTTTGATATCGTTTGCGAATCAGACATTTCATTTGCTGAGTAGAAACGCCTCAACAAAGCACACCTGACCTTGTCTCACGGGGCAAAGGCCTCAACATACTGGGAGGTCACCCCCAAGAGAATCCTTTAGCATCAACTTTTCTCAGGTTTCATTTTTATTTGGCGGCCAAACTCCCCAATGATGGCTGTGTACTGTTTGTTTATCAGGTGATCAAAATCTTCATTAACCAACCAGTTGTTACTCATTTTCCAACTTTGAGATTACTTAAATCTGCTTAAATCTCATTTTTTTCCAAAATCAGCTGGTTTTCCCATGGTTCTCCCATGTTTTTCCCAACAGATTTGGCGCTTCGCCTTCTCCAGGTCTAGTGGACGAGACCTGGGTGGCACACGCCCTGGTGGAGTCGGCCGAGAAGTTCGGGGACACCTGGCAGGCGGGGATCGCGGGCGAAAGCCCATGTGTTGAAGCAGAAAAATCGTAGGATTCTACCAACAATTGGGGAAAAACGGTAAATTGACTAACAAAAAATCAACATGGTGTGTTTTGAGTGAAGTGTGGATTAAAGCAGCAAGGATGGAATGATGAGATCAAGGGAACCTAGAGGTCTAAGTACCAAGAGCTGGCTGGACGTTGGTATGGGTGAACTTGAAGAGGAGTGACCCACAGATTTTGGTCATTTGGTGATAGATAGGATATCCATTGAATCTCCAACCTGGGTACCCAGCTTGGACCCATAAGCCATGATCCGAATGACCCCTTTGTTGCCCATTGGCCCAGGTGAGATTCCAGATTTGCGAGGCACCTGGCCATCGTTGTTGCCATTGCGATGTCTGAAACGAAAGCTGTGTGTTACCATTGCTGTACCATTGCTGTACCATTGCTGTGTTACTGGCAACTGTTGGCTGCGAATTTGCAGGTTCCAGGCTTGAAGTTTCGTCTTCCAGACCGCTTGTGCTCCAGCGAGCCAGTACCAGGTGGGGCAGGGAATGGGGACTATGCTTTTGCGCAGAGGAGTAAAGGCAGTTTCCGAACTGTGTGTATCAAATCCTGCTACAAATGACAGTAACTTTGCACCAGACAGAGGTCCAGGGTTGTGGCAATTTCGGGAATTTTGCTTCCAAAGTGCTGCATTCGTGATGGTTTTTGATGTTGGTGCAGCCATCAGACTGTGCATTGAATCATGAGTCGAGTCTCAAGTCTTGGTTGAACCAAGAAAACCAGCTTCCGCAGCCCGAAGCGCTGGGCAATTCCCATTTTTCTCAATGATTGAGCGCAGACCGATGCAGCTGTTGGGCTGAGTCAGGCATTGAACCTGCAGAGCTCATGACACATGGTCAGAAACAGGAGACAGACCAAGAAACGAACTCATACTTTGGCTCTGTTCACTCATTTGCTCGGAAAATGCATACAGCAAAAGGTGCGGAAGGAAGACCGCGAACACAAGACAGCAGGTCTTGCAAGATGCTACCACCCGACCGCTCCACTTTGAGTTTGCATTTTGAGATTTCATTTCATTCACATTCCTAATGCCAGCCCTTACAAGCACCTGAATCAAATGCTCGAACCACTTGAGGCTAGCGGCTAGCAGATAGATAGCATTAAATACGAGTCACCACTCACACATGCACACGAAATAATCAAAAGCTTAGAGACACCTTTCGCGACCTTTTGCGAAATGGCACGGTGCAATGCTGAGGGTTCCAATCAGACCTAGGTGGCTAGGGAGACTAGGAAAACAGGACTAAGAGCTGTAGCTTGCTGGGGCAGTCGAAGGTGTAGAACAGAGCATTGCTTGCTGTTCTGCTGCTTTGATTGTTTGCAAACAAAGACTGGCTTAATAAGTTTAATATCTGGTTTGCATATCCTTGGTTGAGCCAGCTGGACATTCTGCTTCCACGAGTCTTTCACCCAATCGAGGTGCCTTGCACGCAGCGTTTTCGCTGCCATTTGGGCTGCAACTGGTGCTGATGAAGCGAAACTGTTTGATGTGGATTTGAGCAGTTTGACGAAGCCACCTCTATGGGAGCCCACCTTTGAGGCTCACGGGCTTTTACTTTTTGATCTAAGGGCTTTAGCTTGTTACTTGGAATGACTCAGAATGATGGTTGACAATTCTTCTCGACGTGAGGCAATTAGCATGAATTTGAAGCTACTAGGAGAACAGAATCGTTTTTCCCCTCTTATGTTTTTCACCGACCAGGAGTACTTTCCAGGCTGGCAGAAGAACGAGATGGGTCTTGGTTCACCAGTTGTGCTGGCAAAGCCTACACGGGAGGAGACAAAGTCAGGGGCCCCGTCTGGAGCAGTTTTTTTGCTAAACCAAATGAGCAACAGCCAAACTCTGTAAAGATTATGGCTCATTGGAACTATTCCACTATACGACTTACTAACACTATATAGGCGGATGATTTGAACCCCGATGAATAGACCAGTGTGAGAGATTTACACAGACTCCCTGTGGTTTTGGACGTTTTGGACTCCCTGCTCACGTAGTGTAAATCGATCCTTGCAGGAATTCCTCTTCCATGCGCGACGGGGCTATCCGATCGTCGTAGCTGATTGGGCGGAGGGCATGAAATACACAGGTACCAGATGGCAGAGGGTTTGTTTGATCTTGTCGTGGTATCCTGTCCATGACAAGGTATAGATAGAGGCAAGCAAGTGAAAGAAGGTGGCAACTGTATGCAACTGTAACTATGTGAGACATGGTATAAGGTAAGACTGTGAGACGGCCTTGGGCCAGATGGAATGTCGCATCAGAGAAAGGCTTTCCTATCTGCGTGTCCGCGCGAAATCTATCAGAGCCAGTTGGTTATTGAATCTTCTCAAGTTGATAATCTGCGAAATCTGCAAGGAAGGAGCTGTTTTTCTTTCTCGTCTTTTCATGCGAACACCTGCCAGGTTGGAGCTGCCAGGATTTTGCTGAGGCATTTCCCTTTGGCTACATGAAGGCAAACCGGTCACCGGTCACGTTCAACACGTTCAACACGTTCAACACGTTCAACACGTTGCTGTTTTGACGTTGCGTTCTCCGTGACCTGCCCAGGCTGAGTACATTGATGCACTGCCAGGGTTTAACCGCAAGCAGCATGACATCAAAGTCATCGATGGAGAGCTGCGCTTTAAGCTGGGTTCCTTTAAGCCAGATGGGACACCTGGCATGAAGTGATGGTGTGAAGCAGCAAATTCGTATTGCAGCGTTGATGTGGTAACAAGACTAGACTAGACCTTGTAGGATTTTTCACTCGCCAGTGCTGGGTCGGAGCAGCACAGTGGTTTAGATATGTTTTGGGGGGGCCCTAACACAACTAATGAAGGCCCTTCTTTACGACTTACACGCTAAGGTTCCAGCACATTTTTTCCACAGTCCACCCGCTCCCCCAGACGTACGTTTTCCACATTTTTTTTCTTGAAAAGCAATGTTTTCCACACCATTTTGCTCTTGAAAAGCAAGGTTTTCCACACCATTTTGCCCTTGAAAAGCAATGTTTTCCACACCGTTTTGCCCTTGAAAAGCAATGTTTTCCACACCGTTTTGCCCTTGAAAAGCAGTATTTTCCACACCGTTTTGTCCTTGAAAAGCAAGGTTTTCCACACCATTTTGCCCTTGAAAAGCAATGTTTTCCACACCATTTTGCCCTTGAAAAGCAATGTTTTCCACACCGTTTTGCGCTTGAAAAGCAATGTTTTCCACACCGTTTTGTCCTTGAAAAGCACTGTTTTCCACACCATTTTGCCCTTGAAAAGCAATGTTTTCCACAACGTTTGCCCTTCAAAAGCAATGTTTTCCACACCATTTTGCCCTTGAAAAGCAAGGTTTTCCACACCGTTTTGCCCTTGAAAAAGCAATGTCACACCATCTTCCCTTTCAAACACCAAGTTTTCCACACTATTTTTCTTTTCAAAAGCAATGTTTTCCACATCATTTTCCGTTCAAAAACCATGTTTTCCACATCATTTTGCCTTCCAAAAGCAATGTTTTCCACACTTGCGGAAACTTTTGCGGAAACTTTTGCGGAAACGGAAACTTTTGCGGAAACTTTTGCGGAAACTTTTGCGGAAACTTTTGCGGAAACTTTTGCGGAAACTTTTGCGGAAACTTTTGCGGAAACTTTTGTGGAAACTTTTGCGGAAACTTTTGCGGAAACTTTTGCGGAAACTTTTGCGGAAACTTTTGCGGAAACTTTTGCGGAAACTTTTGCGGAAACTTTTGCGGAAACTTTTGCGAAAACATTGCGGAAACTTTGCGGAAACATGGTTGGAACAGTGTGGAAACCTATGAAATTAGTTGTTGATTTTCAGTCAACTCTTTACGGAGCCATTTTTTCCACATGTTTTCCACAGTCAAAGGGCTTAATTTTCCACAATCGAAAGCTTATTTTTCCACAATTAAGAGCCCGATTTTCCAAGAGCCCGATTGTCCACAATTAAGAGCCCGATTTTCCACAATCACTGTAAGAGCCCGATTTTCCACAATCAAGAGTCCGATTTTCCACAAGTAAGAACCTAATTTTCAACAATGAAGAGCTTGGTTTTCCACAATGGAGAATTTGATTTTCCACAATGAAAGCCTAATTACACAATGTAGGTTTACTTTTTCCAGTATGGTTTCCAGTTGTTTCTTAAAGTTCAATTTGTCCACAAGCTACGGAAGTTCTGCTGTTTCTACACGCTTCAACGGTTTTCCAATCCCAAAATCAGATCATTGTTTGTCCATTCCCAGTGGCCAATGGCGCTTTTGTGGAAACTTGACCCTTTAAGTACGAAAACAATCTCTTTTTAAAATTGAAAAATCGACACAAAAAGTGGAAAATGAACCCTCGTAACGTGGAAAATGGACCCCTTAAAGTGTGAAAACAAGCGCTTTTAAATGTGAAAAATCGGCCCTGGAAATGTGAAAATGAATCCTGGAATTAATCTTTGAAATGTGGAAAATGCGGCCTCGGAAATGTGCAAAATGAACCCGGGAATTGTGGAAAATGAACCTTTGAAATGTGGAAAATGGACCCCTTAAAGTGTGGAAAAATCGCTTTTTAAACGTGGAAACTGGGCCTTGGAAATGTGGAAAATGAACCTTTGAAATGTGGAAAATGGACCCCTTAAAGCCTTAAAGTGTGGAAAAATCGCTTTTTAAACGTGGAAACTCGGCCTTGGAAATGTGGAAAATGAACCTTTGAAATGTGGAGAATGGACCCCTTAAAGTGTGGAAAAATTGCCTTTTAAACGTGGAAACTCGGCCTTGGAAATGTGGAAAATGAACCCTTGAAATGTGGAAAAAACGTCGCGAAACACGTTTTAGGAGCTGTAAAGAATAGTTGTCCAGAGGCCCCCCCAAGATATGTTTAGATCATTTTACATCAGATCATCAGTTGAATTATTTAAAAAACATGCGGCTTGGCTGAAGTTGGCCGAAGCACCTTCGGTTCCAAGGAAGACCTGGTGGTACAACTTCTCCCGTCCTGCTTCCAAGCGCTACAAGGATGATCCTTTGAAGCCCAAGCAAGGACCCTATGTGTGGCACGTGAAGGATGAGCTAAGTGCCAAGGAGAAGATCAAGGCGACTCATCTGCCATATCTGCCATGGTTTCACTGCGACGTGGAGGTGGTGCCATTTTCAACCTAGTCTTAGCATGTCGTAGCCATCCCAACAGAATTATGGAAATTCACGGAATTCATACTGATTCGATTGTGTTCATGTTGAGGTTTGTAAAGTTTACCAAGTCTGAGGTGTTTTGATCCGCACGTTTTCAATGGCCTGGCGCCAGGTGCAGGAGCGCTTCGAGGCGCCTGAATTTCTCCAGGATCCTCTCAACAAGGCCCGAAAGCTTACCTTGACATTTTAGGACCCAGGTTGTCTAGTCTCCGAAAGGTGCCAAAGCTCAAAAGGCTCAAAAGGGACAGGGAAGCGCCAAGCGCCAACACGAGGCCAAGATGAATCGGAGCTTTGAAGTTTGGTTCTCTCCTGGAGCTCACTCCGGTGCAGGCCATGGCAGTCATGGCCGCCATGGCACCGTTCCGCGAAGAGATAGTGGAAATAATGATGTACCAGTGGAAAAACGGCAGAGTGCCATGACCTTCACATTGAGAATATTGAGACATCATGAATCCTTCAGATCACCCAAAAGATCAACTCTGCCATGATACCGTGACCCAGATTGTGAATGGCATTGAATGGCATCTTTTTTGCAGGTGCCCACAACGATGGCTATTGTGAATCAGTTGTCTCGCTTCAACTCCGAGGGGACAAGCGCTGGCGGACACTCAGCACAAGGGCTGAGTCTTTTGCTCAGCACAAGGGCTGTCCTATTTCATGTAATACGTCCAAGCTGTAGGAAATCGATGAAAATTGAGGGCATACTGCCAGCCAGATACAGTTTGCCAAGTTCAATTTCCATGGTTTGTTCCCACTAGCAGAACACATTTGGGCCATTGACCCGTTTTCCATCGAGAATCTCAGTGACTTTATCTTTGGATTTTGGAGGAAGATGATGCTCCCCAAAATGTCGTTTCTGGACTCCTTTGATGAGTTCGATGGTGGTGTTTACGAGGCACAGAACAGACACAGATGGACAAGTGCCGAAATGCCTCTGTGTCATTTGCTCCGGAGTAAAGCCATTTGCGAACCTGCCAGCATGAACCTTCACTAGATTTCACGTTCGACTCTCGAGAACTCTCGTTGTGTTAGTTGAGCACTCGTTGTGCTTGTTGCCAGGCCAAGAAATGGGAGCCGGACTTGGGCTTCTTGAACAGTGCCAAGGGTGCAGTGATTTGGCCACCTGGATATCTTCATGAGACCTCCACATTGCCTCCACCAGATCCTTGATGCAAGACATGCAAGCAGGATGCATGAAGGTTATGAAGGGACGCAGGGAGCCACAGGCGGAGATGTCATTGCTTTTAATATACGCTAGTGGATGACTATAAGTGCGTCTGAACCCAAAAAAGTGAAGCTAGCACCCCGACAACATGTGCCCCAGCTGTCCGTGAGGATGGAAAGTGTGGCTCTGCATTGACTCTTCAGTATGCGTTTCCACAGCCGGTGCAATTTTTGAGCCTTGACTAAATTGTCTTCGCGCCCAGACTTTGGTGCGGTTTACACACACACACAGGAGACAACTATATAAACTATTTTGATGTTGTCAAACAAAAACTGTCTCCACCTGTGCTTGGCTTAGAGCAGAATGAAATTCCTGGCTTGCTGCTTTTGTGTAGGTTTCTGCCAATAGAACCTTACCTTGCCTCACAATTTCAGCTCTTTACGCTGTACCGTCCTTTCCAAAGCTTCGCACGATGCCGATGCACAGAAGCTGGCAAGGAGACACACCACCTGTGACAGCCTGTGACATGCGCCGCTTTTATCCCTTTTTCAGAACTTTTCCATGGTATTTCCCCCTTGACGCAACCCGGCTTGCGGCTAAGGCGGGCCTTCTTGCCACGTTTATCGATGTCTGCAGAAGTCGGACACTGTGTGGCAATGACATGGTCTGGCTACGCCACCATGCAGGTGCGTGGCATCATGCCAACTCCCAAGGAAAAGAAAATGCAGGAGCAGCTGAAGAAGATTCTGAGTTTGGTGGATGTGAACCAGGACGCCGGCATCGGGGGCATCGGCGGCATCGGCAGATTTTCGAAAATTGACATCTTCTGAGATTCCACCCAAAGATCCTGAGAACTTCTGGAGGTTTCAAGGGCAGTCTTGCAGACCTTTGAATGTCAAGAACCTTGTTGCCTTATTGTGATGTGAGGATGAGGTGATCACAATAGAAGAGACCAAGACTTGGTTTGCCAAGACTGAATCTCTTGCACTGCAACGCTTGGCCGATCCGGAGTTCTTGCAACACAAGGACGGGCGCTGCGTCTTACACAAATATTTCTTGTATGGTTGGGAGCCAAGCTGCAGGTACTGGGAAAATGACGGAGTGTATTGCCTGTGCGACTGAACCAAATGATTTTGGGTCTTCAGTGCCAACTGTTTGGCTTCAGTTTTTTTTCTCACAGAAATGGGTATGCGCGTCTTCGAATTTTGTTCACTCAGCACCAGTTGAAGACCTTGCCAATGTGCAAAGCTATTCCTGAAATGTCAAGGAGAGAACTGAGAGAGAGATAATTGAGATATATTGAGATAATCATCAAGTTATCTAAGTTATCCATCTAAGATCAAGACATATCAAGACACCAGTATCTTTCAGTATCTTTCAGTCCCTTCTGGCCCCCACCGTTGAGTTCACCAGGACCTCTTGATCTCCTACATGGCCGAGGACACCGTGGCTTACCACGACATGAACGACGACATGAAGATCTCCAAGCAGGAGCCGTGTGGATCCATGGGGATCCATGGAATCTGATGTTCGGAATGATATGAACAGATAGGGAATGCCATGAAGCTAGAAATTGTGAGGCTATTGTGAGGCTTATGCTCTACTGAGTGTACAGTTTTTTCCATCAGATGAGATTGCCGACTGAATCTTGTGGATGTAGAGGATGAAGAAGTCATGATGGAACCACAGTCCCCAATCCTCAGCCACATCAAATAGCACTGCCATGCACTCCCAAATCGCGCGGCCGGGCATTTTTCAAGCAATGAACATTCACGAGTGTTTTTTTTTTAAACTGTGGATTTTGAATCTCTATTGTTTTTTGAATCTTCACTTCTTCCCTGTGGATTTGATCCCTTGCCACAGCAGGAGCTTTGGGACTCCCTTGTTCAATGGAACGTGGTGCGGGTGCCAGTGCCCAGTCCACGGGCCCTTCCGGCCTTACAGCTGCTGGTGAATGCATTGACAGCTCATTTTTGGAAGCAGAAGTCATACTTCAAAGAAGAAACAGATACCCTCTGGTTCTGACTAACATAGCCATGGAGAATCACCATTTTTAATAGGTGAACCATCTATAAATGGGCCATTTTCCATAACTATGTTGAATAACCAGATGGTATCACAGATATCACTTGCTTTCCCTTTCGACAGTGTGATCTCCGCAAGGCTAGGAAAACTGACAGATTCTGTATTCCAAGATAATGTCCCAAGTGGCAGCAGCCGCTACATATACGAAATAAAGAATCAGTGCTTGAACACGTCTCAAAATTGATCTAACACATTCTAATTTAGTCAGTCCAATATTCCATGTTCTCTGTGCTTTCCAAGCCTGGTGTGTCCACAATTGTCGTATCCCCGGAGGTTCGAATGCATGAGGGGCTGAAGCTTCTAAACCGCGCAGATCGCCAGGGACTTGAGGCTACAATTTTGATCAGCAACATGGTGCAATTGGCAACATACCTCACATACCTCACATGTTTAGTGTAGGCAAGCAAATTCTGCTGGCGACTGAGTTGTTTGGATACTTGTCACACAATTTTCGGAGGCATTTGGAATTTCTTAAAAAAACTTCCCGCACATTTGCGCTGCATACATCACCAAGGATACAAGGACCAACGTGTTTACTAAAAAATGACAGGAATTGCTGATTTACTCTGCAAGTCTACATCTATGTCAAGTGACTGTCAAGCCTCCCCAAAAAATTGGGAGGCTCTGGAGCAGTCACTGGACTACCTCCGAAGAGAACCTCTGGAGTTGCCGAAAGATGTGAGGCGTCAAGGGTGGCGATGAGTCCAGACAACCTCTTTCAAGGCTAGCTGCAGAAATACTCGACCAGCGCAAAAGTTGGAACATGTAGTCCAAGCTGTCCAAGCTAGTTGTTAGACTTTCACTTCTCGAAAAAGCCGATGAAGGCCGATTTTCATCCCCAAAACATAGCTTTGTGCCGAGAAACACCCCAGCCCAGTGCTTGGGTGATCCATTTTCCATTTTTCATCACAACGTCCCGATCCCGCTTGGAAGGCCAGAGATGAAGGACTCGGCCGGCAGTTGAAATGTCACTGGGTGAAGCTGTTGCTAGTAGCTGCTAGTCACAGTCAAAGCCAATCATTCTGGGGGACAAGTTGAGACCTGATTGACTCTACAGGGAAGCACTTTAGAGGAGTTTGCTAGTCTTTTGTGCAGGATTGTTTCTCTCGAACTTTTTGCGCTTGCTTTGCACTCAGCATATAAATATATATATATATATACACACCTCAGTTGAAAATATCCTTTCTTTCTCCATGCCACGCGCACATGGCAGCGATGGCCGCTGCGAGCCAGCCCGGCTAGAGATCTCATTGCTGTTGTTATCAACTAGGATGCTAAGTGCCTGTGCAAGTTGCTGGGGATGTACCAGTGAGAGCATGATGTCTCTGCGGGTTGTGAATGCTTTGTTTCACCTTGCAACTGTTTTTGCTCTCCTCAAGAGGGTGATTTTGCAGGGAGTTTTGAATACATAATACATGACGCTCATATTATTCACATTCATGTCACAGGCCGCCAACGTGTGTGTGGGGATATATCTATCTATCTATCTATCTATCTATCTATCTATCTATCTATATATATATCAACAGTAGCTGCTTCTGGAAGGGTACTCCCTGACTTCCTGCTCGCGTGTATGTACAATGTACATCTAAGCTCTCCTGTTTTTGCCCCATATAGTGATGTGTTCTTCATTCACGTCTACTACGATTTGTCCCAACAACTCTGCACCTGCTCACCTGCACACACAATTCCAGATCAGACTTGGTGGTGTCAGGACATCTTCCGCCTCGGCAAGGCACGTGCTCTGAAGATTTTTGGGCTTCGGTAGGTACAAACGCCCTCGATAGGTTGTTTTGGTACAAAGCTTTGTGCTGAACTGGAGCATTTATAGCATCGAAAATTAATATCAAGGCAGTTGACAAATTTCCAGCCGTCTTGGAATCCTTCCTTGTTAAATTCAATGTTTTCACATTTACTTTTGTAAAGATTGGCAGTTGGTAACCGCGAAAAAATCGCAGAGTTTTTGTGAACCACTGGCCTCTGCCCAATCTTTGAGTGATGAGATTTGATGCTGTGCAGCTTTGGATTGCTGATCTAGGACCTACCGACGACTAAAAATCCAAATTATCAAGTTGAACTTGGCGTACATATGGGGTAGTTCATGAAACTATGGCAGATCTTGCCAACTCGATGCAGGAAATTTGGCTGTTGATAAAAACCTGGAAAGTGTGTCGAATTCCAACATATTTTTAATTCAAATCACCTCGTCTTACCCAGCTCTGCACTTCCCAGTGCAGCTCAACTTTTTCGCCTGCCAGGGCACCAAAGTTCTGAAGTCTTTGAAAGGTATCACCTCTATCTCGGACTCTGAATTTTGGGGTCCTGCTCGCGATGCCGTCGAGGACTGGGGTGAATTTGTAGAACTTGACCTACCGAGTTTCTCTGAAGCAGCAACGTGCAAGAAGCAGTCTTGTGCAGGACTTGATGCGGAAGAAGAACCGTGCTTCACGCTCAAAGGAACTCTGAAAAAAGCCTTTCCGCCCTCCGGGCTAAGCCATGTGAACATTACGAAAGCGGACAGTGTGCTGGAATACTTCACTCTTACCATCTCTTACCCATTTTCATTCAAAGTTGGGGGTACCCAGTCAGTACAGACTGCACAATCCAAGCTGCCAGTCTTTGAGATGAGCAAAGTGCTGCATCAAAGCTGCATCCTTTCCCACTTGGCTCAAGCCAACGCGTTTTTTAGTCATGAACCAACTTTTGCTGGGAGGGGCCACCCCATGGCATCATGGTGTTGGGCGTGCCACTGCTTGATGACTTGAGCGACAGCAAATTTCTTTGGGCCTGCAGGGGCCTCAGGGGCCTCAGGGGCCTCAGGAGGTGGCATCACCGGGCATGCCAGGGCCCCAGGGCCAGCCACTCAGACTTGACCCACTCAGGTCCGCATGGAAATTCAAAGACCTGCAATTCCAAGCGCTGGAAACTGCCATCGCAGCCTTGTGCAGAGAGCATTTCCACCTTGAATGAGTGGTGTCAGGTGTCTTGTCAGAAGTGGAAGCTAAAGGTTGAATGGATTTATTATGATTGCGGGACATCATCTGTCTGGCACATGGCCAAATATATCCAAGTGTCTCTAATTCTAGTCTTCAGCTACTTGTTTTCCAGCAGTTTTGGGTGGATCCCACAGCACCGACGAAGCTGGAGGCATTCCGCCATTCCCATTAATTTTGTCCCCAATCTGCTGAGGCAATGTCCACACATCTGACTTTACACTGGGACTTTAATTTTATGGATGGTTCTCAGCTTGGGCGATTGGGTGCCGTTGGTCCCTCAGAGCCTTGGCCGATCTTGGCCGCCTTGGCAGCCGAGAGAAAATGGGTCCCAAAGCATAGCAACGCATCGAGCCGGAACATCGTGATTTAGCAATATTTGCTATAGGATTGTATAATATTGTATACACGTATTTGATCGTATATGGCCAATTTGGGATTAAATCCGATTGATTTCAGAATTTCAGATCATCATTATTTAATCAATTTCCCAAATTAGATCATCATTATTATTGATTACATATGATCATCATTATTAGCTATTGTCGCCATAGCCAGACAGATCATGGGCCCGATCTCCAAGGAGTTGGCACGAGCGATGGACTCAAGCCGCGTGGCAGGAGATGGTGAAAAACAGTTCAACATGTTTTTTGTTTTCCAAGGGAAAACCAATGGGTTATAGGACGATAAGACTATAAGATATATTAAGATATTATAAAAGTTATAGGATTAAAAAGGATGTTTTAGGCGAGAAGCAGCTTCACTGCATGACCTGCGTGTTCGCAGCTCGGAGCGAAGGCTCGGGCTGTGGATCTCAAACTTAGGATTCAAGATGATTCAAGAACAATATCATGAACATTACCACAATATATCACAATATACCACAATATACCACACTATACCACAATATACCACAATATACCACAATATACCACAATATACCACAATATACCACAATATACCACAATATACCACAATATACCATGTGGTACCATATTACAGTACATAATGTACATACCAAGGTTCTGAGTTGTTCACTCCTCCTCATTTTGGCAGTGTTGCCATGCTATCTACCAAGGCACGAACTATAAAGGTCAGTTGAACAACCTGCTTCACAAGCTGCTTCGCCGACACTCGGTTGCACAGAAGAGGTGATGGTGTCTTTTCTTTCTTGTGGTTGTCTTTTTTATGCGTCAATTACACGAGTCCAGATTGACGTGACCGCAATTGTTGTCTTTGGGGTGGCCGTGCATCCTGCGTTACAAGAGAACTCACGGGAGATTATTTGCCAGGCAGGGCATTATGACAGCATGTGTGTCAGGAGTAGAACAACAAGGTTCCAAAGAAATTGGCAACATTTTTTGTGGAGTGAAAAAATGAGTCCCTGCATGTCCACACACCTGTAGCACTTTCCTTGAAGAACAAAACATAACATTCATTTGAAGTTTGGAGGGCTGAAGAACAACCGGAGTCACCGCACTTGTGGGTTTTGAGCTTTCTGTGGAATCTCCCTTAAGACTTTGCATTATAGGCTGAGCATGGTTGAACTGTTGCCAAGAGCTATTGTCCTAAAGCATTTTGCACCTCATAATGGGTAACTGACCCAGGACCTGTCGTGAAGGGTGACGTGATCTATGAAGCTTGGACTTCTATGACTTTCTGATTTCATTCGTTCACAACAGGTGTTTCTCATCATTTCTCCATGGCGGCCCAAACCATTGTAGGAATGATGAACCAGAATTTGTTCTCGAAAAGTTGGAGCAGCTCCCCCGTTGCGAGTCCAGTGTCTACCCCAGCCCGTTGCGCTCCTTTGTTGGTGACTTACCGACCGGTGATCCTCAGGTGTTAGACTCCAAGAGGCCCTTCACCGCTAGCGTGTGGATTTTGGCCGAGGCCCTTGGAGGCGCTGCGCGGGGGCTGGATTCGCAGTTGGAAAAAAATCAACATGAAAAGAGTCTACAGTCTACATATGATATAAAACATGCACATATTATATAATATTATCACATATTATTTTCTATCAATCTTCATCATCGTTATCACAATCAACGGGAAACCAAGCAAGTTGGAATCGACACTTCGCCGAGCTTCAGCCCCAAATCCGCACGATTAGCAGACGTCGCAGGTAGCGAGGCCGGCAAGTTTGCGGGCGCCGCGTGCAGCGGCAAGAAGGCCGCGGAGCAATCTGCGGCCGCCAGGGCACTTGAAGGCTTGGAAGAGTGGCTTGGAACGACCAGTGGGGACCCCATGGCCCAAGCTGAGCCCTGGTGGTTGATGGTGGTTCAATGGTGTTGTGGAAACTTGGGGATGGGGTAGGAAATGGGGTAGAAGTACCAAGATGTAAGGATCTGAACCAGCATGCATGAGTATGAAAGCAAACACAGGTTGGTCGATGGTTGAGTCTGGAGTTGTAGTGTAAGGCTTCATGAAAAATTGTGGAGTGATCCAATAGAGTATCGGAGCATCTCCAATATTCAACTATGTTTTGTGCATCACTGGACACACTTGCTGCTTTCAAGGGTCCCTCAGCATCCTTGATGACGCTCCATGGGAGATTCAGTGCACTTTTCGCACGATATGAGTTGGTTCCCAAGTGTGAGCACGGAGAATGACGATGGCAATGATGAGTATGACTATGACCATGATAAGAAAATGTGACGATATGGGGGTGGGTCAAAGCCCATTGTTACCATATTTAGGGGAATAACATTAATCAGCTATTTCAGGGTATCTCAACTGCTGGACCTCCAAAAACCCTCTGACGCACTAAGAGCTGAGGCTCTTGAACGTGCGGGTTGCACCTGTGAAGGCACATCGCCTACCACAACTGCTGTCCTCCAACTACAAAGGCGGCGATGGGTCCGGATGGGTCAAGGGCGACCGCGGGTTTTGGATGCGGAATTTCATGATCGATGAAAGTCATTCCTCGTTTATGTCTGGTATCGGTACATGGTATATTCCCCGTTTGGTCGTACATGTTTGCCAATCATGCTCCAATTATCTCCAATTATTGCCGTATGTATTCTGTATTCCTTGTAGTGTTAAAACCTGACCCTGTCACCCTGTCATCTTTTTCTTCCGAATGAATTTTCATGTTGTATTTCCCCTTTCATTTCTCACATCTTGGATAGCAACATGACAGTCGTGAACACAACGAGCCAACGAGCCCGTTCACTGATACTGGGCATATCTGTCCGGCGGGGAGGTCATTTTGACTGCCCCACAGGACAGTTGGTGGAGCAGCTGCAGAACCTCGTTTTGAACAGCTGGTTGTGTCGGTAGAGTTGAGGAGACTCTTGGTGTCTGGAGACGTAGACTCTGAGTAGACAGACTTCTGATCATATCTGATCATATCTGATCAATCTCATTGTCTTCAGTTCTCACTGTTGATTTGTGAATATCAATCTTCTTCAGATTAATTTGAACGGCGCAGCGATTCTGGTTTGCATTTGCCAGCAGGATGGTTAGGGTGTTTCTTCTCAAGCTGTTGGAGCGGTCATCCAACAAAGACCGCGCTTGGTTTCAGAATCTGCCGAGTTGCTGGACAGTTCATTCCGAAGATTTGCTCCGACTAAGCTGGTTGGTCAACGGTTGGTCAATGCAGCAGATTGGTCTGTGGTGAACAGCTTGGCTCTGAGGCAATTGCTTGGGCATACACTGATGCGAGGGGACGTCGTTTTCAACACGCCAACGGATTCTTTGAGCAGACAACGACAATAGAGGGTTGCACATTCCTGCGGGCTCATTGCATCCAAGATCAGCCAAGATTCTACTGAATGTGGGGTGTAGTTGCTTCAGTTGCTTCACAGCTTATTGCCTTTGGGTCCATGTTGCTGTTAGCGCACATGAGGAGTATTGATTAAGACCCCTTCCATCTTGGTGACAGTCTAGGTATATAGCTCAATGCACTTCAATGCACTTCATACTTTTGTTTGGACTTCAGTTTCCGCCCAATCTTTAGCGCAGGGCCTCACTTGACCAAATCAACAAATGAGCAGTGACCAAGACTCGCAATGATGGCGGTTTAGTCGGATGACCCCAAACTGGGGTTTGTACTTGAAAGCTCATGCTCAGGACTCACCACCGTTTGTGACCTCCCTGGAAGTGAATGTGATGGAGGCAACCACTAAGCACCCGAAGGGATCCGAAGGGCATGGGGAGGCTTCAATCCACCGACAACATGAGTGTAAGACTGGAGTGGGCCAGATGGCCTGCGGGTTTGCTCAATTAAGATACATAAAGAGACTATAGCGTGCATGTTGTGCCTAATGTGTCGACAGCAGACACTAAAACATGAGTTGACGCGGCACATGCGGACAATACCACACTCACTGGCCCCAAGCACGGGTGGCGGAAACCAGGGAGATGAAACTGACAATCACGGGTGGAAGTGTCAAATGAGACAATGAATTGGCAGAAAACTAATTAGGCAAGCTGCTTTCTTCGTTTTTTCAAAATGGCAGAGTAGTGGTTGAAACGTTGTTGTGGTGTCGATTCATGCAATGGCTGGAAAACTATCGTGGGTTGCAATTCATTGTAAAAAGTTGGATCGTGCAGTGAGGCCATACATTGAAACCGTGAATGTAGGACCGTTTCTGATCCCCTTCTAGGAGAAGAAAATTGTCCTGAGCGTGGCCTGTCCAAACAAGAAGGCGGCTGAACAAAGCGCAGCTAGGGCCATGGTCGTCGCTTGGCAAAAGCTTGTGCTCAACGTGCACATATGTTTTTTTGCAAGACATGGCATGTACAATTAAAGTGATGATTGCTAGACATGCTACATACAATGAACCCCTTGGCAATTGTGTTCCTCTTTGTTTCCTGGTCCACGATGCATCAACTGTTTGGGAACCGGATGATACGTGTATCCATGGTAGCATTAGCTAAGGAACAACTTCAGAGGGACTTTTCCAAGGAGCTGAAGACACAAAACAAGTCCTTGATGTGTGGCCCCATGGTCCCCGTGTTTTGCTGCAGAGTTCCTCGACCAGAAGTTTTCCTCAACAATGCTGCCATTCTTTTTCTTGTGAAACGAAACAAGAAGCTAAAGAAGCGAGCAGGCTTCACTCACAGAGTTCTCATACACTTCAGTCTGATGCTTTCGCAGTTCCATGAGAATTGTTTCCGATGCAGAACGTCATGCGTGGCTCTGGGACTGAGATGAGCCCCCCCTTTTCAACTTCTCAACTGCATGCATAAGGAACAAGACGTGTGCAGAATCGGCTAGTCTATAGATGTCTATAGTGCCAGTCAGTTTTCAAGCGGTTGATCTCCGCTTTGCATCCTTCCAGATCCTATCCCCGCCGCTGGTCACCGGTCACCAAGGTGTCAGTTTTACTGGGCGATGCCACCATTTGTGAGGCCAAAAGCGATGCCCTTGCCTTCTCGTCCAAACAGGCTGCGAAGGACCCGCACTGCGTGGCTCAGATGATTCCGGCGCCCACTGTTACAGGCTGAAACAGCAATATATGCCCATATAATTCCACATATGCAATTAAAGTTTAAATAAAACAGGTTAAACAGATTTAAAAAGTGCCTTTTTGAGGCCAGCGCCCGTGTTTGTTGTCAATATTGAGTATGAATAGTATGAATCAGTATGAATGACTATGAATCAAATAATTCGCTGAGTGACAATTAAACCACAGACTTTGGCCAGAGGAAAGTGCTGCTTTTCTTGCATGCGACAAGCTCAGCACAGAGCTTGAAGGCATTGATTTTGGGTGTGGGGCTGCTGGATTTACATCCAGATTTGATGTCAGGGACCTTCATTCCTGCGTACAATAGACTTTGATGACCTTGCACAAGAAAGCTGACTACTCAACCGATCCATCTGGAAACAAGTGTAACAAGAGTATGGTGCAGAGACAGGATAGCGCAAGGTGATGTCACAACGATTTCACTGCTGTTTGGCGCAGGCTCCACTGGCCAGATTCGGCTGGCAGAGCAGATCAAGCATTTCTGCCAAGAGCTTCGTCCTACTTCTTTGGCTTTAGCTGGGAACTTAGCTTCGGTAAATGTTTAGACATGTTGGCGAACATGTTGGCGAACATGTTTGAAGATCAGAGTCAAGTTGTCCAACTGCCTGAGATCTTCGGACATTGGTGGGAGGGGTCTGTTGAAGTGCAGGGCGGTTCTTCTAAACCACATGCAGTACGTGCAACAGCATTTTCTTTGAACACTTCCCATCATGGAGTGTTGAGGATCTTGCCAAACAAGTCAACATATGAATACATATGACATCATTGAAATCAGCTCTTTTGTCACGATTCCCGTGGACCACAATACAAAGGTGGATACAAGTTGAAGCTTTGCTCCATCGAAGCATTGCACCCGAGGTTGAGTCTCATATTGCGATAGCGCAGCCGCATGAAGTCCCACGACCTGTGGGATTGGTGATTTGAAGCTGGTACAGGTCGGGCTTGGAGCTGGTACAGGGTGAAGAGATGTGAAGAGCTGGTACGTTGACGATTACCTGACCCTTTTTTGGGGGGATCTGCCAGCCCTGCCATGTAGCGCTACCAAACACATGGCACAGCATGGGATGTAGATGCCTTCTAGATCCTTCCACCATTTCTGCCGTGTTGCAGGAAATCCAGCTCGATGTGTTCGAGTGGTTGGAGCCATTGTTTCAGCCAAGATTTCAAGATGCGACCAAAGTTGCAAGTCGATCTGATATGGATGATCCACCGGTGATCACTTCAAACATCTTCAAACCAGCAGTCCCCAAACATCTCTGAAGTCTCTTGGTTTAAGCAAGACTGGCAGCGGCTGGACGCGCCAATTCTTAACAGCAGATATGCACAAGTAAACTAAGTAGTTTGGGCATTGCTCGGGACAGCTGAAGGTTGGAGTCCTGCAGTCTCTTAATTGTTTGAAGCTTGAAAATGCCTGCCTGCATTTCAAAGTGGTCACAGCCAGTGGAATATCCGCCATGTCCCACCAAATCCAGTTTGAGTATCCACGTCGCTGCGTCTGACTCTCCAAACATTCGTGACGGCTATTCACTGAATTGTAACTTTCCGATTGGCAGGTCAGAGCTTATCTTACCAGTTCCGCATAATGATGATCTCAGTGCCATTCCCAGCTGCATCGCTGTTTCATCATATTGATTTTCGACGGCAGGCTTCATTGTGGAGCTGCTGTGGTTGCCGGAAACGTACCACTACCAGGTCTGCTTGTTTGGCTCAGCCAGTCAGCATCAGTCAGCACTGGACTGACATCAGTGGAGGCAGCGGCACTGGCTGACATTGAGCAGAGTGTTGGACCCTTAGTATCCCTTGGCTTGAAATCAGTTGCTGTTATATGCTGATGTACTATACATGAAATTGATTCCTGACTGGATTTGTTGCTTTCCCAAGGCATCATTGGTGCAGGACCTGGTATTGTGCAGGTCTCAGATGAGATATCCAGATGTCGCCGGTTGCGAGTCGGTTTCGAGCAGTGGAGATCCATGATGCAGATGAGGTTTGGAGGAGTTCGGCAGTCCAATGAAGCCATGGAAAACCTCCGGGAGCGGGTAGAGCCTGTGTTGGATGACGGGCATTGGTCCACAATAGATGGCAATTCTCGGGCAAATGCCCACAATCATGGAGAATTCTGGTTTCGATTGTTGCGCCCAATCGGTGAATCCAACCACATCCGACAATATATCCCTATTATATCCCTGTGCCCTTGGCTACCCGCCATTTCTCGTAGTATGTCAACCTTCTCGTTGATGGATAGTGCGGATTCCCCAAACCAATGTGCCACGTCCTACACATACTGAAGCTGTGGAGGGAAATGGTGTCCATGGCTTGTACAAAGCTGTCCCTGCTAAAGCAGGATATTGGTACAACGGAAACCACCATGAACCCAGATAACCCATAGATTTGATAGACACTTGTTTGATATGTATTCATGATATAGTCAGATACACTCAGATAATATATATTGATGCATATTGAATTCGTCTCATTCCACATGTTCAGTCCAAGGCATAAGGACGGTCACGCGTTGTGCCTGGTGCAGGAGCCGTGCCAGTACCAGCTGAATGACTCGCAGTCAGAGGCAGTTCGCTCGGCCTTGACCTCGTGTGGAGCCTGAGAACTACAATTTGTTACAACGAATCTCAAGGCATAAAACGAATCTCGAAGCTCTTTGATATCTCAGAATTCTCAGTGGCTCCTTTTTTCTTCCCATTCTTCTCATTCTTCTCCTTCTCCTTCTGGACAATGCTGCAGATGACGTAGCCGCAGAAGATGATGGCTCTTGTTTGCTATTATGTTCTTTTATGGTCTATATGGGCATTTCCTGAAATGGGGGTACCCCTAAATCAGTTCTCATCCATTTTTAGATGGATTTTCCATTAATAAAAACCCCAACTTTATGGACACCCCCATTTGCTCTATGATGGTGGTCACAAAGCGATCTCACCAGGCCGCCACGATCCGCCACGCCTCGAGGCCAGTGACTTTGATCCATGGTCCACCTGGCACGGGGAAGACGAGGACAGCAGCAGTGGTGGCCTTGACCTTCGCCAGTCAAAACGCTCAAAGCTCTGCTGAGACCTCGGATGAAGCGATTCTTTGAAACAACCCAAAACTTGGCTGTATCTAGCTGTCTAGCTGTCTAGCTGTCCAGTTTTAATATGAAGAGTTTCTTATTTGAACAACCCGAACGCAGAATGAGAGTTCTTGTAGAACGTGTAGTGTATACGTTCGAATTGTAATTGGATCTTGTATGGATAGTTGTATGATGTATGCATATTTGCTTTCATCCTTGCCGGAAGTTCGGAAGATGTCGCAACTGTCCACATAGAACTTCAGGCCCGAGGCTGCGTGCTCTATGCGGCCAACAGCAACCGTGCTGTCGACGTAGCGGCAGAGGCGAAGCGTTGCAACAATGAAAGTGAACGAAGCATAGCGAAGAAACATGAAGAATCTAGTCTAGCGGCATCTAGCGCATCTAAATATCATCTGAAGTCTCATTTCGTGGATTTCCAGTGATAGAATGGGTCACACAAATACTGGTAGCTGCTCGATATTCCGCAGGGGCCAATGTCATGTGAATGTCTGTCGATAATTCCATTTCAGATCTCCAGGACTTTCTGGTTGCCATGTCTCTGTGATGAAAGGATGACAAAACAGAGTCACACCAAAACAGCAATGTCCTTTTCCCGAGTTACCACCCAATAATTGCTTTGTTTCTTGCAAGAACAGATTGCCTGCCATGGATATTTCCGGGATATTTCCTGGATATTTCTGGTACCCTCTGGTAATTTAACATAGCTATGGAAAGATCCACCATTTTTAATGGGAAAATCCACTATTTCAATGGCCATTTTCAATAGCTTTTTGTATGTTTACCAGAGGGTATCCATGTCACCTTTGCCAGGCCATCACTGAACTGAGTACCGAACGCTTGGAGGACCTCTTCGAACATCAAGACCAGGCGCTTGGAGCCATGGCCGGAAGCTATGGCTATGGCTAGCACTGGGATGTTCATGATATATATATATAATATAATATATATAATATATATATATATATTCTGTATATAATATATATATATATATATACATAGAACTTTGATATTGATATTGATAATGTTTGTGGATGTTGAATGATGTTGATGGATTATTATTTGTGGATGCTTCTATTTAAAGTTTTATTTGTTTGTCGAATGTATTTATTCTCTTCAGACAAAATCAAGAGTCACCTGTTGCTATGTTGCAAAGTTTTGGGCATTGAATGACTTTGTTGGGCTTGGGTAGTAGGATGTCATGCAACCAACCTGCACTAAAATTTATACGACTATCGCTTGCGATCAGGATGAGAAATGTGCCATTTGTTGGCAAGAAGGCTGGGGGTGAAACTCGAAGTGAACAGCCACCTTTCACATATACTTTTCCAAGATTTTTCACACTGAGCATATTAATGTTTTTTACACATCTTTTTACATCTTTCTACCATGATTTTCCAGTACTTTTCTTGGATGTGTTGACGCAAAGCACTGGTCGGCAAGGTTGCAATGCGATTACGTTCTGTGGGCATGTCTTCCATCGCCATTGTCTGGATCGCTCAGGGGGTTCCAGGGGCAGATGGACTCCCCGCTTGCACTGCTTGCATTGTCTGCAGCGGATTGGTGCCGGTTTTCAGCTGCCAGTTGGCCGTCTTGGCTCAGCTGAGATTGCACCATGTTCTGTGATGAAGAGCCCACCCCGCGATGGACTTCTGCAATCCTGATACAAATGACATGAAATGACAAAAACATGACATGGATTCGGACTTCCAGTCATCAAACAAGCATCCCAGCATCACCAAAGAGGTGAAGTTTGTCCAAGTCAAAACGTGGCATTCCGAGCACCTCTCAAGCCATGGCTGTATTCCTCCGGTCCATAGCAATGCGGAGGCAGTGGCCTGTGGCTCCGTGCCATGGTGGCAAGTTTCTGGAAATCAACTCTGAATATCTCTGAATTTAGTTTTTGGATGGACTCTGAAGTTTCAGGTCTGTTTTGTATTTGTTTTGTTGCTATTGCTGTTCCGGGTTTTTCTCTTCTGTCATCCATCGCTTTTGTCTTGAGGCGTTTGTTGCGATCTGTCTCAGTCTTTGTCGAGGCCTGACCAATCTGGCGGTCAAGGGATGTTGGACTTCTCAATTCTTGGCATCGAAGCATTTTTGCGTAAAGATCTCCGTTTCAGAGTGTCACACGCATCACATCTCTTCATGATGCTCTCATCATCCTATTCTCCGGAAGATTCGTGTGGAATTCAGCTGGAATGGCCTGTAGCACTGTACCATACTGTACCACATGGCCGAGGCAACACCAAATCCGAAGTCCATGAAGTTTGTGCTGGATGGCGGAGAAGTCCTTGGGAGTGGCACCAAGACCGGGTGCTCTTCGCGGCCGGGCGATCTCGGCCTCTCTAAGTCAGATGTCATGAGAATTTCATGAATTTCTTTACGTCAAACAGCGACAATCCAAATTTGGAGAGGAACCATATGGAGACATCATGAAACATCTAATTTCATGTAATTTCTATTGCTTTCTAATGCTTCCCAGATTTGTTTTTTCGAGTTGACTTTTGCAGGACCATGCTTTTCCGAAGCGCCGAAGAGGCCATCCAAGCGCCCCTGGCCAAGATGCTGTTGGAGATGGATGGGGTACGTGAAGTCCTTTGCCTCAGTGAAGCTATGCTGGTCCTGTGGATCATATGGGCTGTTGGTGGCACATGCTGACACTATATTTATTGCAGCTAGGGTAGCTGTGTAGTGTCCGGGTTGGCATGAGCATCTCCCTTCTCTTTCTCTCCTTTTTGTGATTTCCGTGCTTTTCCCAGTTTTGCCGTTGCTGTTGCTGCCGGTTGCTGCCGCGATTTTGTGATCTGTCCGCAGCTGGTACTTTGTTTTCCAACGCTGAGGTGCTCTTGGCAGCAGAGCATGTCACAGTGACTAAAGCCACCTTGGCCGACTGGGAGGAACTTCAGGACGGGAGCGAAACCGACACCGGAAATGTGGAACAAGCAACAACCACACGAACAAGAACCAGAAAAATGAACAACAAAAATGACAAGAACTGAAGCAACAAGAACAACAACACGAACAATGGAGGTTCAGAAATAAAGTAGATAAAGCTTAGGCGCACCATAATTTGTGCGTATTGACAGCTTGTGTTTCACAGCCAGCGGTCTCCGCACTGTTTCCCTTTGGTGCTCTTTCCGGCACTGATCCATTCACCAATGCGCACGCAACGCCAACTTCGGTCCAGCAGATCCAAATATTTTGTTGGGCACACCAAGCATCCAGTGCTGAAGACCAGCTGGTGGCTGCATGGCCACAAGGCTGAAGGCTGTCGAAAGCCATCATGGATGTGATGAAATTCCAAAATGTGATTTGTATCGATTTGTCACACCCAGTTCTTTGGAACATATTGCAGTGCCAGCTTGAGTGCTGTTTGGTTGGCAGCATGCTGTGTGTTTACATTGCAGGACGTGGTTGAAACTGAAATCAACAAGTTCTTTGAGGCGCAACTGAATGAGTTCGAGTTCCGATCCGGAGAGCCACCCAAAAGTCGGATTCGAGTCGGTCTCGGGTTTCGGGTTTCGGGTTTCGTTGATTGAAACCCACTCTCGCTGTCGGTTTCGGGTTTCGGGTTTCGGGTTTCGTCGATTGAAACCCACTTTCGCTGTCGGTTTCGGGTTTCGGGTTTCGTCGCTTGAAACCACTTTCGACGTCGATTGAAACCCGCTGTCGGTTTCGGGTTTCGGGTTTCGTCGATTGAAACCCACTTTGCTGTCGGTCGGTTTCGGGTTTCGGGTTTCGGGTTTCGTCGATTGAAACCCACTTTCGCTGTCGGTTTCGGATTTCGGGTTTCGGGTTTCGGGTTTCGTCGATTGAAACCCACTTTCGCTGTCGGTTTCGGGTTTCGGGTTTCGGGTTTTTCGTCGCTTGAAACCAACTTTCGCTCGGTTTCGGGTTTCGGGTTTTTCGGGTTTCGGGTTTTTCGTCGATTGAAACCCACTTTTGCTCGGTTTCGGGTTTCGGGTTTCGGGTTTCGGGTTTCGTCGCTTGAAACCCACTTTCGCTGTCGGTTTCGGGTTTCGGGTTTCGGGTTTCGTCGCTTGAAACCAACTTTCGCTGTCGGTTTCGGGTTTCGGGTTTCGGGTTTCGGGTTTCGTCGCTTGAAACCAACGGTTTCGGGCGGGTTTCGGGTTTCGGTTTCGGGTTTCGGGTTTCGGGTTTCGGGTTTCGTCGCTTGAAACCAACTTTCGCTGTCGGTTTCGGGTTTCGGGTTTCGGGTTTCGGGTTTCGTCGCCTGAAACCAACTTTCGCTCGGTTTCGGGTTTCGGGTTTCGGGTTTCGTCGATTGAAGCTAACTTTAGCTGTCCGTTTCGGGTTTCGGGTTTCGTAGGTCGAAACCACCTTTAGATTCACCAGTACGATGCCGATCTCACATCACCCAAGTGTCGTTCTCCATGCAGTCGTCAAAAACAAGAGCGGTGAGTGACAAGCGCCTGAAAAGGTCAGAGAGGAAAAACGGCAACGGTTTGGGGGAAACTAGCTGTCACTGAGTGGATTAGATTAGATTAGATTAGATTCGGTAGAGTAGATCAGATTAGATTAGGTAGATAGATTAGATTAGAAGATTAGATTAGGTAGATTAGATTAGATTAGATTAGGTAGAGTAGATCAGATTAGATTAGGTAGATTAGATTAGATTAGATTAGGTAGATTAGATTAGATTAGATAGATTAAACTAGATTAGAATTAGAGTAGGTTAGGTAGATTAGATTAGGTTAGACTATATAGATGAGATGAGATTAGAATTATATTTGATTAGATTAGATTAGTTTAGGTAGATTAAATTAGATTAGATTAGGTTAGATTAGATTAGATTAGGTTGGATTAGACTAGTTGGATAGATATGATCTGATATGATATGGTATCATTAGATTAGATTAGATTAGAAATATAAGATTAGAAGAATTAGATTAGGTTAGATTAGATTAGATTAGGTAGATTAGATTAGATTAGATTGGAATAAGAAATATTATAGAATAGGTAGATTAGATTAGATTAGATTAGATTAGATTAGATAGATTAGATTAGATTGATTAGATTAGATTAGTTTTGGTTAGATTAGAATCTGATTTGATTAGGTAGATAAGATTAGATTACAATTAGATTACTTAGATAGATAGATTAGGTTAGATTAGGTAGATTAGATTAGGTTAGGTAGATTAGGGTAGATTGGATTAGAATTAGATTCGATTAGGTAGAGTAGATAAGATTAGATAGGTTAACCTAGATTAGAATTAGATTAGATTAGGTAGATTAAAGTAGATTAGATTAGATTAGATAGATAAGATTAGAAATAGATTAGATTAGGTAGATTAGATTAGATTAGATTAGAATTGGATTAGATTAGGTAGATTAGATTAGATTGGGTTAGATTAGATTAGATTAGGATAGGTTAGGTAGATTAGATTAAATTAGATAGATTAGATAGATTAGATTAGGTAGATTAGATTAGATTAGAATTGGATTAGATTAGGTAGATTAGATTTGAATAGATGCGATTAGATTAGATTGGAATAGGTAGATTATTTCAGATTAGATTAGATTAGATTTGGTAGATTAGATTAGATTAGATAGATTAAACTAGATTAGAATTAGAGCAGGTTAGGTAGATGAGATTAGGTTAGACTATATAGATGAGATTAGATTTGAATTAGATTAGATTAGATTAGAATTAGATTTGAATTAGATTAGAATCAGATTAGTCAGATAGATAGATTAGATTAGATTAGGTAGATTAGATTAGATTAGATTAGATTAGGTAGATTGGATTAGATTAGATAGACTAGACTAGATTAGATAGAATAGATTAGGTTAGATTAGATAGATTAGATATGATTAGATTAGATAGATTAGATCAGATTAGATTAGATTAGATAGATTAGATAGACAGATTAGATTAGATTAGATTAGATTAGATTAGGTTAGCTCTAGATTAGATAAAATCGGTCCTGGGGAAGTTAAGTCTTCAGAGTCGGTTTCGGGTTTCGGGTTTCGGGTTTCGATCGGTCCTGGGGAAGGTATATAAGTCTTCAGAGTCGGTTTCGGGTTTCGGGTTTCGGGTTTCGGGTTTCGGTCGGTCCTGGGGAAGTTAAGTCTTCAGAGTCGGTTTCGGGTTTCGGGTTTCGCAGTTCGAAACCAACTTTAACAGTCGGTTTCGGGTTTCGGGTTTCGGGTTTCGCTGGTCGAAACCAACTCTGCAGACCTCTCTCCGGATCACATCTCATGAGTTCTTGCTTTTGTGGTCGACGAATGACTTCCTCCCTGAGTTTTACCTTCCATAAAATCTCCCTTCTGAAAAAAATTGTTGATTCGGTTCCTCAGCTGGAGCTACTGAGGCTGGAAACGTGGCAGTCAACCCCGATGCAGTCGAAACCGTTGACCCTCAGGACTCTCCACTGCCTGAGGTTTGTCTCCAAATCAAGATCAACCAAGTCAGACCTGGAACTTTTTCAGAACTATTTTCTTGTCAATGGCGGAGATAGCGGTCATGAGGGCACAGAATAAATATGATAGATAGTATATGTGTTTTTTCATAGACTTCAGTGACTTTCCATGTGTCTTTTGTCATTCTTTTGTCTCACAGAGACAGGCCCAAGGCCCAAGAACCGCCCGCCAGGACTTTGAAGAAGGCAGCATCGAGTGGCAGATCCTCGAGCTCCTGGAGGACGACTTGGCGCCGAAGCCAAACAGTTTTGGGTCAGACCTGGTAGTCCTGGTATGGAACTGCTGGCAGGAGCGGGTGAAGCCGTTCGTTCAGCAAGATGGTGGAGATATCGAATTCGTTCGTCTCATGGTAGAAACAATGTTGCGCTTTTGGTGGAAGTTGCCCTGTCTTTTCTAGTTTTTCTATCGGGGGCTCAAGAAAGCCACTGTGACAGTGAATCTGCCAAGATCTACGTGTCTCATGTTTCTCCATCGATCTTGGAACACATCATGAACGGCCCAGGTTTTGATCATGGAGATGGCTCTTTGTACCTGCGAATGGTGGGCTCCTGTAGTGGTTGCGCCCAGTCACATGCAACCCTACAGGAAGGTGTGAAAAAGTTGTCACTTGGCCTCGTTGCTAGCGGACTGGTGTGATGCTGTATTAATGTCCCCTTTTAGACCGCGCTTGGTTGAACTTGCTGAAGTTTCATTCATTTCTCCGATTAGTGCCCATAAGGCCCAAGGACTAATGCATCTTGTTTGAAGGAAAATATATACTTTCATCTTAGCGAGAAGAGAATCCCGCGTTCACCTTATTTCATGTTCACTTAAGCGGAGTTAAATGCTGAATGTTTCAGCACACTTCTTGAAGATTTGTCCAGTCCAACTAAATGCCTGGTGTAGCCGCTACGGCCGAAAGAGTGGGAGTTTTCCTTGTCTTCTTGGCCACTGGTGTTGTACTGCCGGGATTTCAAGGATGGTTCAAGTGGGTTGATCACTGCCGAAAAGGATGGATCACTACTTGCCTGAAGTGAAACAGATCGTCGGCTTGAATGATGAGTTGGACCGATGCAGCCGCCGAACAAGCTTCCAACCAGCTTCCAACCAGCTTCCAACCAGCTGGTGCAACGTCCCAGAATTGGATGAAAATGTACAAGAACCCCCTTAGAATTGTTGGGAAAGACAATTTTCCTTACACCAATCCGATGAAAAAGCGTGCGCTTACACTTGACTCCGAACAGGACGAAGATGTTCCGCGACCTGGTCGATGACGAGTGGAGTGAGCCCAAATTCTTTGCATTTTCCAAGCTGGGCCAAGAAAGCAGCCTTCGACGGCAAACAGCACTGACCTGAAGCTGCCAAAAGATTGGTGCACTCAAAAATTGACTCAGTAGATCCTATTGGATCCTTGCTTTGTGCAAAGCAACATAGATTTGATGATTTGTATGTTTGATTTTCTGGATAGTGGATCACTTTTATGCTTCCCTGCTTTCGAAGCAGATTCGAAGCAGATGTCCAAAGGCCTGCCTTTCTCTTTGAGTTTATTTCATGACCGTTTGCAGAGGTGCTCCAATCATCAGATTCACCTTCCCTTCTTTTGAAGATAAGATAAGCAACTAGCATTTCCCAACCGAGAAGGACAGTGGGGACGATGGTATGCGCGAAAGCGGTGGTCCCAGACACCTGGGACTTGAGGGTCAAGACGACCCAAGCAAAACGATTTGGCGTTCTCTTGCACAGTTGAAGGCCAGTGTTGAAAGCCTAGACCCGATTGCTTTGAGCAAAAAGTACACAGGCTGTGCAGTGCACGGGATCATTGCTGAGCATCAGCATCTCTGCGAAGAACTTCAAAAGCGTGTCTCCACAAAGACCTTTTCTGCGGAAGGTTACAATTTTTAGGTGCAGATTTGTGCAGATATTGTGCAGATGGTATTCCCATGTATTCCCGATTTGTGAGGCTTGACCCAAGCATTGCGTGCATCAGTTGGAGGCAGGGTTTCTCAGTTGAACCAGCTTGGCAGTTCAGGAGCTTCCCGGGCCAGGTCGAAGTTGCCCCATTTGCCGTGCCGCCTTGAAGAGCATTGAAGGAATTCGGCTGTTGAGGGCACGAGGTCCCAGGGATTAGGGTCACGGTCAAAAGGTTGTATAAAAAGAATTACAAAAAAAAACAGTTTGGAAGAAGTTCATACAAGTTCAAGGTGAGGATGGCGATCAGAATTCGGCAGATCATATTCACCTCATTGTGGCTCACGATGATGTACGCAATCAGAATCTGGTTATATAGCAGCCAACATCATGATCAAGTGGTAGACCATGATCATTGAAAATAAGTTATGCCAGTTATCACTTTGACTGGTCCCGGGAAAAACATGTATACTGCATCTTTCCTTCGCATATCTTTCCGGATGCATTCCCGGACAGCCCGGAGATCTATGCGATTGGAACCCGAGGTGTACAGCAGCGACACCGAGAACCTGGAGCTGCTTGACCGGTGAAACATGGTGAAACAAAAAGTGGATGGGACTCTGCCAGCGAGCTTTGCTCAGAGGCAGCGTTTTACTGGGAAGCGCTGCAATTTGTACTTAATTTATATAAGAAATACGAGTGTCTCCAAGCAGAAGAATAAGGCTCAGTTTTTGTTGAAGAAGTGTCATTATGGTCAGATATGGTCAGTAAATGCTGTGAAGCACTGTGAGTTCTGTTGGATGACCCCGGTCCTCTGTATGCGTGGGCCGCCTGGCCTAAGGTTCCCCATTCCACGGCCCTACCGCTACGACGGAGTGCGCGAGCGGCGAAGGTTCTCAGTACCCGAGGCCGAGTCGGAACGGTTCGGAACTGGTTCCACCACCTCAACCTGGGTAGCACAAGAGTCGAAACACAAAAAGGCATAACTGGCATAACAAGATATAAAAAGATGAGAAACCGAGAAACCCAGGGATGGAAAGCAGAAACAATCCAAAGAACGTCCCGCTTCAATCTATCAATGGGGCGTAGCTGTGCTGCTTAATATGGTTGTCAGGAGATGCGACGATTCGCATTGCACTGGAGAATCCACAACAAGGCCTTGAATGTGAATTGAACAGTGTTGCCTCTGTGGCATTTCTAAGCATTGAGATGTTGCGAGATCTTTCACTTTGTTTTACTTCAAAACATCCACGTACATGAATTTAGAGGAGCAGTACGATGACACATACGGTATGGAGTTGTTCCAACATAGAGATTTTGGATCAGTTGGAGTGAAACGATTTTATGATGAGAAGAAACGACCTGCAGCACTGAAGTTCCTGCAACCCTGCACAGGTGGCAAGCCACTTCAATCCTCGCGCTGCAGCCTGCGAGGTCCAGTGGTGTGAAATGCTTTCTATGGGGACCGAGGATAAAGTAATGACTCTTGGAAGAAGAAATGTTTTGGTGATCAAGCAAGCTAAGAGCAAACCTGGCTGTGAGAGAAAGGCACGCACAAGCTGTTAACTTCGCAGCTTTTGCCTTGTTTGGCGATAAGAGCCTTTAATGCAACAGTAGGCGTTCTTCTGCCTCACAGTTCTCCTGCTATGTTTGATTTAAAATCCGTACATTGATTTCAGGAAAGCGACACATCATTTTGCCACTTCGAAAATGCTGAAATCTTGTAAGTTATGGTTACAATGGTTGCTGTCGCTACAAGTTTCTTTACTGAACTTTACTGTTTGCAAAGAGCCAGGCAGCTTATGAGAAGCTTCTGTCCTGCAGTCCTCAGAGCAATGACTTCGATGCTGCCAGGAGATTGGACTCCGCAACGGCACCGTTGGACGTTGCACAAAAGGATCCACACATGTTTCCCTAGAGGTACCACAGGTTACCACAACTGAACCTCAGTGCGTTTTGGCTCCTTTGTCGACCAGATCTACATGAATCATGAAACGACCTGGCAAGATCAGTTACTAGAGTCTAGTTACATCATGTCTTGGTCAAGAGCCAGTGATGGTGCAAATTTCAGTCCAAAGTACACGACAAGTGTACTTTTTCACAGAATGTCAGAAAGATCCTGGAAGAATTTACATAGCGCACATTTTTCTTGGAACCATTCAGGGTTTTCAGTGTTCCTCTCTGCATTTGCATCACTTTTCCATTGCGTGTGGGCATGGCGAATGCGTCAAGGAAGAGGCCTTTGGAGGTGCTGCCAACCAGCAAACCTTCCAGATCCTCCGTGTGTCAGACATGTCAGATGTTCCTAGTATTTTTTGAGCCAGCTACAGTTGGTGTAGTTGGTGAACTGCTTCTGATTCAGGAAGATGGCATGTCGGAGGAGATACAGAGGATGATTGCAAACCAAATTGAGGCCGCTGCAAAATCTTTCAAACAATTCTATCACGTGCAAAACTGGCAAGCAAGTGCTCCAGAACACAAGTCCAGTGGTCTAGGAGTAAGTACTGTCTTTTTCTCCAAACAAACATGTTGTTGCGCCCTATTCTTCAGGCCAGCTTGTCTGGGCGCAACAAGTACATCATCTTGGCACATCCATCCATGGATCACATCAAGCAGCTCAACTGCTATTTTTTGCGTGCACATTTGGTACCCACTTTCTCCCATTGTATGTTGATGTATGTTGGTGCTGGTCAAATCCAATCTTCCTCTTTTTTAAACCAATGACAGAGAGGAGTCGCAGGCTATTCGCAGGCTACTTCGATGATTCCCTTCCTCAGGACATTTTCAGGAATTCTCCTTATCTGACAGCCGTTGTGGAGCTGCTAACATCTCACACATTCACATCAAATTCACATCCAGCGGCAGCTAAGGAAAAACCTTATGGAACTGGACCCTCTCTCTTACACAGAGGTTCGTGCTGCAGTTTCTGTTGCATTTCCTGCATCCCACTCTTTGATGATGTTGGTGCTCTATGGTGCTTTTCTATTCCAAGGTGAAAGTGGATTGGCGTCGCTTGGCTGAAAACAGTTTGTTGAATCTGGATGTGACATTTGGGCCTGGCGGTTACGTCAAAAGTCAGGATTTGGATCCGAAATACTTTCAGGATTTTCAGGGCACGGAGATGGGCGGGGAAGTGTGTTCATTTATGCTCCGAGAGCCGTCCTTTGTAGGCTTTGGAATGCTTTGGAAATATGCAGCAACAGGGCCTCACCCATGATGGCTGGTCCTCCAAATGAAATCTGCACTGTGCCTCAATGGAACAGTTTTGGTCCTTCACATGCTATCAGTCCCACAGGTAAGATGATCGCGTTTCAGGTGAGTTTGAATCCGGTATGCCCAACATCTTCATAGAGGAGGTTCATAAACTTCTCCCTGCGCATGTCTTGCTGCTTCTGAACATGCGGCGTGGGGAGCCCTGGTGGATGAAGCGACTTTGATCCCAAGCAATCCCGCTAGCTGGCTTCACCCGGCGCACCGAACTGAGGGAAGGAGATTCTGCTGGATCAGCCATTGGCTCAGTGCGCCGGAAATCGTGGAGTAGTAAGGGCGAAACTGTTGCTTCGAAAGTCCAGCATCGATTTCTTCCAGACCATACAGTCAAAAGATGAAAGATGTGCTCAAGCTCTACTTTTTTTAATCTGCAGTGGGCTTTGAGGCTGTCGCTGCTATATGCCATCCCACGATACGGCTGCAGATCTTTGACCGTGCTCTTGCCATTCTTCCCAACCGGAACCATGGAGAGACTTGGATTTCGTGTCGCGCTTCAATGATGGGAAGGATGATTCACCTGTGTTGATGTCACATGAGCCGCACAGCATGTGTCATGGAGGGAGAAACTTCCCCTGAGCGTTTGCAGGGTCTTTCATGTCCTTCTTGTAGCCTCAGATCTCAAACTTTGCTGTGCATCATAACCCATACATACTTTGAAGATCTTTGAAGTAATATACTATATTTTACATATTTACATATAACCTTGATTCTCAGACTTATTGATACTTATTGATCATTTTGATCATATTGCATAGTCCACATATAACTGGGGTAAAAATAAGCTGCAGCTCCCCACCCACAGGGTCCCACAGGTCCTCCTGGCTCCAAGGCGAGTGGACCGAGAAGGTGAAGTGGCCACGGCTTCCACGTTGAGTCGAATGATTTCAGCTGTGCCCATGACTCCCGGTGGCCCTGCACGTGCGACCCATAGCCTGGCATAGCACCGGGAAGATGGGATGGATGGGATGGGACAGCTTTTCAAAGTGATGGGATGACGAAGATGGGAGAAGATGGGATCGGAAGATAGTGCCACTTCGCAAAAGGTACTGAGAGCAAGATTCAATTCAAGGGAGAAGCCACTTACGTGGACCCTCGTACTCTTCATCGTTTTTGACCATGCTGAGGTTTCCTGATTTTCGACATCCACGCCCTCCAGATTAGGCCCAGAAGTGTGCACATTTCCGGGAGTTGGGGGAATTGAATGCAAGGAAACAACAGATAAGAGATGATAAGATTGATAAGAGGATCAATTTGGGGTGAAACTTTTGGGTAGCTTTCGTAAATTTCACCAAGAGTATGCCATATGCATCCATATGCCATCATATGTGCATACATACATTCCCTTCATACAGAGTTGGGAGCATCAGACTCTATGTCTGTGACTCTCATTTGGACGAGAGATGGCTGCTCAGCTGATTGCATTTTAGTCTGCTCAGAAGCTGTGGAGGGCAAGCATCAGTAAACAGCCATGAGCCACGATAGCCAGTGCCTGACGAAGATGGCATATCCAACGTCGTGACATGTCCGGACAAAACTAGGTTTGATCCTAATGCAGCTAATGCATATCATTGTGTCGCGATGTGTCGCGATGTGTCGCGATGTGTCGCGATGTGTCGCGGATCCGGAGGTTTTACTTCCAGGACAGCATTCTGCCGGTGTTGCTCTCGGCCATGCCTTTGCTGCTCAACCTGCTGAAGACACGCTTCTCAGCTGGTGACCATTGTGGCCATTCTGTTCTTCCGGTGAAACCAATCCGCACACCTTAGAAAAACAATTGCTGAAACAACCGGCCATCCAAAAGTAGAGGAACCAATATCTTCAAGCTTCAGTGTTGGCTTAAGCCAATGCCATCCACCATTCAAACCTTGTGCTGCCTCTTAGGCTTTTCTTCTGAGGACCCTCCGAACGGGGGACCAGGGGCTGTGTGGGCCGCCGATCATTTGAAGAGCTGGGAAAGTTTGAAACATCCGGACCTGGATCTTGCGCAGGTTGTTTTCGTGATAGCTGGCTGCCATGGACATGGACAGGAGGTGGCAGTGGCCTTTCCTGATGAAGGAGCCAAGAAGCGATTTGGAGGTTTCTTCGAGAAAGAGGGCTACCCGGTGCACTCGCTGCGCTCTTCGGTGGTTGGGTGAGGTGATAAAGTTGCAAGAATAGGATCCGGGGCACTGAACCAAAAATAAAAGGCAAAGCAACTTATCTGACATGAAGCATCATGAAGCCACAAACCATGGACTGATGGACCAAGGTGTTGGATTTCCCCACTGACAAGTGCCGTCACTCTCATAGAGTGGCTCTATGAAAACTAGCAGCTAAACACCTGATTTGATCTATTCTGTCTCTTCGATGTTGACTGGGTACCTTGAGCCCACACCAAATACCCTGACTTCAATTGCAGGGCACACTCTGGCCCTTAGCAGGTGCTGTTTTGCAGCAAAGTTCGGGAGGGAGACAAACGAGTTGTTCGAGTAGCAGAAGGTGATCCAAAAGGAAAGCATGTTTTCATTGTGGATGACCTTTGCAACACAGGCACGGAGCGCTGATTGGTATTTTGACTGCTGGGCATTTGGGTATCTCATATTTCAGAAGCAGCGGCCAAAACTATAAGTAGGATATGTTTGCAGCGTTGATAGAGGGTTGTGCTGCTTTTTTTGATTTCAAGAACCCTTGAGTTCCATCCAATCATTAGAATTAAGTCCAGGCAGTATGATACATTCGCCGGTTTAGCACGCTTTTTTGAAACTTTCAAACTTCACTTTCTTGGGGTGTGAACCTTTGATGAGCTTTATGCCTAGGGTTTCCATAGCTGGTGGCTCGAGACTTCAAGTAGCTCGCGGGGTACCCCCGAAAAGTAGGACTACAACATGGTCGAACTAGACTCGTATCATGTACTGTAATCAGATGTGGTCCTTGGCTCAGACACCCACACACACACACAAACACATTCTGCCACACTTTCTTTGCGGTTTCCGAAATTTCCATGCGCTTGTCATGGCTCTGTGGCTTTCTGACCGTGTTTGTCGCTTGGTGCATCAGCCGCTGGTTGACACAAGAGTCACAAGAGGCTGTGCCCACGGTGTGGGTAGCAGTCCTGTCCCGTCCTAGTGCTGCCTCGCATCGTCGACTCACACGCGCCATGTGGAGTTCCATGAGCTGTGGCTCTGCAAAGTTTGCAGTGTGTCAACAAGGCCGGAGATTGGCTGTGATGAACCCTCTGCTCTGCCAGTGCCATGATGAAAATCTCTCCAACATTTTGTCCCTTCCAGGTTTTTGGAACATGAAACAACATTTACCCGGGTTGGAATTCAATGGCAGAATATGGCAGTGTAAAGCGTAGGAAATCACTTGCATATCACTTGCAACTGTTCGAATTCTGATTTGCCCACTGAGCTGCAATGGATCAGGTCTCCGGACTCCAACGCCTTTACTGTACAGCTTGAAACCTCGACTCCTGAGATAGAAGTATGAAGATGTATGAAGTACGTTCTATCCCCAGGACATCCATTGCTGTCGTCGTTCCCTTGAGCGCCATAGGTCTTGATGAGGAGACCTATGCTGCCTTGCAGAGAGAATCGGCAAGATTTGGCGATCTTCTGATGTTGGACTGCCAAGAGGGCTATGGTGAAGGTGCCTCCGAAAAACGGACAGTCCTGGCTGGGGGCAAGAGATGGTGAGATTTGAGGGATGCTTTGGATGCTTTACACCGAGGGCAATGCACCATTTCAGGCAGACTCTTGTTGATTTTGCTATCACTACGATGAGCGTCCTGCGGTCGTACTTTGTTTCCACAGTGGTCTTGTTGACCATCGCAACTGTTTGTTGCAGTGAGTAATATACCATCACACCATGATGAAACTTTCCTTCGGCCCCAAGCAGCCTGAGAAACACCACTCTCCGTTGATCATTTTTAAGAAAAAAAATGTGATTGTCATGATGTGAGAATGGTATGGTCATCATAGCTCAGACCAGTCTGGACCCTCTCAGGCCTTTTGGTGAAGAAAGTCCTGGCAGCGCTGAAAACCTTCGTCCATGAAAGTGCGATACAACGCCAAATTCCCAAACTTTTTATGAAGGCCTGGGATTGTTGCCTATGAGACTGACAAACCCAACTAAAAGCCATCCAATTGGGATGGCTACCACCCAATTCTGGTGAAAATAGGGATAGCCTCTGGGCTTACCAGATTACATGTGAGGCAAACATGGCCCATGCAATCTCATGCCTTTAGCTTCCCTCCCTAGTCGGGACCGTCATGGAGCAGAACAGACAGCGTGTGATCCATTTGGTCTATCAAGTCCTCCAAGTTTCCAAACACGTTGTTAAAAAAGGTAGAGGTGCCCTTCCCTTTTCTTCCCTCACGTCCTTGTCTGCATTTCGGAGCATTTCGGAGCATCACTGTTGATATTCAAAAGGATATGCCAGGTGGTCTGACCGCCACACATTTGTGGTGTTGTTGATCTTCAGGTCGATGATGATTCTTTTGTTGCTTGGAGTCTTTTGTGTCCAAAGATTGCAAGCGTGCACGCTCCCTTTGGTTTTTTGTATATGGGCATGCCAGACATGGTGAATCGTACCGACTGGTGGTTCAACAACACAGACGCTTCACTTTCTTCAGTAGAGTTTCTTTTCGCCAGTTTGAACCAACTAGGATGAGTTGAAGTCAAGGCCGCAGAATGACTAAACTTTGTTGCAGGGAGCCCTATTCATTAGGTCATATCATGTCATGCTCAAACCATCAAGTGCCAAGGAGAGTCCCAACTACGACCCTTGGGAGAACTGGCCATACAACTTCTATCCCTTTCACATGGCGGGAGGGCCCGGCTACCTCCTCGGAATGGACTTGGCGGCTGCTATTTATGGTTCCTTCATGGAGCCGCCAATCTCATGGAACGAAGACAAAGCCATTGGAATTGGAGTCTTCCGAGCAAAGAAGAGAGGTTTGCCCGTGAGGCACGTCTATTTGCATATGGATGACGGGGAGACGGACACCCTACCGTTCAGTGGCAACTGGAGTACATATCCCTTTTACTCTCAACATCAGCTCAGTGCAAAGTCCATTAGCTGCCTCTTTGAGCTGGAAATGAAGAATCCAGGGGGGTTGGTGAACGATTGCTACCAACACACGACTTGGTTGAGAGATTTACACAACGGAGTCGCTTGAAAATGGTGGAGGTCAGAGGTGTTCAGTCTTCGCCGATTCGCCAGTTCCCATCCCCTTCTGAACCTTTGCGACGACGTGCAGATTGGACGTGGCAGGGATCGCCTTGAAAACTTGCTGGCTCAGTGCTCCGTGCCTGGATGAACGAAATGATGTGGGAGGATCTGGGAGGCATCGAAGAGTGTCGATGTTGACACGAAATGGTGGCACAAGGAAGACCATACCCTCGACAGGGCGGCTTTCTGGTGGGTGGGGAAGAAAAGAACCATTGCGCAGGGAGGAGGAGGAGGTAACGAGTCTGAATAGTTTCTTGGTTGCCCGTGATCCTGAAATGACTGCTGATGCGAATCCTAAAGACAGGCTTAGAAATCCAATTGAGGGTTATCATCCGTCGCTCTGGTAGAAAATTAATGGAAGGCTTGCCATTTGCTCACATGGCCATTTCCAAAGATTCAGCCAATCCTCAACTGCAGCAGGTGGCACTGTGCTGGCATGTCGATCTGAGTTGGAGAAAAGAGGGGCAAACAAGGCAGGGATGGCCGCATATTATGTTCGGCGAAATCTGTCCATGGGTATGGGTTGAAATTGAAGACAGATGAGCTATCATTAGATTTGGGTGTTTTCCAGAAACTATCCAACAACCCTGACCCATGTCCACGTGTTGATTACAGAGCACAACAGGTTGGTCCTGACATGTTCCATGGGAATGTGAACCACAGCATGCTAGCACCCACACAACATTGCCGGAATCTGGATACGGAGAGTTCATGTGCATTCTGTGGAATTTGTCAGTGCCTTGTCCCATTGGGCCATTGGGTTTGGAAATCCGGTTTTCAGTGTGCACAACTTGCACAACCCCAGGAACTTCCAAGGCATGTGTTGCATTGTGTTGCAAAGCTGGAGCCCGTGCCAGGTATCAGTCTTTGTGACTCATGGTGTCTTTCCACAAGGGTACCGTGGCCTAGCAATGCCTAGCATGGAGGTGGAAGATCTGAGGCATGCTTGCCTGCTTGCCTGCTTGCCTGCTTGCCTGCGGCCTTGCCTGCTTGCCTGCGTGGATGAGACATGCAAGTGCTTTTCTTGAATTGAACAACTGATTCCAACAATGTGCTGGTTCAATGCACTATATTCTTCTCATGCCACACAGGTGCACATCCCTGAATGTAAGATTTGAAACACTGAAGGTCCTGGCAGAAGTTTGAAGGTGCTGGCTTTGACAAGATCTTCATTACGGACCATTGTGGGTGGGAGGTTGCTCCTTTCCGTTGCGAAACACACGGTTTTTGCTTGCCCTCCAGCCCCGTGCAGCTGACGCAACTGGTGAAGATCTCACGACATCCAGATTCAAACGATTCAATGCAGCCAGCCCAAGGTTAGCCCCCGAGAATTTCACGCTTTATCAATGTATATCATCCAAATTTCCCCATGGAAATTGCCATGAGTTGGGGATGATCTCCCCCATTTTGAGACAACACATATTATTCATTTAAATTTATTTTATATTCATTTCTGGCTGGTCAGGACAGCATCCCGGAGACCTGCCAGATCTTTGAGGAGCGCAAGAGTGCTCAGATCTTTGAGGTCATTAAGTTGGCCCCTGCACTGCACACATATTTGCAAGGCGGGGTAGAAAACATGTAGCCTTTGATCATGGAAAGCTAAAACATGGTTTGCTCGAGGGGGAAAACCGCAAGTTGTTGTTTGTTCGAGGATTTTGCCAGTTGTAGACCTCCATTTTGATTGGTGGTTTCCTTGCCGGTGACGTTTGAGTACTGGAGGGTAGAAGGGACATACATGGACATATGACATACTATATATGAAATTATAAGGGAAACTGTCTCGATTGATGCTTTAGAATCTTTAGATCACAGTCTTTCCATGCAGAGAAAACAAAATCTGTGCCTGGATTTTCTGGTGGAAGGTCCCAGTGAAATCCAACGATATCATGTCCTCTGTACCTCTGTAAAAACGATCGAGACAACTCGGCAAAAAACGATGGGAATCATGGTGAATCATGGTGAATCAAACATCTCCAAGTCACTCGACAGGGCAGGTGAACTCTGATGCCCGACAAGCTTGGAGGAAGTGAGAAATTTGTGCGATCACCTTTTGAAGGTTCCGAATGAAGCACAGGGCACAGCTTTGGAAGTGGGAGACGCAGTGTTGGAATTTTGAGCCCAATCAATTGACTCAATTGACCGGAACTGCGTTGTGTGAAAGCGTTCTCTCACTGCTCGGCCCTGATTCTTGACGTGCAGTGTTTGAGAGGTGATTCGCCTCCTGCATGATTTTGCCCGTCAATGACAAGCTGAAGAGCCTTTTCTTGGGCGCATTGACGATGATTGCCGCGAAAGTCAATGGGAGGCTTAAGATACTCTCGGCTCAATGATCGGGTCATCAGGAAAGGCAGCCTCACCACTGACCTTCTGGTGGCTCTTTGTTTTGGTTCATGGATTTGAAGAACCACTGGCAGCTGGTGGAGCGCAACAAACAGGCAACTCCAATGCCCAGTTTCTTGTTGCACAGTGTCAAAACAGAACTCCAGCATGACATCAATTTCATTCAAATTCCCATATACCAGAATCTACCACTGTTCCAAGAGTGTTTGTTTTGTGCTCCAAAGCTTATCAACCAGCTGCAGCTCAACATCTCGCATCTGCCTATGGTGGAGCCACTTTGGCAGGCCGTTGTGAGAGCCTTATTACTTTCATCCCATCTGTAGCAAAGATCCTTGGGTCCTGCCCTGATCCGATTGGAATCCTATGATCCTGGACCGTTGCCATGTAGTTCAAGACAGACATTCGTAACAGAAACAGAAGATCATCTCGTAATGTTTCTATATGTTTCTTATTCTACACGGCTAGTTTCAGGGAGGCTTCGAACTTGCTGATTTTATCCATGGTTTTCCGTCGGTTTTCAGCTAAGGAAAGGTGATGGACGCCGTATAAACAAATGCAGAAGTGGAACATGCTGGCCAATTGGCCATCTGGAGAAACTGTTACAATCGACATACACAAGAGAAGGCTAGCGGCTAGCTGATTAGATTTGCACAACCCGCCCCATCATGTAATTTCATTCGTGTGTACAGTGCATAGACAAAACAAGACCCACACAGATTACAGCACTCCAACACTCCAAACTCCTGCCACCTCTACAAGTGGAATCCTGCCCAAAGCCAAAGGTCGTATTTCCCGCCTTGGAACCAAACCATCCATGGATAGCTGCGCTCATGGCGCTGCTGCGGCTGTTTGGACTCCATGGGTCTTGGTCAGAGCGTTGAAGACTTGCAGCTTGGCTCAGCTTGGCCAAATGCCGGGCACATTTGGAATGCATTGGCCCAAGGAACAGACCATTGGACAAATTTCATTCTGAAATTCCTTGTAGAAACTGGGCGTATGGGCATGGCCATTTGCAAGATCTATATAATTGCTCCTACTCCAGTCAAGTTTTTTCATCACAATTTGGTTTGACTCTAGCAACCGATGATTTTTTTTCCTGAAGTTGGTGGAGTATGTGAAAATCTGGCTGCATGATGTGTGCAAACTCAGGTACTTCCAACAGAAGGTAAAACTGGGACAGGGAGGCTTTGGATCAGTATGGCGAGCCATAGATCGAAAGACCAACCTGTTTGTCGCTGTGAAGGAGATCGACAAAATGAAAGCATACTGGCAGGGTGCAAAGAGGTCAGAGATTCAAATGGAGATAAGCATCCTGCGAGCTTGTGACCATGTGAAGCTCTTTCCTGAAGATTGCAAGCTTTCCTTTTGAATAGTTGAACATTTTCTGAGCAACTTGGTTCTTGAAGAACTAGTTGAGGGCAGAACACGGTTTTCCACTCAAGCCAGCTTTCTTTCTTTGTGGGCCGAAGTTGACGCAAGTGCGCCCTATAGCAACAAAAAACCAAGGAACATCACCCACCTTTACAACTACTTCGAGGACAGCGCCTTCATTTCAATTGTTCAGTTCTCAGATCTGATTAACAGTTCTGCATGGCAAAATCCAGTCATGCAACATTTGTCATGTATGATTGGTTCTATCCGATTTGCAAGTAGTTTTCCATTGAGATCAGCTATGTTGCTACCCTGGAATCAATGGGCCAAGTGATTTGAAAGAAACACGACCACACATGAATCTAGGCAGTCTCTGTCTTGAAATAGGATTAGGATTTTGCTTTGCTTGCTGCTTCCATCTGCTTCCCTTTTCGACGCTTGAAGACCGGCATGAGGTCCTCGAGTACTGTGATGGAGGAGACCTCGATGACAAACTGAAAGAACGAGGCAGGATGTTGCGACAAAGTCATGGAGTACTGTAGTTCAGGATGGGCGTATCTCTACTGGAAGTTTTGATGTAGCTCTGTGTGATACAAACCCAATGGAAAACAGGATGGAAGGTGCCTGAAGAACAAGCCTCTCGATGGATGCACCAGATTTGTTCTGCGATTCGCCACCTGCACGAGAGAGATATCTGCAACTCGACGCAGCACTGTGATTGCGGTTGAATCACTATTTGATACTATTTGACTCTCTTTGTCCAGTTACAGTCCAAAGACCTAGCCCAAAATCTGAACTAAGAGACATACCGATTGCAGTGACTGCAATGCATCATCCTATATTACTGTGCCGTGAAGCATCACTACAAAATGCATTAGAGTAAGTTCAGTGACCGTCCAAACATATAGCACCGGTATACACCAATTTTGTTCAACATTTACTGTAGATTTTCAAATGAGACCCTGCTGTTCGGGCCCCCCAATTTGTGGACCGCTTGATCCAAGTTCAAGTTTCATCGGCCTCGGGTGCTAAGGTCACCGGGATATCAAACCTGGTAACTTCATGCTGTCCGCCAGCATCTTGCCACTTGGATGTTGACGGGTTCACAGCAGGCAGCTGCACTTTCTCAAAACATGTCAAGCCTTTCTGCAGTTTTGACTGTTTCTACATGTTTTCAACTTGTTTGATATAAATAAATAATATATATATATCTGATATTCGAAGGAAGAGCCATCTGTGGAGATGAGAGATGAACAATTGCACGCCGTTGTGGCACGAAGCACGTTTGCAAGTGAAAAAGCAAAAGAAACACCTCACGTTCGGAGCACTCTCGGAAGTTGCGATGTCGAAAAAGTGCACGCCGTTGTGGTGCGAAGCACCTTTCGAAGTCAAAAGTGTTAAAACTGACAGGTTCGGAACACTTTTGGAAGTTGAGATGTTGAAAAAGTGCACGCCGCTGTGGGGCGAAGCACATTTCCAAGTCAAAATGTACAAAGCACACCATGTTCAGAGCACTTTTGGAAGTTGAGATGTCCAAAAAGTGTACACCGCTGTGGCACGAAGCACATTTTGAAGTCAGAATGCTAAAAACACTACATGTTCGCGCCACTTTTGGACGTTGACGCGTCGTTTTGTGTGGCAGGCGCAAGGGATTCTGCACCGTGCCAAAAGTGAGCAAAAAGTGAGGGTCTTGTAGCATATCCAAAACGATGGCAGGTGTGGGACATTTGAAGAAGATCTGCAAAGATGGATTTCGCGTGGCAGGGGCAGTACAAGAGCCATGTTCATCAGAGATGTTGAGAGCGGTTGCATTTTGAAGCATCAGATTTTCAGTTTTGGGAAAATGATTTTGCGTGACAGATGCAGCACTTCGTATGACCCGGCTTCACTTTTTCCTGGCAGACAGTACTTTAAACAGATGGAATGGAAAATTCGGAACGCGCATTGGCACGAGGCCGTCAGCTCTGCCCTCAACTTTCCATTTTTGAAGGACGTCTCGCAGAATTGCTTCGTTTTTGATGTTGTCAACTTGGAAAAATTGAAGAAGTCTCGCAGAATAGCTTCGATTTTGACGTTGTCAAGTTCACAAATTGAGGAAGTCTCGCAGAATTGCTGCACTTCTGATGTTGTCAAGTTCAAAAATTGAGGAAGCCTCGCAGAACAGCTTCGTTTTGAAACTTGTAGATAAGACATATAGATAATTAGATAGATTAGATAGATTAGATAGATAGATAGATAGATAGATAGATAGATAGATAGATAGATAGATAGGTAGATAGATAGATAGATAGATAGATAGATTAGATAGATTAGATAGATAGATAGATTAGATTAGATTAGATTAGATTAGATTAGATTAGATTAGATTAGATAGATAGATAGATAGATAGAGATAGATAGAGATAGATAGAGATAGATAGAGATAGATAGAGATAGATAGATAGACAGATAGACAGACAGACAGACATATAGATAGATAGACAGCTACAACTACAGCTACAACTGCAACTAAACTACAGTACACTACCACTACAACTACAAATGCAAACATACTACGCTACAGTACGCTAATTACTCTGCACTACACCAATTACACTACACTACACTAGACTAGACTACACTACACTATACACTACACTACACTAATTACAGTACACTACGCTACACTAACTACAACTACAACTACAACTGCAACTACACTGCTTTAAACTAGACTACACTACACCAGACTACACTACAGCAGACAACACTGCAGCACACTACACAACACTACATTACATTAAACTACACTACACCACACCACAGCTACAACTGCAAGTACACTACACTAATTACACTACACTACAGCTACAACTACAGCTGCACTACACTACACTACATCCAGCAGTTGTGGGTGAGGTGACCACTGCAACCATTGCAACATTCCGAAAAACACATCCCCAAACACGTTTCCGCCCACCAGTGGATTCGCTCTGCCATCCACGCATCACAACAACTCACCTCTCCTATAGTGTCCTATCTTTGAAACTTCCGCTGCCGCCTCGCGCGGTACTACTGGTATTTGATGTTCAGTGACTCAGTGATTATTTGATGTGTTCACTTTTTCTTTCCAACGGGAGTCCACTTTTACAGCGGTTTTCAGGTCTCCACCGCCCCATGGGATCCCAGCTTCCCAGTGGCTTCCGTTGCCGAGGAAGCTCTCCGACTTTGGCTTCGCACGATTTCTGCCGAAGGGCCAAACGTGCTCCGAAAACATCGGGACACCGGCTTTCATGGCACCTGAACAGCACCGCTTGAAGAGTGGCAGCAGAGACTTGGAGAGATTGGTTTGTCTGAAGATAGGGTCCCCCAACATATAAATCGTCAATCATCATTTTCCCCATCAAAATGTCAGTTTTTTGGGATACCACATTTTCAGATACATGTATTCTATGGCTAGTAGCTTCCAGCATGGTGGAAAGATTCAACCAGAAAATTGACACTGTCAGCATCCCACCCAAAGACATGAATCTGAAGTCTTGCCAGGCTCAAATCTTCCCGAGGTAATGGTTATGGTCACCCAGTAGACATTTGGGCAGCTGGTTGCACTCTGCATATGAATCACAGCTGCAAGTGGACAAGAGGGCGGTCAGATATAGAATACATTGGAATACTGGACGGCCAAGTGTGGATTGCTATGAATCTATAAATGCTTTGTGCTCGCCCAAAGGGCCACAATGTACAGCGTCACCAACTCACATCGAAGCGGGAAGTTCTGAGGTCACCCTGAGTTCAAGTTGCCTCTATAACTGTAAAGTAAAGATGTTTAAGGCCAATCTGCGGCCTTGTAAATGGTGGATCTCTTGGATGCTGCTTCGTACATCCTTCCCTAGTCACTTGGATCATTGTTTCCTGCAACCCTTTGACGGCCGCCGTGTCGAGGCTCATCTCTGGGGGTCGCCACCCATTTGTGAACAACCGGAAACTGGACATGCCCAGCCTGCTGGATGGCAACTTAGATTTTGGCCTGACCATGTGCCTTGGAGAGACTGCATTCTTTGTATTAGGCATTGGTGTCAGTGATGGTCTTGTGGTGCTGGTGCTGGTACATTCCTACTGGGGTGGGAATGGTGGTGGCATAGGATGGTGGTTGTAGACAGCTGATGGTGGATTGAAGTTTATTAGCAACTTCTTGCAACGGAACCAGTTGAATTCCCTAGAAGTTCAAACACATATATAGGCAATGCCAACACATAGACAACACATGGGCAACATAGGTGGTGAGTCTAAAGTTTAAAGGCATTTCGAGGCGCTGGAAATGGTGATGCTGCTGAGGGTGTCCCAGGCCCCCCAAGAACATGCAAATGAAAAGAGCATTCTGTGAGGAAAAAAGACTGTGCTGCTACCTGAAAGCCCGCAAATGTTTTCTTCCTGGTCATTTTGATCGGTTTATGTCATATCATATATATATATGTATATATTAATACAACTATATATATATATATATTTACATACACACACACATGCATGCATGCATGCATACATACGTACTTCAGACCAGGGAAACCATTTTACATACAAATATGTATGCATGCATGCATACACACAGACATACATACATAGATACATACATACATACATACATACGTACTTCAGACCAGGGAAACCATTTTACATACAAATATGTATTCATGCATGCATACACACAGACATACAGACATACAGACATACATACGTACATACGTACATACATACATACATACATACATACATGCATACATACATACATGCATGCATACATACATACATGCATACATACATACATACATACACACAAATACATACATATATGTTTGCATGCACGCATGCATGCATATATGCATACATACCATACAGACAGACATACAGACACACAGACATACAGACACAGACATACAGACATACAGACATACATACGTACATACATGCAGACATACAGACATACAGACATACATACATACGTACATACATACATACATCCATGCATACATACATATACATACATCCACGCATGCATGCATACATACATTCATGCATACATACGTACATACATACATGCATACATACGTACATACATACATACATACAGAGATACATACATACATACATACATACATACATACATACATACATACATACATACATACATACATACATACATACATACATACATACATACATACATACATACACACAGATATACATATTGTAGAGCTTCGCACACCGGCGATGCCATAAGGGTTATGTATAGTAGTGTGAGCGTTGGTGTTGTTCATGTGCTCTGCGCGTGCGCGCAGGTGCAGAGCACAGCGTGATGTTCTTGTCATACCGCAGCTTGTAACCATCTCATCACACGTCTTTTTGTCGCATTTTTGTGCTTGTTCTTCTTCTTCTTCTTGTTGTTGCTGTCGTTGTTGTGGTTGTGGTTGTGGTTGTGGTTGTGGTTGTGGTTGTGGTGGTGGTGGTTGTTGTTGTTGTTGTGGTTGTCGTGGTCGTGGTCGTGGTCGTGGTCGTGGTCGTGGTCGTGGTGGTGGTCGTTGTTGTCGTTGTCGTCAAAAAGTGCACGCCGTTGTGGCGCGAAGCACATTTCGAAGTCAAAATATACAAAACACACCAGCTCCGGACCACTTTTGGAAGTTGAGATGTCGAAAAAGTGGACGCCGTTGTAGGGCGAAGCACGTTTCGAAGTCAAAATGTACAAAACACACTAGCTCCGAACCACTTTTGGAAGTTGAGATGTCGAAAAAGTGCACGCCGTTGTGGCGCGAAGCACATTTTGAAGTCAGAATGCTAAAAACACTACATGTTCGCGCCACTTTTGGACGTTGAAGCGTCGTTTTGTGTGGCAGGCGCAAGGGATTCTGCACCCTGCCAAAGGTGAGCAAAAAGTGAGGGGCCGATGCGGCGAGCGCCGGCGGGTCTTTCGGGGCTTGGCCGGCTTGCTGCGGCTTAATTGGGATCTGGATCGGCGACGGACCCCGGAGCTTCGCATGGCGCTGCTGGTGTCGACGACGAGTTTGAGCGGTGGCTCCGGCGGTTCCCCTACAACGATGCCGTTCGCCTCTGCGAGATCATCGTTCCCTGGCGGACGGTTCACGAGCAGCCGGCGCGACGAGGTCGATGAACCGAGGCGCTGCCGCGGAAGCGGGCCTGAGGGCCGAAGTGCGCCCAGCGTTCGCGCGGCGAGGAAAAACAAGCGGCGGCGTGTGAGATTGGGCTGTGACTTAATTAAGCTGACGTGTCCATGTTCTGTTGTCGAGGTGCACTTGAAACTTTTGCTGCCCTGCTGCGACTGCTCGCTCCTGCCCCACCCTTTTTTGTTTGCTCCGGCCACTCGCTTGTACACCGCGATTTTCACACGCTTGTACACCCACTTTTTCCCTGGCTTGCACACCCATGAAAATCATGATCATGGTCATGGGAATCATCATCATCATCATCATCATCATCATCATCATCATCATCGTCATCGTCATCGTCATCGTCATCGTCATCGTCATCGTCATCGTCATCGTCATCGTCATCGTCATCGTCATCGTCATCGTCATCGTCATCGTCGTCATCATCGTCATCATCATCATCATGATCTCATCCACATCACCACCATCAGCATCAACATCATCATTATGATCATTAGTATCGTCATCATCATCACCACCACCACCACCATCATCATCATCATCATCGTCTTCAATAATTAAAGAAGTTCCACCTCAGTCACCCGTTGCGTGATTCTTTTTGTATGGGCATCCGTTGCGTGGTGCGCGCGTGTCCATCACGTCGGTGTCTTGATTTGATGAGCCGCCAAATGTATAGGCTCGAGGCTTAACTGATCATGAAAAAGCAGTGGCTGTCCCTGCAGGACAGCAAGAAAGATGATGAGGTTGCTGTGCCTGTGTGTGCACAGGAACATGAACATTATTGTCCCACCCCACCCCACCCCACCGGTAACTGATCATGAAAGAGCAGTGCCTGTGTCTGCAGGAGAGCAGAAGAACGTTATTGCCCCACCCCACCCCACCGGTAACTGATCATGAAAGAGCAGTGCCTGTGTCTGCAGGACAGCAGGAAAGATGATGAGGTTGCTGTGCCTGTGTGTGCACAGGAACATGAACGTTTTTGTCCCACCCCACCCCAACCCACCCCACCCCACCCCACGTAACTGATCATGAAAGAGCCGTGCCTGTGTCTGCAGGATCATGATTGCATCCCAGAAGGAAGCTGGTGAGGACATGGAGCCGTTTGAAGTCACCAACAATGGAAGGTAGGTTATGGCGAAATTGGCTAAAGAGAAAGTTCTAACGTTCTTGCAGAAGGTTTTCGATTTAGAGGCAGTTGCAGCAGCAGAGCAAGGATCTGGCCCAGAGGTGGTGCTGGAAAAGGCATTCGTGGCCGATTTGAAGCAGCCGCAATTTTTTCGAAGTCGCAGTGAAGCCTTGCGACTGGTTCGCGATGCTGCGTCCCTTGGAGCTGGAGAGGTCATAGGCAGAAGTTGGCCCGAAAATTCTGCTGCGGTGATTTGAAATAGAGAGGACAGGAACTCGGACGATGATTTAGTGTTTTTGGTCCGTGTTACACCGTGCTGTATATTTGCAAGTGTGACATTGGGGAGCTGTTGACACAATCTGAGGCCAGAGCTTCGTCTGTCCCATGAAGGAAGGAAGTCAGCTTCGTTGTTGGGCTGCTGCCTCCAAATCTGTATGGCTTACAAATGAGAAGAAGTTGGCCGTGCTTGGTGCCCTTCGTTTTGTTGGAGATGAAGAATCAAAGGCATCTGCCGAGGCCGGCCTGGGCAGCGTGGGTCATATATGTCATCATGTGATGGTGTGGGAAGAGTGTAGCTTGCCAATCTGTTTGCAGTGCCGGAAATGTTGCACAGTTGCAGCATCATTGACAGGGTTATGTGGTGACAACCGGCTGCGGATTGTATCTGGGGCTGAAACATGGAAAGTTTGGTGCATCTGCCATTCTTGTGAGTAGGTCGGTGCGGAGTTGAAGAAGAAGGTTGTGTCACTCCAGGAAAATGCGTCTATGGTCTCCTGGCTCCTTCGCCAGCGTCCGGCCGGAGGATGTCCAGGAGGAAAGAGAAGGGCCATTGATAGAGCTGTGGAGGTGATTGGCATAGGTGGATCCCAAATGAGGAGAAAGTTTGCGGAGGAAGTCAGTTGGAGTTGGGTCGTGATTTGGGGAGGCACGTCGGCACGTCCAAGAAGGTCAAAGGAATTGGCACCAACAGGCCAGAGATGTTCAATGTCACCTTAACCAAAGGAATTGGCACCAGCAGGCCAGTGAAGGCCTTGGGAAGCCTTGTAGTGCACCTTCGGAAATCTTGCGAAACTGAAAGTTGTCTGTAAACAGCCGACTACCGAAGACTGCCGGCTACCTAACGATGCTCCCCGGACGCGCTCCCCCTTGCCGTCGGCCGGGGTCGGCGGACATGCGCACACACACACATGCATGCATGCATGCATGCATGCATGCATGCATGCATACATACATACATATTACATACATGCATTCACGCATGCACCCATGCATGCATGCATGCATCCATACATGCATATGTACATACATGCATTTATGCATGCATGCATGCATGCATACATACATACGTACCTACGTACGTACGTACATACATACATACGTACATACATATGTCACACACACACACACTTATATATATATATATACACATATTTAATATGATACACGTACATCATACGTACATATTCGGCATGGTTTGAGACGCCAACATCTGGCACTGAGGTTCGGGGACTTGATGGGGTCTGAAACCTTGGCGCGCAGCCTGTGTCGCCGCATGGTGTGCCCGGCAGTACAGTCCCTTGGATCTTTCGGTGGGACGTGGGGGACGTGGGACGATGGGCGATGAGACAACACGATGGCGGACGATCGGATGGGGGTCAACTTTGTGTCTCTAAAAATGATTAGTTCGAGACGAAGAAAAGGCCCAAAACTGGTGGGTCCAATGGATCTGAAGAATTCATGCCTGCGTTTTGACTTGCACAACAAGTCAATTGGTGCAACACTGCCAATGTAGTGACGCCTGGATGCAGATCTCGTAGACGTCACCAACAGGGAGGGTTTCTGAAAGGCGTACTGAATTATGGTGAAATGGTTTTCCTTGAACTTTCAGGATGAAATTTGAAACCATTCTGGTCAGGTCTCGCTTAACCATCGAGGAGACGTTGATGGATCCATGGCTTCAGATCCACGGATCGCAGGTGGATGCTTTGCCACAGGACCGATCGAAACTGAGAATGACTGAAAACGTGGAATCTTACAGTTTCAATCTCGTGGATGTTTCTTTGATTTTTCATCGCTGCACTGCCTATTTTGTGTTTTGGGCATTTCAAGATTGTGGGGTTCCCTAGTCCAAGGAACTCGAATGAACACCCTCAGCAAAAAAACAGTCTTCCAATTCTTTGCTATTTTCAAGCTGCCCATTGAGGACGTTGTACTACATGGTAATGCAGCCCAGCGCTATCAGCAGCTGCAACAGCAGTTGCTGCTCGCGGAAAAGCAGCTAAAGGACGTGTATTTCGCCAACACACTCCCATGTCATTGATGAAGGCGACCAAAATCGCAACCATCTGAATTGAACAGGATGTCAACAACACATCTAGTATTCTTCAATGTGTTTGTACTTACAGCTACCACCTACACTTCAAGCTGTTCTGACCGCCAAGTTTCCAACACCAGCTGCAGGAGGCAGAAGAAAGGGAGCTTACCTTGAAAAGTAAGTTGCAAAAGCAGGACGATTCGGTTCCGATCTCAGCCATCTACATTGTGCATATTGTCCACTTCGTCCAGTCTCAACAACTTGTCGGGTGATACCAGAAAACTAATTGGAGCGATTGGAGCCCCCGAAACCCTCAAGACTTGAATATGTGTGGAAGAATGACCTGATGTGCCTCACAAGCTGCAGCTTATTTGGATGTGGCATTTAGTCACAAACATCCATGTCCCATATTCACTTGTGCAGGTTTTTCACCTTGCTTTCAGGCTTATTTAGAATCATTTCATGCGGAAAGCGAAATGACCGACCTGAGGTGGTCCTGATATCCATTCCCATCACTATGCCCGAGTGCATCAAGCGATGCACTTCCTGTTCGCTAGCACGCAGCTCTGAAAGGTTAGAGCGCGTGACATGCCATTGAGACGCAGACACATTGAGACACCCGATCCGTGGATCATAGCAGATTCGTGACGTGAATCTGGTGGTTCCGGTTCCCCCAAAGGGGGACCAACGGGTCGCTGCCAATGACTCTTGGAATCTTGGGGATCCTGAAGGGGTGAAGATAGTCTTGTCATGTCTTGTCTACTTTCCAGGGCTTAAATCGAGGGATCAAGTCATGAACATCTGGAGTCTCTGGAGTTCAACATGGAATATCGATGAATATTGGTTTTTGAATCAAAGTGGAAACTCACCAAAAAAGACTGGTTCTGATTGCCAAGATTCCCATCTAGCCAGGTGCTTCGTGCCTGCTGAAAAATGGCCAACACTTCAAAGAGGGGTTCATGAGAGTTTGCATTTGATCTTGCCAGAGGCTTCGACAATTCGGTTGTCGATCTGTGGTTTCTATTTCTCAAACCTTGCTTCAAACCGTTCATGATTGATTGTCCATCCGTTGTACATCTCTTCACTCCTGTTGACACATTTGGCTTCTTGCAGCTTTTTTTCCACAACCCAAGCGCTGAGCTCTGAGCTGTCTGTCCTGTGGGCGTTTCCAATCGCCTGAGACTGAGTCACTGTGCACTCTGCAGAGGGGTTGAACATGAGCAGCAAAAACAGCACCCCCAAGATTGATGCAGATTGCCGAGGAGATGATGCAGTTGTTCAGACCAAGAGGGTCAGTCTCTCGATTGACGATTCGCTGTTTCTCACTGTCCACGGCTCCACCTTCTGGACCACTTGCAGGACCCAGCTCCACTTCCATTTATGTCATTTATGTCGTAGCAGAGTACCTGAGTTTGTCTGAGTTTGTGGGTTATTCTTGGCAACTTCAACATTCGGTACTAGTGTTGACATATAGCGTGACAGTAGACTGGAAACCTCAAAGTCTTGTGGCACTTCGAGGGGGTTTTAAAGTCCAACTGCAGGACTTCGCATCTTGGACCTCTCGCGAATTCTAGCAGGACCTGCCAGATGCACCCATTCCAAAGTGGGCCAAAGTGCGGCCAAACCAATGACAAAATCACCTCTGGATCTGGGTACCCAAGTGTTCTGCATTTTCCGGGTTCGGTTTGCAGCTTTGGGATCTCAGGGTGCTCAGTATCGACCCAGGACCCTCTGCAACGATGCTGATGGCTGACATGGGCGCAGAGGTCATCAAAGTGGAAGCTCCCAAATCGGGTGATGACACCCGACGACGCGGCCTCAGTTGAAATTGTTTGATGATTTTGATGTTTGATGTCGGAGCTGATTTAGAGCTCCTTTGGCCTTGATACACTTTCTTGCTTTCTTGATCTTTCTCGATAATTCACCCACATGGCAAGCTTTTGAATTTCATGAGCCTGCCACATGCCAGCTGCCTTTGAGGATATGCTCCTCCATTCCTGCAGAAAGCACCAAAAGAGGCGAGAGCTTGTGCCAACTAAAGTAATCGAAATGTTGCACAGGCTTTTGATGGTTTTTGCATGGGAAAGGCACGCAGTGGATGCGCATTTGTAGAGTGGGTACTCCCAGTAGTATTCTTTGCTATTCATTCTGTCTCTGACCGTCCTCCACAGAAAGTGTGCCCGCGTGCCCTGTCTCAGTGGTGCCATTCAATCTCATTGCAATCCTTCGCATCCTCTTTATATTTTCTTTCTCTGAAAGCTTTACGATGCCTCGCAAAGCATCGGGCTGGTTCAGGATTCAGATGTGGCAGCGTATTTTTCCAGTTGCAATCGAAACAAGTACAGTGTGGCAGTGGATTTCAAGACCAAAGAAGGACTGGCATCTCATTTGGTACTCATTGTGCTCATGGCCGTTGATTTGTCGGATCAAAAGTTTCAAAGACATGCGACTTGTAACAGTTTTTTTTGAGTCTGAATGTCACGAGTCCTTAAAAGCAACGATTGGTTGAAAGCCGTGGAACACCAACTGGGGGGAGGGATGAACATACATGAATGGCACACAGATGTGCAATGTTGGGATTCAAGTAATCTACATGTTGTGATGTTGCAGGATTCTGGGGTTTGGGACTTCAAACGCTTTTTGGAGAGAAAAAAAGTCTGCCCGAAGCATCATGCACAAGTTTAGGTGTGGCAGAGATTTCATTGACACCGAGCATGCTTGAAGCTGCTTGTTGCAGGACAAGATGTTGTGAAACATTTGCTGCAGAGTAGCGATGTCCTCATCGAGAATTTCAAAGCGGGAGGCTTGGCAAAGAAACTCGGCAAAAGGTCGTTCAGAGTGCCAGGTGATATGACGTTTATGTGATATGATGTGATATGTCATATGTGATATGATGTGAAATGTCATATGTGATATGTGTGTGCTACCGCCAGAGGCAGCAAACATGTTTGTATGTTTCGCACTGTTTGACTTGTGGATGAATCCCAATATATCACAAAATGCGCATGTCATCAACCAGGAATCAAGAAATATGGAGATGTAGGATCACTTGTTGCCTTCATAGCTGCGGTGACTGCAGTGGTGACTGAGGTATGGCTTGGGCTACGACCAGCTGAAAGACGATTTTCCTCAGCTCATCTACTGCAGTATCACTGGCTTTGGACACTCTGGGCCTTACAGCAAGAGACCGGCCTACGACATGCTTATCCAGGCCCTAGTTTCGCCTCCTTTTCTATCATTTTCTATCCACTTTTTATCACTGTTTCCTGGACTGCTTAGACTGATAGCACAAGGACACTCTCAAAGCGAAGTTAGTGAGATGTTGGAATAAAGGAGGGAAGTAAACCTTCCCGCAAATGTGTGACATACAATACACACAACAAGCTGCGTGAACAGGGGAAGCAACTTTCTGGTGCGAGTGGAATTCTTGGACAGCGCAAATTACATCGCATTTTCATGCTTTTTCTCCGATTTGATTTGCTGAAGTGTTCTTTTCTACATTTTTCTACACTGCTCTGTCAGGCAATGGGTGGTTCCATGAGTCTCTTGGACATGCAAGCCCCGCTGGGTGTATGAGACAAGGGAGGCAATGGAACCCATCTGGATTTGCTCAACAGAGGGCACTGTACCCCCATCTTTTTTAAAATAAATTTTGATGGTTTATCAGACTTTATCAACATTTTCCTCCACTGAACACGGGGTTGCATGGGTATCCCCATTGTTAAACACACCCATCTTTCGTCATGTGCTCTTGGTTGTTGTTGGTTGCCGACAAACAACTTCACGCAACCTTGGAGAGCTCATGAGATCTTGTGAGGTTTGACCGGAGAGCCTGATGGTGCTCCCATGAAGACAGGGCTCTCTCTTTTCGACCTCACTGCTGGGTTGCATGGAGTTGCTGGGCCCAATGAAAAAGACATGTTGATGGTTTCAGGTGTTTTCAGTGACAGCGGATGTTTAGTGCAAAAAATGCAAGTTTTGACTGTTTTGGTCCCCTCTATGACCGCCACATATTTTCTGGTTGGCTTGGAGTCATTTGGATTCTCACCCTCGGATCCACGAGCTCTTGAGGTTATCGGCATCCTTGCAGCGCTGAACAGCAAGCACAACACTGGCCTGGGGCAGCATGTCGACATCTCCATGTTGGACGTGGCTGTTGCCCTCTTGGCGAATCAGGGCATGAACTACTTGGCGAAGAAGCAACGACAGAAGCGCGTGGGCAACAACCATCCAAACGTGGTTCCATATCAAGTGATGCCGGCAAAGGATGGTGGCTTGTCTACAAGGAGAATTTGATGAAGAAAACATGGGCTTAAGTGTGGATGTGGCAAGTGCATTTTTGGGAATGCAATCATTGGCCAGTGAGACACACAAATGACCGAAGTGACTGGATGAGTGCTGATTTTTGGGGTAATTTTGACTATTTTGGAACAACATCAATATATGTCTCATATGGTTTCATATGATCTTCAGAATCCTTTAGACACTTACGTTAAGGTTCTCTGAGATTGCCCTTCTTTGCTCATCCACTTTACAAGTGAGGCTACTTTATCCTCACTGCCTCCAACAACGATCAGTTCGAGCGCTTTTGCAAGGTGGCAGGACGAATGGATTTGATGGAAGACGAACGTTTTAACACCATGAAGGCTCGCGTGGTGAATCGCGAGGCACAGCGGCACCGACGCAAAACCGTCATTTGCATCAGAATGACTTTGTCTTAAGACTAGACTGAATAGATGCCAGGAATCAGCACTCAGTTTGCCCGCTATTGCCCACTATTTTTGTTCAAAAGCCCAGTTGTACTGAGGTTTCATACAGAGATCTTGTACAGAGACATTGCATAGAGATCTTTGAGATCCTGCCGAGAGGCCCGTTACAGAGATCTTGCCAAGAGACCTCTTGTAGTGATCTTGTACAGAGATCTTGCCAGGAGACCTCTTGTGGAGACCTTGTACAGAGACATTGCATAGAGATCCTGTTGCAGAGATCTTGCCAAGAGGTCTCTTACATAAATCTTGCCAAGAGAGCTTTTCTAGAAAGCTTGTACAGAGGTTTCATACAGAGATCTTGTACAGAGACATTGCATAGACTTCTTTTGATATCTTGCGCAGAGGCCGGTTACAGAGATCTTGCCAAGCGACCTCTTACAGAGATCTTGGACAGAGATCTTGCCAGGACACCTCTTTTGGAGACCTTGTACAGAGACATTGCATAGAGATCCTGTTGCAGAGATCTTGCCAAGAGGTCTCTTACATAAATCTTGCCAACAGAGCTCTTATAGAGATCTTGCGCACAAATCTCATAAAGAGATCTTGCCACGAGGTCTCTCACATAAATCTTGCCAAGAGAACTCTTCTAGAGAGCTTGTACAGAGGTTTTTGCAGAGATCTTGTACAGAGACATTGCATACAGATCTATTTGATATCTTGCCAAGAGGCCCGTTACAGAGACCTTGCCAAGAGACTTCTTATAGAGATCTTGTACAGAGATCTTGCCAGGACACCTCTTGTGGAGACCTTGTGCAGAGACATTGCATAGAGATCTTTGAGATCTTGCCAAGAGGCCCGTTACAGAGATCTTGCCAAGAGACCTCTTATAGAGATCTTGTACAGAGATCTTGCCAGGAGACCTCTTATGGAGATCTTGTACAGAGACCTGGTGAAGAGAGCAGAGGTCTTGCTTGGAGATCATTTATAGATAGCTTGAACGGAGATCTTACTCTTTGAGTATAGACACCTTGTACAGATAGCCTGACACAGGGATTTTGCAAAGCAGTTTCTACAGAGAACCAGTCAAGGAGATCTTGCGCACGATCTTCTACAGAAATCTTCTACCTGGTATCTCTTCTTTTCACTACTAGCGTGGCTCTTGTCCTGCTAGCTTGCAGCCACTGATGCTTTTAGGTCCTTTCCGCCTTTCCTCCGCCTTTTCATCCTCAACTTCACCTTCCGCATAATCACCCTTATCCTCACCCTCCTCAACATCATCATCCTCCACACCATCATCATCATTCACCTCCTCTTCCGCAACATCATCCTCCTCCACCTCATCTTCCGCAACATCATCCTCCTCCACCTCATCTTCCGCAACATTATCATCCTCAACATCATCCTCAGCAACATATTCCTCCTCATCCTCATCCTCATCCTCATCCTCATCCCCATCCTCATCCTCATCCTCATCCTCATCCTCATCCCCATCATCATCATCATCAACAACAACAACATCATCAACATCCTCATCATCATCGTCATCGTCATCGTCATCCTCATCCTCCTCCTCCTCCTCCTCATCATCATCATCATCACCACCATCACCATCCTCATCCTCATCCTCATCACCATCACCATCATCATCGTCATCCTCATCAACATCATCCTCATCGTCATCGTCATCATCATCATCGTCATCGTCATCGTCATCAACATCAGCATCTTCATCATCGTCATCATCATCATCATCAACAACAACATCACATTATCAACATCATCAACATCATCAACATCATCAACATCTTCAACATCATCAACATCCTCCTCCTCCTCATCATCATCATGATCATCACCATCACCATCATCATCATCATCATCATCATCATCATCATCACCATCACCATCATCCTCATCCTCATCATCGTCATCGTCATCGTCATCGTCATCCTCATCCTCATCCTCCTCATCATCACCATCATCATTTTCATCTCCATCACCATCCTCATCCTCATCCTCATCCTCATCACCATCATCATCATCATCATCATCATCATCGTCATCGTCATCAACATCAGCATCTTCATCATCGTCATCATCATCATCAACATCATCAACATCATCAACATCATCAACATCATCAACATCATCAACATCATCAACATCATCAACATCATCAACATCCTCCTCCTCATCATCATCATGATCATCACCATCACCATCATCATCATCATCATCATCATCGCCATCGTCATCGTCATCATTGTCATCATCATCATCATCATCATGATCATCATCATCATGATCATCATCATCCACATCATCATACATCATCATACATTATCCCCCCACTCCCCCACATTGTTTGGGCTCTCTTGCCGGGATAATGTTTTTTTTCTTTGTGGCAGGTGGTGACTCCGACTCTGAATGAGATCACTTCACAGCACGAAAAATTGTGGTGGCTGGAGAAATTGGAAGGCGAGATGGTGGGCTGTGCTCCGATCCTGCACTTGGACGAGGTTTTCGCAGATCCTCATGTCCAGTCTCTTGCCCAAAGTCCAAGCGCAAGGTCTTTAAATCTTTTAGTATCTCAGCAAGGGGCCATCAATTTTGGATCATTTATCATTTATCATCATTGAAATCCCCCCAAGCCTTGTCGAGAAGACAATTCGTCCTCCATTTATCATATTTATCAATGCGTGAAAACATGACTTCACATGACTTCACTCTGGGAATTCTTTTGAGTGTACGGCTCTACCTGCCAAGGTCAAGAGAGATGGAAATCCAGATGAACCTTCCGGGCTTCACCGAGCCTGTCTCCTTGATTGGATCGCCCATGAAGTTTTCACGCACAAAGGTGGACTACAGACTGCCACCACCGCGGGTGGGTGAGCACACCGAACAGGTCTTGTTGGAATATGGCATCTTGGCATGGCGTGGTTCTCTTCAGGATTTCCAAGTAGGATACTCATTGTTTGGGTCATGAAGAACGTGGTAGTCGTTTAGTGTATGTCATTTCCCATGTGACAGAATGAATAAACCTTAATAAGCCTATTTGGAACATACGCTGTCAATGTTTGATGGGCTGCAGGGGCCAGAACAATAAAAAAGAACATGTTCCTTGAAAAACCATACTTAATTGGAGTGCAATGTCCAGCCAAATCAATTTGCACTCCAACTGATTGGGAAAACCAAGGCGAGTCTGGTTGCTTTCTTCGGATGCCCAAATCATCCAAAACCAAGGCATGTCAAAGGATCAAATCGAAGATTTGCACGAGATCGGCGCTATCGACAACGCTAAATTCGAAGTGCCTGGAGTGGGGACCCCAGGCTGTAGTTGATCATCCGTTGATCATGAGTTGATGATAGTCCCTGAATGTCCCCTAGATCAATCACTTTACTCAAAGCTCCTGGCGGCACTGGACCTGCCCCAGTGGGGTCGAACAATTTATGAAGACCAAGGTGGTTCGCCCATTGGCCCGAAAGAAGCGCAGAGTTGTGGAGGCTGAGAAAGGGAAAATGACCGGCGCACAGCTCTTCATTTTTTGAGGAAAGATGACTTCAGCATGATTATTTTGGAATTAATCATTAGTAAACATTTAGGTAAACATTGTAAACACAACAGACTCTTTGCAGACGTTGACTTTGGTTGTGTTTGCTTGGCAGCATCCAGCCTGGTTGCAGGTCAGCGACAGCCACGGACAGCCATATGTCTTCCAGGGCAATACCTGGGGTCACATCAGCTCAGTGTCCGGAAGACCCAGAAATCGAACCGGTGCTCGGAGCGGTGCACCTCCTGAGTTTTTGCCTCGGGGATGGGATCGATTGGGATGAACCGCATTAGGTCGGATCCCCGCATTGCAGTTGGAATCGACAATGCGTGGATGCTCAGGATGCTCAGGATGCTCAGGGTGCACAGTGCTGATCTGTGCTCGAGAATAGTGACAAATAGTGACAAGATCCTGACTCCAAAATTTGAGGTTCCAGATCTACGGTCAAATCATATGGTCAAATTTATCATTATGGTCAATAATTGTCAATATGTATATATATATGTAGTATATATATAGAGTATAAATATAATATAAATATATATTATATTATATATTATATATAATATATTATATATTATATATTATATATAATATATTATATATTATATATTATATATTATATATTATATATTATATATTATATATTATATATTATAGTTTATATATTATATATTATATATTATATATTATATATTATATATTATATATTATATAGATATTATATATTATATATTATATATTATATATTATATATATATTATATTATATATTATATATTATATATTATATATATTATAAATATATATATATATATATTCATATCTTCCCTTACTGTTTCATAGCCTATCTTTCCGTTTTTGCCAATGGAAAGCGGAAGCGCTGAGAGGTGGAGGATGAGGACCTCACCGAGTTGGACACCTTCGGTGGAGTGTTGAGAAGCAGCATCGATGACCCCATCAATGCCTTCTTGAAGGTCACCCAAAGACATGGGAAATGCATGGGAAACGCATGAGAAATGCATGGGAAATTCGGAAATGGTGTGACTAGTATGACATTGTTTTTTAGCAAAAACTGGTTTTGTGGGATGCCTTAAGAAGGAGTATTCTGAATTCTGATTCCGATGTTTTTGCTTGATCTGAAAAGCACTCAGAATCATCATCCTAATACAGTACCCCAACGTACACATGCTACGCGACTCTTCCCAGGTGCGCGGAAGCGCTGAAGATCCAGATGTCGGTGTGTCGTGGATCCCTGAGGATTGGGATGGTGCTGGGGGCGATGGGTCTGAGTCGAAACATCTTAGTGTGGCAAACCCAAGAATACCCCATCCCCAATTTCACGAGGAATTGGATATTGCAAGAATTGGCGGTTTATTCTTGGGTTTACTGCAGTATACTTGTATAATTGAGGATGCACATCTACAGCTATTTCGGTGTAAAGAGCAGGGTATTGACGAAGCGGCTGATCGAAGCCTGCTATGTTTGAGGTATCATTCCAGTTTTCTCTTCCATTCGCGGCATCTTTTGCATGTCTTGGTCTGTCTTGACCCGAAGACACAGGTTGTAGTTGTTCACACTTCATTGGAGACATTTCTCCTTTGATGTTCTTTGTTTCAACATCATCACTTTCCACTTTTGTCAACGTCCCTTCTGGCGACTCAGATTGGACATTTCTAAATGAGTTCAAGCACTTTTTCTGGATGATCTCTCAGGTCTCGCTCCAAATAGGTGGCTTGGAGAGCCGCTTGTCCTAGCCTCAGCTCAGATTGGCACGGTCAGGAGCCAACTTTGGCTGGGGTTAGCGACGCTACTAAGGTCCAACCAAAGATTGCGGCCATGTGTCGGCTAGCTGCTGGCAGATGTGCAACAGTTGGATTCTCCTTTGCGTTCAGCATTTCCATTTCTCAGTATTCCCATTTACAGCTCCAACAGAGTGCGACAATCATCCCAATTCGAAGCTTCAAAGGGTCTCAAATCTGCCGTGATCTGATTCCACGTGTTATCAAATCCTTGGCCTTGATTCGTGGTTGCTTTCGCTCTCCGACAGAGATTTTAAGAGACCCTTTGATGGACTTCTTTCTGCTGGTTGCCACGACGGCCGGCTTGGATCTAGCGAAGAAAAGGTGTCGCTGCTTGAAACTTCTGCTGACATTTGCTTCCGTGGTTCTTTCACCTTGCTTTTCAGTGCAAAAAGTCCCTATTTTTTCCATGTTTGAAATGGGATTTGCATGGATTTGCAGTATTTGGTACACCCGCTAAACCACCATGCCTTTTTTCAGGATACTGCTGCCTTCAGTTCCAGACAGGTCTCCTTTTCAAATCATGAATGCACGAGACAACCAACTTTGTAGGTCTGTTGAATGCCGATGTCGCGATAGGACCAGCTACTTGGAAGTGCGTCGCGAAGCTCGTGCCTTCGAACTCCAAAGTTTGGTCCTTGGACTGCTCTGGACCCAACATTTAGGGGACGGTTGTAGTGCTTCTGGGCACAGAATGTCTGCAGGAAAAAATCGAGGTTTGCATTCCGTTCACATGTTTTTCTTAGGGAGTTTGATCACAACTGAATGTAGCTCTAGTGATCAAAAACAGTGGCGAGTCTTGATACTGTAAATTTCACACCACTGCTTGAAGCGCAAGGAGGGTGCGAACTTCTTCCACTGTTTCTGTTTTGACGTCACTTACCAACCCGCTAGATCCCTCTAGCATGTTTGAAAAACAGCTTCCAGCAGATTGGTTCGGATGTTTGTTCCTTGTGGAGATTGGCCTTGAGTCCTTGGATATCCTTGGTTTGCAAGAACATCACTGGAAACTTGTCTTAAGGCTTGCTATAGCTTGCTTAAGGAAAACTGGCAACTGGTGCATCCTGGCAGGTTGCAACATCCTCTTGGCCACCAATTGCTCATGCCGTCGTGGCTGGATTCCGCAGATGCTGCAGAAGGACAGCCATGATGTATTTCAGCACAAACTGCTGACATGGCTATGTGAGTTTTTGCATGATATTGATATTATATTCAAAGTGTTCTTAAAAATGTAGGGAATATTCCAATCGTCCACTTTTCCATGGCGCATCATGGCATGGCTAAATAAAAGCTGGTCAAACTGGAAGCGAAGGGAGCAGGTCTGGGGAGCGAGGATTGAGCCAGCGGTGGATCGAAACAAATGGAAACGCGGACAATTTGAGGTCAAAGTGGCAAGGCGGCAAGGCGTTTGAAAGTCAGGGCGCGATGTTCACCCTGTATCAGCACTGTATCAGTTGTACCAGCCCCAAAACTCTCAGTCTTCCACGATTCAAAGGAGAATATCGAGCTGCGACAAGTCATTGTGGATGAGTGTGGAACATCACCAGAACCTGAGGCTCCGCAAAACCGGGTGCGATTGACATTTCCTTCCAATGGTCTACGATGCCTATAGATTCTATGTATTAGGAGAGATCATGTACACATCTGGGACATCCGGCAACCAAGGGTTCCACATGATATGCCATGTAGATTGTTACACTGTCCAGTGAACCACTGCGTTTGGATTGGCCGTGCCAGAGCCTTTGTCCCTTGACGTTGAGCCGGACAGTGCAACGTGTCGCTGGGAGCTTGGCCAGATTTTGAAGAGAAATGACATGTTGCAAGAGTGATGCTGATGATCAAGAGAGGAGGGAGAAGGTGATGGTGCTGGTGGTGGTGATGGGGGGTACTAGTGCTGGTGCTAAACTTAGGTCCTGGTGGGAGACCATCGTCAGCTGCGGCCTGTGGTAAAGAACCGGGATGCTGGCAACCTTGGTGAGGGACACCTGGTGCTTTCGGTGCTACATGTACTCAGCAAATCTCAGCAAGACCATGACCACTCTTTCTACACGTTTCTACATCTTTCATCATTTTCTTCTCTTCTTAGTGTAATTTATTGCGTCTTGAATCTTCAGTCTGCTCTTTCTACTTGGCACACCGATGCTTTCCACACTTTTTTGTTTTTCTTGATATGTTTTGTGCCGCATGCCATGACAACCCGAAAGAAAGAGTTGCCGGCTCTGGGCAGACAGGGCTGCAAATGCACTGCGAAGTCAGTTCAGCGAAAGGATGGAGTGATCTGAGTGATCTGAGTTTGACAGAGTTTGACCCCTCCAATAGGATGGTAGGATCTAAATCTCTAAGATTTAGCGTTTTTTTTTCCATGTGATTCCCCTTGGGATGCGCAGGATATCGCAGGATGACCAGAGATCCCACGATATCCCAAGGTTTAGCTTGCTCACTCTTCGAGCGGCTCTCTACAAAAGCAACATTTGAGGCCGGCAGTGCTGCCATCCCAGAGGCGGCCTGGCCCGGGATGTGACAGGTCAAGACCTATCCCCAACACGAAAAATAGATAACACATGTTTTTTTTTTAAAATCCCAACATCTTTTGTTCATGTTTGGCATGGGCGGGATCTCTACACTGGGCTGAAGAGCCTTGCTTCAGCTTTACATCTGCAAGCCATTCCGTCTGGCAGCTGGCGTCAGCCATGTCTATGATCTATCTTTGTTGCAGCAACCAGAAACGGGTGCCCAACGAAACGCTTATCCATTGGCATTGCAGCAGTGTAGCAGTGTAGGTTATCTTTACAGCCACCATTGTCCAGTCCTTTTCAAATGTATAGCACTTGGTAGCACTTGGTAGCACTAGCACATACTAGCACCATAGGCTTCAGAGAAACATCGCTTCAACTTCTGGCCCATCCAGCCGCGCCAGCGCCATGGTGAAAAAGAAAAAGGAGAAGCCTGCGCCAGCCGCGGGGTCGGCCATGGAGGATCTGCTGGGTGATGGCCCTGAAGACCAGCAGCTATCAGTATCCAAGAAACTTGGATCTTTATTTGGCTGTGAAGAATATGACCCTTGATACTGTGTGTTGTGCAAAAAGGTATACTGTGTGTTGTTCCAGAAAAAGACATGAAAAAGGACCCGGCAAAAACCAAAAACCACTTCTCTGTCTGGGTTCATCCCAGGAAATATGCGAAGAAGTTCAATGAGAAAATGGACAAGATCGAGGCTGCTAGAGCCGCAAAGATTCTTGGACTGAATCCTAGGCCCTGTGGGTTTCTTCGCACCCTAACAAATGAGTATAGTAGACAGGTGGAATCAAGTGGATATAGGATGATATAGGTATATATCTCAATGTTATTGCACCATTGTCCAGATTTGTGGCAGGATATTGGAAGACGAAGACCTCGCGAGCAACTCTTCCGATGAGACCTCAGAGGATGAGAATGCAGAGCTGTTGACAGGGCGTGTCGAAACAAAGATTTTTGAGACTTTGTCAAAGATCAAGGCAAAAGATCCAAGCATCTACGACCCTGAGGCTGCAAAGATGGGTTTTGGAATTCGCCTTTCGAGCTTTTAATGATTTTTTTTTTTTAAATGTTTGATTTGAGTCTATCATCTCCTTCAGTTTGAGGTAGCTGCAACAGAGGAAACAGATGGAACTCCTTGCACCACTTTAATCATATTTTCAAAATCATGTCATAGCTGAGGACAGCAAAACGACCTTTTTCAACGATGATGACTTCAAAGAAGAAGCGCCGAAAGGTACACCAAAGAAAGGCAGCGAGGAAAAAATGACCTACAAGAATTTCATCAGAAAGACTTTGATGCAAGAGGGTGCTGATGCCATTGCCAAAGAGGAAGATGATATTGAAACAAAGAAAAAGAAGAAGAACACCACAAAGACACCTGCGGAAGAACAAAGAGATCTTCAAGCAGAAATCCGTGCAGCTGCTCACTCTGCAGAGGCTGATGAGCAGGATTTGTTCTCCATCAAAGAGCAAACTCTGGAAGAAGCTTGGCGAGAACCAGCGGCACCCGCGTGCTTTCAGTTTTGGAAGTTGCTCCAACCCCCACGGGTCTAGGTCTTGTTCCTGTTAAGCTTGTTGTGATTTCTTCGCAGCGGCAGACTTCGACCCAAAGATGCAGTCTGCTTCTAAGACATGGGTAAGAAAGACAGCTGAATCTGCCTGCTAGTTTCACTATATTTCACTATCATCCATTATCATCCTAATCCTAGTCTTTCAGGGCCAGGTTGATGCCTCTATGGTTCACGCCGTGATGCGGGTCTGAACATGGGCCCAATGGGCCCTGAAATGGACAGTTCCATGGGATGAGTAACCTTGACCATGAGATGTTTGAGGCTTTCCCATCATTTTCAGACAAGTCCAGATGATGAACGATGACATACATTGACATGCCATGTTATTCTATGGTGGTGATTCCGGATATACCTGACATGTTAAGCCACCTATAAAGGTTGAATAGAGGTTGACGAATGTCAAGTTGACTATGGATGCCGAATGTCAACCCTCTCAAGGAGAAGGAGCAACAGGACGAGGACTTTGCGCGTTTCCAGGCCAAGGCCGAACGACGCGGGGACAACGCTGACGCGGTGATGTCAAACTACTGGCGGGCGGATGAAGACCTCAATGAAGACGAACGCTTCTTGCGGGACTATGTGATGAACCGGCAGTGGCTGGAAACCGATTCATTGTCACCTGGAATATGAAAGATTATGGAAGTATGATGTATTGATAAGAGTGAATCAGTGTGTGAATCAGTGTGTAGCATTGACGTTTTTTTTTAATGTGACAGACATGAGGATGTATTGACGGTTGATGTATTGTTCTCTCTCTCTCTCTACATATATATATATACTCCGTTTCTTTGTTTTCAAATATTATGTGAATCCCCAAGCAGCGCCATAAAGCTACAGTTGTTTGCTCACAGCTCCTTCGATGTCTGAGGCAACCAACTTCAAAGAAAGAGACTTTTGATGCCTTAGATGACCAGGATGATGAAGATGTGGAAGATGCCGATGAATTTGAAAAAGACTACAACTTCCGTTTCGAGGTAGAAGAGGGCAGGCTGGAAAGTTTTAGTGATTCTTCCAGACATTTCTTTTGGGAGTTTGGTGCTGTTTTTTTTTTGCAATTCACCTGGTCCATAATTCTGCACGGCCCTGCAAGGCAGATTCAAGGCCATGCTCGTTTTCCGGAAAATTCCGTTCGGGAGCGGAATGACAAGAGGAAACGACAGCGAAAGGAGAAAGCCGAACGGAAAGAAGCTGAAAAAATACGCCGCACTGAGGAATTGAAAAGATGCTCGGCGGCTCTTTTAGTGCAGTCCCCTTTGTTCAAAAAATCCATTCTTATGAATCACCATGTATGCACTTGAGGAACCAAGACTTGGTCCCTTAGGGCCCAATAGTGTCTAGCGAAATCATTACTTTGGACAATCTTCTTGCTGGTTTTCTCATACTATGTGAACAACACGGAGCCGCAGTGTCATCATTTGTCCATGGCTTGAGCAACTAAGGACTCAAAAACCTGAAGAAGCAGGAGATCCGAAGGCGACTTGAACAAATTCGTGAGATTACGGGAAATGAGGACACTGGACTGGAGACAGGCGATCTGGATACGGAGTTTGATCCCAACAAGCATGATGAGACCATGGCAGCTATCCTTGGAGAGGACTATGCGTTTTGGTGGACTTGCGATTGCTGGCATTTGTTTGGGTAGTGCATTTCAGATTTTGATGTTCCCTTTTTGTCAGTACAGCCACCAATTAGATTCAGAAATTCAGTATATGCTTTTATTGCACAATGCACAGACAATTCAGCACTTCAGCTTGTAGATACCAGTGGTAAGGCTCTGGTGTTGGGGTTAGGGGATGCTTCCACAGGACTACGAGGAGAAGGAAGAGCTCTTGTCCGAAAAGGAGCTACTGAGAGGTGACGGTCATGCAGATTTGGACGTGTCCAAGGAAGCCACGCAGGGCTTGCAGAAACACTGGGGTGTGACATCAGAATGGGAAGGTCAGGAAGGTCAGGAAGATCAAGAAGGAAATGAAGCTGAAGATGCAGAGGACGCAGAGGTGGAGGAGGAGCATCCAGATCTTTGGTTTCTTTGTGATGGATGTAAGACTCCCATTCCAGGAGGCAAACGTCGTTTTGACTGCACAGTCTGTGAGAACTTCACCCTTTGCATGAAGTGCTTCCGAGTCAGACGCCATCCTCACAAGTTCGTCAGGAGGCGGGTACCAGAGAGCTGTACCCCTCCAGAGGATTTCAAAGGAATGCAAATTGGCGCCGAAGATGAAAACGGCAAGTCCTTGGATGAATACTTCCAGCTTGACTATGAAGACATCATTGGTGGAGATCTCCCGACCAGATTCAAGTATCGCTCAGTGAAGCCCAATGACTATGGCATTCCTGCCAGTGTGATCTTGTCCAAGAGCAGTAAGGAGTTGAATCAAATGGTGTCCATCAAGAAGCTCCGTCCATATCGTGAAAAGGAAGCATCGATGCCGTCGCAAAGTTCAAAACGCCAGAAGTTTGGAAAGGACCGAGGCGACCGAAGCGACCGAGGCTCTAAGGACTCCAAGGGCACCTCGAAAGGTGCCGGCAGTTCAAAGGGTAGCTCAAAGGGTCGCTCCGGCAAAGGCCCCAAGGGTGGCAAAGGTCCCAAAGGCCCAAAGGATTCGAAGTCAGCGGACGAGGAACAGTTGAGCTCGAGCCGTTTCAAGGCCTACAACTTGGAGGGCGACAAGTTTGCGGGGGTTTCGAAGTCCAAAAAAGGCAAGAAAGATCAAGGCAAAAAGGCCAAGACCATCAAGACCTAGATTTGAAATGTTTTCAATTCATTCTTCAATCATTCGACTTGGATCAAGCAAGTGTTGTATCTCCACCATCCGATCCCTCATCCTGATGATCTGGAAAGAAGCCGAAGAAGGATAGCAAAGACGTGCAGTCTCAGAGTCAGCCCGATGATGGCAGGGTTCTTTAAACACAATATGTGTGAAACACACATGTTGTCAGCTGGATCGTGGATGTCTTGAAAAATAGCCAATCTGGTCTCACACGGTCGGGGAATGGAAGTGGGAAATTCTTGTGAAGCAGAAGGTAATTACTTAGCCCTTAGATCAATGGGGCACTGAAACAAACACATTTCTCTGGAAATTTACGCGCAGCGAGACTCAATACTGGTTCTGTTGAGAAGCAGCAAGCCTTTGGTAGACCAGATTTTTGTTGCTGCGTGCCTTCTTCAGTAGAGGATCGGACAAAGATGAAGCCATATAAAGCCATTTCCTACATTGACTTGAGGTGAATGTAACATCTATTTAGATTTGGGGGTGTTTTTGGTAAACCCAGCGGGTGAAGTCAATGAAGCTTCCATGCCCAAAGCTGTGCCGCATACCACACAAAACCCGGTGAGGCGGCAAAGAATTCCGAGATCCTGAAGCCAATGCAGCCCCAGGAGTGAGATTTCTTTGTATTGTTTTCGAAACCACCAACCAGCAACGCCCGGTCGTCTCGTAAACGCGCACCAAAAACAATCGCCAAGAGACGTCTTGGGCACCTTTTGTTCATCATCTCGAGCGTAAGATCAATTGGACAAGTTAAGGTGAACTTTACTGCCCCAACCCCATAACGTAACGTAGCACATCTCTATAGCAGGACACATTTGTGACTTAAGATCTGTAACGTAGCATCACGTGAGTGTGCAAGTGCCAAGTGCCGTTATTAGCCCCCCCACCCCACCCGACTCCAAAAGCTGACGTACGTGGAGGGAATTCCATCACAAGAAACGCGCATTTACAGGACGACCGAGGGCCCACCAGCAAAGATGTTTACCTATATAGTCGCCGGGATTTAGTTGGTGATTTATCTCCCCAGTTTTAAATTGATTCATCGGCCAGGACTCTTCAGACCGTGGCCTCTTGGCATACCAGGCAGCAGTGAAAAGTGTCTTGCTGTACCTCTTAAAGGTATTGGATTTCCTTCGGTTTCGCTCGCCGTGTTGTATCCATGGAAAGCAGCGCAAACTGTAAGAACAAACGATATTCAATGCCTCCTTCCTGAAGTTTCGGCAGGGTCAATGCAAGAACTAATCCAAGGGTCTCAACATGTTTCAACATGTTTCAACATGTTTCAACATGTTTCAACATGTTTCAACATTTTATATCATTTTTATCTTTATCTGTTTTGGATCCCATCCATCAGTTTCCTTCTGGCTTCCAGGCTTTCCAGAGCCTGTGTGGGGGGAAGGAATGCCTGGGCTCAGAGGCGCCGGATCTTTGACATGGCCACAAGAGTCACAAGAACCAACCTGTGCGCACATCATTTACAGAGGCAGTGGCAGTGCTCCATAACTCATTGTGATTGGTCTCATCCTTGATTCGGACCAGTGTTCTTCCTTGCGGCTTGCATTAGAGTTGTGGAGTCTTTCAGTTTATCCCGACATGGTAGCGTCACTCAGGGAAAGCTGAGTCTCCCCTATGCTCCCGCTCGGTCACTCCTGGGGTCATGGCCAGGAAATGCTGATCTTTGCCAAGCTCACAGGTTTTGAAGGACACAGTGGAGATGATTTTGCGGCGTTTACAGTCCCTCATCCGTTTACAACACTCGAGAGATGTTTGGACAATCTTGGACAATCTTGGACAATCTTGGACATCTCTTTCGATTCTTTCAGAATGTCCTCGTTGAAAGCCTTTAGGCTCCACAGGCCTGAGTTTGTGCTGGAATCCTGTTGGGATGTGGAGCTTCCAGCTCCATTCCAGCTCCTTTCGTCCCAACGTTCAGGATCTGCAGCAGATTGGCAGGAAGAGTTCCAGTCTCTCTGTCAGGAGTTAGGACTGGAGCATCACATGATATTTTTGTTTTGAGATATTTGAGATTTATGGTTTCACCGTGTTTCACCATGTTTTGCCCCATTTTTGTACCCCGGTTGCCTTGGAAGATCTTGGAACAGCAGTTGCCCTGACCTGGGAACCTGGGAGGAGCTCAAGGCATTGACCTGGCAACCTTCAGTCGATTAGTCGATGACGCATCGGAACAAGGCCATTTCGCATCATTTAACGCACCGCCGATGTTGCGCCTCCAACGCCTCCAAGATGTTGTGTTATTTTGATGGAACTATTAATGTACATGTCACACACACATATGATATTTATGATTATTTATGCATATCATATGTGTATATATATATATGATATACTGTAATTCTGAAAGTGCTGTTTAAAGATGTCTTTTCTTTTTCTAAAAAGCACAGGCATCAGTCAGCTGAGCCCCAAGCTCTGTCAAACGTATCGACAACTGGCCAGGTTGCTTTTGCACTGACGAAGAGCTTCGAAACATCATCAGGCCGCAGTGTAAAGCCTGTGACAGGATCATCCCAAGTGCACAGAGCACAACAGGCAGAGACGCACAGAACTTCAATCCCATGAGATATTCCTTCTGGCAAACATGCCATGTGAATGCATGTGAATGCATGTCATATCATGTCATTTACGGCATCCATGATTACTACAGGTCTGGAACCACGACCTCGTCACAGCCAGAATGTGTCATGCAGGTTGGCACCTGCACAAAGCAGTCGTTGATGGAAGTCTGGGGAGTCTGCCGGCCGTCTCTGTTCGCTCGGATCGATATGCCATCATTTTTCGATAATAAATAACTTGCCACAGAAATCCACAGAAGATACCGGGTACTTCAGCATTTCTTCCCTGTGTATAGCTGAAGGAGGTCGAAAACGGATGAAAATGGATCAATCTGTATCTGTCCTGAGGCTCCAAAGTCCGTTCTCCTCCGACAACAGTACCGGATGCATCCTAGCATGACCCGCTTCCGGTTTTTTGGGAAAAGTGGAGCTGGAAGAGTGTCAGGCTATATCAGGCTGATAAAGTATGATCAACTGCTGTAGGATGTTTTAGGATGTTTTAGGCTGTTATAGGCCCATTAATTGATACAATGCATTCATGGCTACTTTGGCATCAAGGCCGGCTGGCGGAGTCGTCTGCTTTGGAACCTCTCCATGTTTGCAGGAACAGCTTCCCATCGAAGCAGTTCTACGATGGAAAGGCAGTGCAGACGTCACAAGCTGATTCTGGGTGAACTGAAAGGTTGACTGGGAACCAGAGAACAAATAAAGCTTTGGAAAAAGCAGGGAATTGAACATGTTCCGAATCGCTATCCCTCACGGTCAGCGATTTCAGCCTTCAGCACCTCACTTCTACACGCCATGGATGGGCAGGTCTTCAGTGACAAGTCGACCAAAGATCGACCCGCTGGGTTGTTGGCCAGTCGGCCCCAGACTGTACTGACTGTACTCACGAGGTGTGACAAACATCACTTAAACATCACATATTTGTCGTGGTTCGCTATGTATAGTACAATAAGATGTAAACCATTGTAAACTAATGTAAATAAAGCATAATAAACCAACGTCAATGATGTAAACCATGAGATTTTGGGGTAGACCATTTAACCCAAATGGTATTTGAGGCTTCTCGTATTTGAGGCCCATGGATCCGGTGCACGTTGCCCTGTTCTCTTTTGGAGCTCTCCGTCCACATTTCAGGAAGAGGTGGTCCGCAGGTTTTTTTTCAAGTCCATTGGTGATCAGAGATTCGGTCTGGGTCAAAATTTCAGACCGGAACGTAGAGTTTATCAGAGTTTGGTCCTTGCCTAGATCTTGAAATCTCCAAATTTGGGGTACGCAATTTTGACCCATGACCAGATGTCTACAGTGTCTCATGAACAAGACAACAGAGATGTGTTTTTTTCGTAGGAGCTCTTGAACTTGAGGGTTTGAGAATGTTGGAGATATGCAATATGAACTGTGACCAAACATGAGTGACTCATGATTGCTCCTGAGTGGAACTCCTGAGAAAAAATATCTTTCCAGGCGTTCTTTTCGGGGTGGGGGAACGCGTCAACATACCATTGCCCTAAATTGCAACCCATGGCGACCCCAGGTGCATGAAGTGGCCACAAGAGATGCATCCACACGCTCCAAGGTTGTGGGGACTTGGGGGACCACTTGGGATCAAATTGGCCGAGCCTTTCCACAGCGCCAAGACTTCCGGGTGCAGGACATGAGGACGTCTATAGGACGTCTATAGGCTCTGTTTTTCTTTCTTTTGGTTACTGACTCCTAACATTTCACTTTACCCTGATATGTTTGTGAGGCCAACGTCAAGGAAGCCCATCGGTGTGCAAGGCTGGAGCTGTGTTCAGTTGCTAGATGTTACAGATGGGTTTGCGGTATACCACCAAATTGGTTACTTATTATGGGGAAAATGATGGTACTGCATTGGACTTGGGCATTTATATATATATGTTATTTTCAGTCAAGAGCCTTACATTCTTCCCCTTGGCCAATGTGGCCTGGGCTGAGCCAGGCTAGCCGCGGAGATTGCGCAATGTGCTGGGGCCAAAAGTGTGGCAGTCCTCAGCTGGTACAATGCGCAGGCGAAAAGCTTTGCCTGGAAACGGGGTAGCCCGAAATCCAATGATCTACATCGACATGTTTCGCAGTAGCAATTTTGGGGTATCCTGCATTTTTGGACAAACCCACATTTTGCTTCGTAGGACTTGAATTGCACTTTAAGTCTCTTGTTGGTGATTCTGGATGAGATCATGATCTGATTAATTATACAGTTGGCATGCCCATGAGTAATTGTGCGCATTATATCCACATTATATCCACATTATATCCACATTATATCCACATTAGCTGCAAGACGTTCATTTGGACATGGTTGCCAACTCTTGACCAACCACTGGCTTGAGACGCCGTGCAGGTGGTTGAACTGAAGTCATGTTTGCGGAAGCAGAACACCAGTGGAATCCACGTGGGCTCGGTGGTCACAGCACAGGGCAGCGAGTTGGGAACCCAGTGGGTACAGTCCATGAGTTTCCAGGTCAAGTTTTAGCAAAGGACATTTATACCGTTATAATTAAACACATTCAACTCATTTTAACTATCACATTGAGCAGCACTTTTCTGACATATCACAGCAACAATGTAGAACCCATGTAGAATCCTAGGCTTGTTTATGTTCTGGTCGTTGCCTTTGCTTGTCTAAGGTGGGACTATGTGCTACTTTCCACTGTCCTCAGCAGCAAAGCGAGTTTGCAGGAGGCCGCTGTCGCAAGGGTCGATTTGGTCAGAGCTGTGTGAGTGGTGGACCTGGCCGGATGTTGCTAGAGCTGTTTGATCGTGAGAAGTTGGTGGTTGGGCCGATGCTGCACCGAGCACAAGCATACATCAAAGAGTTCGTTGCGCTCTTCTAAATTATTCCAAGCCATTCTAAGAATTCTTGACCAAGATTCAAATACCCTCTACTCCTTATATCTCTGTATCATCTATATCTTTTCAGAGAAGAACCCAGCTGGATGCCCGCCACGATTGGTGTCTGCGCTGCCCACAGGCAAAGCTAGGATGCCTCGCAGACAAGTCAGGGGCTGATGCTTCATTCAGTTGAAGCTGTAGACATTTCACATTAAAATGGCTCTCATTTATTTTAATCACAGAAATGTTGTTTTCTTTCCAGCAGTTGTTATCAGATGTACTTGAAACAAGTTTGGAGATTTCTTCACAGAATAGTTTTCCTTTGGCTTGTTAGTCCACTACAGTATTGTTGCGATGGGCGTGGAAGCTCTGTGGAAGGGGAGCCCACGCAGCCACAAATCGATTTGTCTGTTACAGAGGCACCAGGCATTCTAATTTATTCCAGTATATTCCAGTTATTTTTGTTTCTTCATGGCCTGCAAATAAGTTGATGAACTAAAACGAGAGGGGTAGGCTTCGGGTGCATGGCCTGTTCCACGACGTTGGGATGGCTCAACTCGAAGCCGGGTGAGCTGTTTGGAACCAAGGCACTTGCTGAACGTTGCAGTGAGCAGAGCACGAGTAGGCGGGCGTCGAGGGGTAGCATGACATGTAGTCCTGTCTAGGATTCGAGTGAAAAAAAACATTGTACAAAGTCTAGCCCTTCCGAGCAGTTCCCCGTCACGTTTTCCTTAGATGTATAGTTTCTAGATGTTTCTAGGGCTTAGGGGTTTGATTCTACAGTTCGACTTCAAGCGTCACAGCAGGTTTGGTGGTGCTGGGTTGCCCAGATGTCGTGGTCTCAGTGTCTCAGTGCGGCTTCGCAGCTGAGCATAGCTGGATCAGCTGTCATTTGCTATGCTGCAATCAGGTGCTTCAGGGCAACCGCCACTGGGCTGCTTTCTTGGAGCATTGCAAAGATCTGGGTGGCATGGTGCAGGTGCCACGCCAGAGACAGCCCATGTTTAAGATTCCATGAGGGTACATTAGCTTCAAACATATGTGCAAATTGGATGCTTAAATATGCTTAAATATGCTTGACTCCATGCTCAACTCCATGCTCAACTCCATGCTCAACTATGCTTAAATACTACAGATGATCAACTTTTCGGGTCCATTGGGCACCCTTTATTTGAGTCATACTCATGACATCTCATGACATGAAATGGTTACCATCCTTGGCCGCACCCGGGTCAGCCATGGCTCCTAGTAGGATGGAGATGAGCCTTCCCTGTCTGCTGAAGGCACGAGCTCTGCATCCAATTGTCTAAAGTTCCAAAGCATGAAAGTCATCCTGAATCTTCACATCACCCGCAATATTTTCTCTGGAGAGCTTCGTGGATTTCAGGATATAAGATGATGTAAGTTCTGCAATCTCCATCGTTCCGCAGCTGTATCGTATACACAGCTGTACTAATTGCTGTACTTCCCTGTTGCATCATCATTGTCCTTCATTATCGTCATTGTCGATTCTCTGCGAGGTCCGCTGTCAGACAGCGCCGCGGAGCGGCGCTTTCAGGAGAGGGTCTTAAAGCATTCCAGCTGGGATTTTTCCAACGAGAGCTTTTGGGGCATCCACACATATGTCAAATCTGTGATTCCACTCGTTGACCTTGGCATTTCCTGGAAAATGCTCGAAGACAAATAATTAGAGTGCAATTTTTGCTTCGAACAGCATGGAGATATAGCTCCACTGTCCCTTGTAGTGCCGTTTGTACTTTGACAAATGCTTCAGCAGATTGAATCGCAAGAAAAACGTCAGATGCTTGTGATTTGTGTCGCAAGGATTCGTATTGGCATATCTTGGCAATTCTTGGCACATATCGGCCATTTGCAGAGCATCAGGCCACCTTTGAGCGAGCCATCAGAGCATACCAGCAACTTGAGCTGATGTCGTGGTGCTGTTAATGGGTTTGGGAGCTATGAGGGGACTGCCCTAGGTTTCACTATTGAATAGCATGACCATGGCTGTAAGCCTGCAGAAGATGGTAGGGAAAATAGCAGCCTGAGACAAAGTGGCAGCAAACTCAACTCAGGCAATTCAGATCGCCACAAGAGTTCTACCCACCACCACAGCGCAAGGAACAGGGCTGCCATGCCAAGATGATGCCAAGATGATATTGCATCGCTATATGTCCCAGACAAACGTTGATTGTACTCGTCAGGCATGCAATCTCATCTTAAGACATTCATTGAAGCAAACTTTAAGACTTGACAAGTGATGTCATGTGGCTTAGAGCATGGACTTACATGACCAAAGTCAACCGGATGACCAGGTCTTTTTCCTGGCACCCCAACAACCAGAAATGACTGGTGGGTAGTGGTGGTTTCCCCAAACAGCCATTTAGAGTGGGGATTCTTCACTACCATAGGGAAACAGCCATGGCTACTTCTGGGGTTCCAGATTACAACATCTTACAATTTTCTATCAGCCCAGCTGGATACAGGAGACCCCGTCCTCAGTCACACGCGATTTCTGCCGCGGCCACAGCTGGTGGTGTGCCTCATGCGCCAGTTTTCAGATTCGGACACCTATGTGGCAGCTGAGGTAAACTTGAGAATTAATTACGAAAGCCAGCTAGCTGGCTAGTTGCTGTTTGCGAACGAAGTGAGAATAGGGGGTGTGGGGGGGGGGTGGTTGCCGAAAGGGAACGAAATCTCGCCGTGCCCCTGTGTTGAGCGCCAGAAAACGGAGCATTTTGCTGGATTAAGTACCACTAGGCAATTTGCTGACGGTGGGGTATCGATTCCCCCTAGGTCCGCCTTTTTGGTGGCCGGAAAGACCATGAGGATGTATTGGAAAATACAATGAAACTGCAGGAGAACATGATAACGATCAGAGGAAATCGTACAAAATCCCCTGGAAAACGGACGAAAACGGAGCGAATGCGAGGAACAAACCATGGAAAATCCCTTGGAAAATGGAGGAAACCGGAGCGAATGCTAGGCGCAAACCATGACGATGCAGTAAACATGCTGGAAAAATACAGTGAAAGTGCAGGAAAATGTGATAACAACGAGAGGAAATGGTGCAAAAAGGATCGGAAAATGAAGGAGACAGGTAAAACTCTTGGATTAATATTAATATTGAAAAGGTATGAAAATGCAGGAAACCAGAGGAAATGGTGCAAAAACCTATGGAGGAAAGAGGTGAAAATGATAGGAAACATGTAGTAAAAAAATGCTGGACAAAACATATTGAAAACCCACGAAGAGGATGTATTGGAAAATACAATGAAACTTGAGCAAAACATGATAACGATCAGAGGAAAATGCTAGGAACAAGCCATGCAAAATCTGTTGGAACATGGAGGAAACCGGAGCGACTGCTAGGAACAAACTATGACGATGCAGTAAACATGCTGGAAAAATACAGTGAAAGTGCAGGAAAATGCGATAACAACCACAGGAAATGGTGCAAAAAGGATCGGAAAAATCAAGGAGACGGGTAAAACTCTTGGAAGAAAACATTGAAAATGCAGCAAGCCAGAGGAAATGGTGCAAAAAGGAGACGGGTAATAATCTTGGAAAAATAGATTAAAAATGCATGAATAGACTGAAAACCCACGAAGAGGATATAGATGATATAGAAACTGCAGGAAAACATGATAACAATCAGAGGAAATCGTGCAAAATCCACTGGAAAATGCTAGAAAAATACAGCGAAGGAAAATGTGATAACAACCTGGCAGGAAAATGTGATAACAACCAGAATAAAGGGTGCAAAATCTGTTGGAACATGGAGGAAACCCGGAGCGACTGCTAGGAACAAACTATGACGATGCAGTAAACATGCTGGACAAATACAGTGAAAGTGCAGGAAAATGCGATAACAACCAGAGGAAATGGTGCAAAAACGATCGGAAACTGAAGGAGACGGGTAAAACTCTTGGAAAAATATATTGAAAATGCATGAAATGCAGGAAACGAGAGGAAATGGTACAAAAAGCCATAGAGGAAAGCGGTGAAAATGGTAGGAAGCATGTAATAAAAAAAGCTGGACAAAACACAGTGAAAACCTACAAAAGAGAAGAAAGTAACCACAGGAAACGGTAGAAAAAACAGTGGAAACTGGAAGAAAAGTTGTGACAATATTAGGAAAACGGTGTACAAGCTAGGAAATGCTTGTAACAACTAGAGGAAACGATGTAGAAAACAGTACAACATGGAGGACTTGCGTGAACATGCTAGGAGGCATGTAACATGTTAGAAAAATACAGTGAAAACCTAGGAAAATGTTATATCTAAAAATGCTTTAAACATATAGTGAAAACCAAGACAATGTTAACGAGCGGAAACGTTGATCAGGAAATCCGATTTGGTTTCTGTAGATAATGTTAGATGATGAGCAATGTAGTTTGGTGATAGGAAATAGTGGCTGACTCGCGTACAAGACATTGCCATGAAACCTTGGAGCAAGATGCGGATGGTATAGGAAAAAAGATGTATGAGTTGTAAGATTTTAGGAGTTGCATGGGAAAATTGGTTTCATGGTAATCTGTGTGAAGTTAGAAAAGTGTGATTTCGTTCACAGAGTAAGAAAAATAAATACAATCTGCAGATTAGAGTATTTATAATGCTTAAAACTGTTTGACGTTTTTTGGTGCCTCCCTGATTCTGGTAGTTTTGTGATAAGAACTACAAAAACGATCTACTGGTAAACGGAAGGAATAGTCTTTCCGGTTTAGAACTGAGTCGACTGTCAAGTGATGCATAGGCTCCAGGCCTCTGGTTATTGTCACAAAGCATTGGAATGAAGATTGCGCCCAGGAGCCACCTAGGTTAGGAGACAAATGCTGTAATATCATTGTAAGAGGCCGTACTGAGAAGGCTGAAACAGAACTAAAAGTGAATCTTGTACTAAAACATCGAGAAAGAATTTGAATCTTCTAATGGCAATGACGGGAATGATATGCATCTGTACGTCCGTGATAGTATGTGTGCCTTTTAAAAGGGATGTTTGGCGAGTGTGATAGCTGAGAAGATTTTCCGGGATGCCAAACAATTATCTCTATCGATGTCAGGGATGATGCTATTCCGCGACATTTCCTGTAAAATACCTATTTTCCAGACCCTTGGGGGGTGGGGGGGGGTACCCAGGTCTGTAAATGGCCTAAATATATATACTTTTGATTTGGACTGCATGTTCGCCACTGTTCTATATTTCCCGTGGGTTTTGCATTGTTTTCCTCGATTTTCATTCGTTCTTATACCCTTTCTTACGTATGTTATAATATTGTCTTGGGTTTGCACTGCCCATTTTGCGAGTAGAGCTATATTTGATTTCTCACCGTACGGCCAAAATGTTGCGGAACTTCGCGGAGAAGCATGGACCACGATTCTGGGGAGAAAACAATTTAGACTTTGAGAGGTCACATGACCACTGTTCACACAAAAAAACGGGTATTATTTATCTACAATAGGTGGGAGCAAACTTGCGCTGTTTTAAGATAAATGAGCAACCAAAGGCGGATTTACGGAACTTGGGATAGAACTTTTCACAATGCCGCAGTACATTGTAGGAAACATATTTGGATATAGAAGTTACAAAATCGTGGAGTTTACCCTAAAAAGGTCCATTTAATGATTGGAAAATTATGACCCAATAGCAATTGTTGATGTTGGGGCGCTTCATGTTTGAGCCATGCCATATGGATGAGGTGGAGTTTCACGCGCCCCCGCGCGAGTCAAAAAGCAAGCGCTGGCTTTCGTTCCACCCCTTCTCAGGTTTGGCATTCTGAAATGCGCACATCTGTACACTTTTGTCTCACTCTGAAAGTTGAGAACTAAGCATCTACAATTTTATCTACATTATCTAGCTTCCCATGCTTCGCCCCTGACCCCAGAGATGAAAGCGAAAGCAATCGTTGAACGATTCACTGTGACAGGCCGGATCCGTGAAGTTGAAGGTGGCAGTGAGAGACCAGAAGCCTTCAAGTACCAGTGAATGGCACGCCGCGAGGGTGACCAGTTCTTGCTCTTGTCATCTTTTTGTCCATTGTTCATTGTTTTTTGCCGTGAACAATGAACAATCATGATAATCATGATAATCATGGTACATGAGGTCGCAGCCTTGACATTGATGTGGATGCAATTGGCCACCCCACCAGCGTGACGCCTTGTGCAATGCCTCGTGCTATCGACGCTGGTGCATGTACAGTAGTCATGAGACAAAATCGGCTTTCGCCAAAATGGGGGAGCCCAAAATCATCCCACATTAGTCTTTCTGAACAGGGACTTTGGGGTACCCCAATTTTGAGAATAATCCAAATGGGCGTTTTCTATGTTTTCTATCGCATGGGTGCCGCACCATCCCAAACATACAGTGTCTCCCCCAGGCAGCTGTTCCTTCTGGTCCTTCACGGCAGGTCAGACGAGAGGACAGGATTGTAATGGCAAGGAAATATATACTGTACCTTCGGGTTCCAGTTGGCTTCTTGATTGTTTCAGAAACATTCAACAGATCCAGATCTTACACAGTCACCTTTCTGGAAAAGTGTTTCTTCCAACCTTTGAGGTACCAGGTAAAGGCTTAAGGCACTCAGATCACTCAGAATCGTCCCCTGTGGCAAAGCTTGATCGGTGTGCCAGGGGGACTTCTCCATGCCTCCAGACACTGGTTTGAGGTTGGGAGCTGGTGGGGGATTGGAAGACTGTTGGAAGCAATGGGGTCATCAAGTTGGAACCAACGAGTGCCCGACTCAGCAGTGAAGTTTGAAGCCCGATACCCGAAGACATGCCAGCACTTCAAATTGCAAACACTCTTGTGTGTGCGACTGACACCAATGAAATCTGATCCATGACTGAAGAGATGGGTACTGGAAAGATATTGATGTTCATTGAGGGTTTTGTGTGACTGCTCCGGCTCAAATCAATTCCTGGAGACCCTTGCTTGTAAATGGGAGTAGCACATGCATGTTGAGCATAGAAAAGGCACACCCTTTGTATACAGCACTTGTTGCGTATATTTACCCTCGGAGTAAAGGCAAGGATCAGCTTACAGAAGATTTCACAGGCACCTGCAGAATTCACAAAGGATCCAGGTTTTCACAAAGGAAATCTACTACAGATCCTGGTTTGACCTAGACCTCGTCGATCAAATTGTACCCCAAAAATCCCCAAAAGACTTAAGCTGTGACTGCCATTGCTGGGTTGTTGCCTTTGCGAAGATGAAGGACAGGCAAGATTGTGCGAAATTTCGGTAAGGGCAGAATGGGGTATGTTGTGGAATCTTAATCCGAAGCTACCTTTGAATGAGCTCAAGCACAGCATGGAAGACTTATGTGTCAGGAGTTTATCTATGTATGGTGGCCCTATCTTTTTGCAGTGGCCACAATTGTCGGAGCCTTGGCCCACTGTGACTCCGCAGATGCACCACTTTTCACATGCACTCGATGATTGCATAGTGTGTCTTATAGAGTTACACCTTGTGCCATGTGCCAAGATATTTGCGATCAACGTTGCTAGTAAACGTTGCTATCCAATTCAACTATAAGTAGTGGTGCTGGGAGATGGGTCAGATGTCCTTGGAGTGAAGCTGAGATGTTGCAAGCCGTGGTGGATCCTGCTGAGTGCATCTGGCTGGGAAGCTTGGTCTTGGGGGGCTCAGATCGTCCATCGGCAAACATATTCACCATACTTTGGATCCACATATTGCGGTGAGCAAACAAGATAGATTTGGAAGAAGGTTGAACGTGTGAAGGTTTTGTTTTTGAAATCGAGTTTTTTTGTTGGATTCAGTAGCCTCCAGTACATGTTATTACGGACCTGACGTTTATGCTCCACCATCAGGGTCTTTGAACCTCAGACGATGCTCCCAGGCCGCCCAAATTGGAGCTTTCCGGTCAGCAAGCAGCGTGGACTCTCAGGGTCTGCGGCAAACCCAGAGTTGAGGACTTGAGACGCAAGACGCCCTGTGACTGGTACGTATTACTCATATGTCTATTAGGAGAAAGCTTGCCATCTACCTCTTAACTTTCTGACAGCAAGTGTCAAACTTTCAAACTGTCACAGTTGTTGTGGCAATTGCTGCATTCATGGGACTTATGCTCAACATCCCAGTAAGTCGCATCTTGTTGAGTGTGTCGAGCATGGTAACGTATAGTAGCTGGGTGGAGTAATTTTGAGTTGGGACACTTTGGCATCCATCATCCATTCCAGGATTGATCTGCCTTTGACCTCATGAGAAAAGCCTCTGAAAATCGCATGTATCGCAAGCGGTTTTCAGAGGCGCTTTTGGCAAAGACTCCGGTGTGGCTCTGCACCGCGGGACCCACTCTGATCGGACCGCTCCTTGGCGAACATGGTACAGACAGATGCTGCGGCCAAGACTCTCATACCGGAACACAAACGCAAACCAACTCATCAAGACCACACTTATTCGACTTATCCTATTTGTGCTTTTGGAGTTGGTAACTCTGAAAGTCTTTTAGTCACTACTGGGACATACATCCTGATCATCCTCGTGTACCGTTGGCGCTTTTACAGCCATTTTCTACATGCGAATGTCAGATGATGTCAGATGATGTCACCAGGTTTCTCCTGAATTTTATGGCTCGGAAACGCAACCTTTCCGCCATGGACCGGCAGTCCCTAGTGGCTTGGCAGCACTGGCAGCACTGGCAGCACTGGCCTGGCAGCAATGAGTTGGAAGACGACCGGGTTCCGGCGGCCACTAAGATGTGGTGGCATGTCAATGCCTGGTGGTTCCACACTGGCTGCGACGTCTTCAGCGGACTCTATCAGGCCTTGCACTAGATCCAAGAGCTTGGGGATGCACATCAGTGTTGGTAAAAAATGCCCTGGTGTACACATGAATATCATGAACAGATATGAACAGCATCATCAGAATAAGGACTTTGTCTTTGTTTACTTCAGTTTCTTGGGCATTCCTGACCAGCCTGACCTCGGCATGGATTCAATTCGATTCGTGCAGTGGTACCCCTTGTCCAGCGCCAGATCATGCCGGTGCTGACAGAGTTGTACACGCACATGAGCCTGGTGCCTACGGAGGGAGCCGAACCGTTTGAAACTATGTCAATAGCATTCAATACACTTCGAGACTTAAAATATCTTACTCTAAATTTAATCAAACATACGTAAAACATCGTAAAACATAGCTCAAAATCCAAGTTGCGCACCTTTGGCCCAGCAAAGGTCCAGTTCATGTGAAAGAACGTTGGCACCCGTGCGGGAACACAGATGTGGAGCTGATAGGCCCATGCCAAGATGGAGGATCCAGGAATTTGAAAGATCAGCATTGGCTGCGCTAAGGGAGCGTGAACACCTTGACTGCGCATATGGCTTGGAGCTTTTCGTGGAGGTCAGGCCCTAGCATAGTTTTGAACATGAAGCCGAGGTTAGGGTGTGCGTTTCAAGCTTGACTGCCTCCGTGGTATGAACTAACCAAGCTGTTTTCTTTTCTGCTCCCAAGCCACCTCGTCTTGGTTGCATGGCGCCCAGTGATGAGATGCGAAAGATTGCGAAAGTCTCTGCTGAAAATGTATCGCTTCGAAGGGAAATGGGTGCCCTGATGGCAGGCACCATTCGCCCTGTGGTTGGTGTACCTCTTCATGACGCAGGATGGATTCTGTGGAGCAGACCGGGCAGTACATGGCAGTACTAATTGATTGAGCTTGCGTAATTTCAAGGCGATCGTTTGGTGAAGCTCCATTTGGGTGTTGTTTTTGCCCTACGTGCAGATGGATGGGGGACATGCCAAAAGAATCCCAAAGACGACTTTAAAGTCCTTGAAACACATCACGTTTGTGACCATTTTTCTTGTGGGGTTTAGCAAAAGCAGAAAATGGAACTAGAAAGCCCCAGAGACAACAAAACCAGTGGGTGCCACTTGGTCACACTTGGTCAGTTTATTCCCTTTGGAGGCTTGACAACCCAGAAAGGCCGTCTGTTCACAATCTCAGATGGCTCCCCTGGCAAGGACCATCGGCGATACCTCATCGAACTTGCCGCACTGGGAATCCAGTTCGCTGGCACTGTGTGGGGGCACTCAGACTTCGAGCCATGTATAATCAGTCGAACAAGTTCTGCCAAAACGGGACAAACAGAAAGCAACATGAACCAAATTCAAAGAAGCCGAACGAATGAGAAGCAAATTTGTCAAAATGCACCATTTCGGAAAAAAATGCGCAGAATGCAGAGCGAATGGACCACCGAGGGTCTACTATTTGCCTGGCATCATGCGGCTCGAGCATGCCTGTTGGACAGGATCTCAGTACAACATAGTACAACCAGTGTTCAAGAAACATGCGCCTTCATGGCATGATGGCAAATTTCAAGCTCTGTCAAATGCCGACCAGTGAAAAGTAATTTCGAGTTAACCTGACAGGGGCTGGTTTTTGTTCACTAGGTTCTTTTCGCAGACCAGGATCCTTCAGGTAGGTCTAAAAGCTTCACCAATCTCGGCTCCCTTGGAGCCCAGGCTAAGCCATGCAGATCGCTTCTGTGGTAGCGTCCGGGATCCCATTTTGGTGACCGAAAAGTGGAAATTCAGCAGATTCCAAATGATTCCAATAGCCATGGCAGCCATAGATGGAGAATGATAAAGACCTTCCCAGGACTTTCCTCTGGATTTTGCGAGTTGAAGACACCTGCCTCGCCCAGTTTTGGATCATTTGGCCAACCTATGTGTTCATCCGCACGTTGAACAGAGCGAGGAGGGGCTCCTCAAAGGGAACACATCAGTGAGTCATTTTGTTGCTTTTCGAGTATTTGGAACATGTTCCAAAGGATTTCATGACGACTTTAGGAAGATTGAAACACGTGAAAAAAACACGGAACAACGCTATCTTTACGGAGCCAATATACAGTGCCAATATTGTGCCAATATTCTATACTGTTCATCCCAATTTGGTAGACATTTGTGGAATTTTGATGAATTTTGTAGGGTTTCCTGAAAGAGATCCATCTATGAATGCTTGGACTTACTGAACCGAGGGACAAAGATGTTTCAGAGTCATCAAGAAATGGTGGGAATTTCGTGTCATTTCATGATAGCCAACAAAATCCGCTGCAACCTGGGGAGTACTCCGTAGGCCAGAAAATGGCTCGACCAGTGGCAAGAAGTCAAAGCAGAAGTGATCTGGACATGACATAGTTTGAGAAGATGACAACACGTCATTTTCCAGCCAGACCCAGGCGGATTTCAGCTATTTGAGCACCACGCTTGGTGCAAGTTGTACAGCAACTTGAAGTAAAACTCAGTCGCAACGCAACGGTTTTGAATTGCTGCATGAACAGCAATGTTGCAAAAGTTTGACCTTCTGTAGTGACTCCAATTTGAAACCCATCATCGATCGCAACTTTCAAAAGTGTGAGCTTCGTGCGCCATCAAGTGGTGATTCTGGCTTAGCTCCACCTCGCTCCATCCTGTTCAGTGATCAGAGCCATCCTTGGCAGAACAAGCATGAACCGTGACGACCTGGACTCTTATATATTATTTCACACCAATGATTTGGTACGTGGTATGATTTTCAGTGTTGGCAGAATCTGAGAATGTAGAATGATTTGAATGAATATTATCACGTAGACGAGCTATGGCAATCCGACATCTAGCTTGTCTTGTCGGTACGATTCCCTCGTGACAGGAACCAGCTGACACCAGCTCCTGAGGCCTTTCGATTTATGTTCGCATGGAAGTGAAGTAGTGAAAGATCAGGAAACATGTTTAGCAAAAAGACGTGTGGGCGCACAAACGTAATCAGATGTAATCAGGTTTTTACCTCCCGTTTCTTGTTTCTTGTTTGTATCAGCCACTCAGGAGAATTCCAGATGTCTTGGACCCTTTCTTGATTTTCTTGACTCCACTATACGTAGTATACTTCTTCACCAGCTTCGGTCGCCTCCAGGGACAGTTTCCAACCTCCATTCCATTTTTTTCATATCTAAATCTTGTCCATGATTTCATGTTGGCACCAGGAGACAGTTGGGGCGGCTGAGCCAAGCGGTGTGCCGGACGGTCAAGGCAGCCGCAGATATGCATGGATTCATTGTACCATGGCAGTCTAGAGCAGCTTGTAACACAAAGCTCTACAAATATTTAGAAACAACAATAACATTTTGGAACAAATGTATGGAATTTCAGACACTTTGATGTATACAATGTATACTTTGACATACTTTGACGATGTTGCAGTTGCCGTTATGATCTGCGTTTTTTTCAGCAGACGATCCGAAGCCGTTGTGGCTTGGCACAGGGTATCAGAGGGTCAGCAGCCGATGCCGGAGATTCTCTTCGAGCGACTCGCAGGGCGTTTGCGAGTGGAAAAGGATGTGGAGAGCTGCTGGGGTGAGGAGGCAGCAAGAGCCACTCTTCAAGACATGAAGATCAGGATGGCTCGGAAGAAGGAATCAGAAGCACGGCAGCTGTACCATGATTGGGATATTATGACACGTCTTTTGCTACACTTTGGTGCAGATCCAGAGCAGAAAGACAGCCAGGGACACACAGCTCTTGACTACGTGAAATCCAAAGTTCTCCGGGAGCATTTTAGTTTTCGGTTCACCGGAGGCAAGTCCACAAGGGCTCCATTCGAAGTTTATCCAATCTGTGAAGCCTAAAGTCCAGAATCCTCTGGATCTCCGGCAGCGTCACCAGGTCTTGGTGCTTTGTCCAGATTCTGTGATAAGTTGGGATTGTTTCACCCATTGCTACAGTAGTTATTTGGGGATTTCAAGGAACGCTGGGGCCGCTGGGTCCCAAATCACAACGTTCCATGTGTGGATAACTGGCAGTCGTCGGTCGATTCCGCAACTCTGTATGGGTAGCGGAACCCAAGATGATTGCGACCTCTGAAGCCGCGCTCCTTTCGCAGGCAACAATTTGAGAGGTGACAAGGTTAGGACGTTTTGGTGTACAATGGTGGCTAATCATTAACCATCATTAATCATTAACCATCATTAACCATCATTAACATCATTAACCATCATAATGTATACATTTGCCTTACTCACCGATGCACTGGCTCAGCGCATTCACCGTAGGCCTCAAATTGCTGTGGCGGTGCCCACCAGAATCAACAGGCACAGATGTCTGTCCATCGCAGCAGGACGTGCTACGCCGCTACGCCAACTCCATGCAGAAGTGATGTTGGATTCTTATGGGTGCTTTTACCTTCCAACCGCTTGAGACTTAAGAGATCGTATCTTCTTACAAGTGCCGCAAGTTGTAGCAACGCGATCACATTCTGTTGAAGTGTTCTGCCAAAGAGCATTTTGCCACCGGAGACATAAAGTTCGTCCTTTTCTGCTTCGACACCCATTTCCTGTCCATTAGATGAGACTAGCTCTACGGACACCAACAGGTTCTGTGGGTTGCCTGGCATGCCAGAGTGATGTCACCCAGCTTCCAATTCGTGAAGCTCACATCTGATACAGATGATACAGAAACACACACAACTTCGACGAGGAAGGACTGGGTGACTGCGCATAGCATGACCAGCATTGTGCCAAGAGCTGCGAGTTTGTGCACATGGCATGTGTGATGTGATGACTCCTCTATATTTCTCTGATGAGCAAAGGATTTGAGGGTACAAAGTTTGTCTTGAGCAATCTGGTTGGTTGGATGGAAGCACGACTCCACCAGGATCTGCGTATCAAATCTGCCTGCACACTGATCGCGTGCAGTATGCAGTAGACTTACAGTACATCCGATGAGCACTTGGTACTTGGAGCAGCAGGTTGCAAAAGACAGAGATCAGAGCATCCCGAAGACATCATACAAAGTATTCCGATTTGTGATGCAATGCAAGGAAGAAGGTGTAGCTTTGAATCCCAGCGGAAGAATCATCGAAACATCTGCTGATATGTCAATGTAGTTGTATAAAATTGCTAGCTAGCATACCTAGCGATACACATGTCAACTAAGGGACTCTGTTGAAACACCGATTGCTTATGCATTTCATTGGCTTTTCATCTCACCGGGTGGAATACCTACCGTACTTCGCAGCCAGGTGCTGACCAGCCCATTGTAGTCCGGCGGCCTGGGGGTCCTGGATCCTTTGTGAGCTCTGCAGCTAGGGATCTCTGGTCTCTGGGGATACCTTGGGACACCGTGAGGGATATGTGGAGAATTTTGATGACAATTCAAGTGGCATCAAGTGGCATCAAGTGGCTCTGGCCGAGGAGCCCTGGGAACTGGAAGATGCTTGGTGATCCCACCCAGGCCGATGCGGGACTAGTTCCACTCAAGCCCTAATTTTCGCCTTGTCTCAATGACAACGTCAAGAGACAACGTAAAGGGACAATGTTAAATTCATAATAATGAACAATTTGAGCTGGATGAGGCGTGTGACAGATCCTGTACATGTCAACAGATTTCAGTGGGCTGTTTTTTTTTTTTCCCCCAGGGGACTTCACGGGAAGATCTAGTTTAGTGTTGAAAACGCATTCGAGGCAGAGAACGAGAGCTGACATAGCGCAAAATTTGTGCAAACAATTCGACTGTGTGCCCAAGAAACTTGGCTTTGCACACTTCAATATCCCTCAGAAGTTTCCTGATTCTTCCACAACTAAAGCCTTCCTTGTCCTTTTCGACAAATACTTCAGGAAACTTTCAGTGCAGATATGATGACGCCTGAAACAGACATTGGGTCAGACTGAAACGACAGTTTCACGTCTCCCCATTTCTGCTCAGCAGCACCGGGAAAGTTGCCCATTTGCGACCCCATACCACGTCGCAACTTTTGAGCAACCGAGAGGGTCTGGAAACATTTGCTGATTTGCTGATGGGAGGCAACGTGGGAAATGTTCAAGGACACGTTTAGAGATCAATATAGTTGAGAGTCGAGAGTCTTTAGTTGCAGTGTCCAACATAGTGGGAAGGGGTGGGTCTTGAAGCTGATCTTCCATGTCATATCAGGTCAATGGCATAGTTGTGCAATGTGGATCAATGTGGATCAATGTGGATCAATGTGGATCAATGTGGATCAATGTGGATCAATGTGGTGCATAGTTGGAGTTTGACATGTCCGACATGTCCCGGAATCTTCCCCACGGGGTTTCCCCTTGAAGTCTCATTGGTCGTCGCCGATGGCTCTGACATCGCATCGCCGTGTAGCCCGGACGAAGTACCTTCCTGAGGCCAACAGCAAGGCACAGTCAAGGCGTTGATGGTTCTTTTTCTATCTTTTTCTCATGGTGTAGCAGTGTAGCATAACCCCCGAATCACCTTTACAGATCTTTACAGATCTTTACAGGCTGTTGATTTGGGAGAATCTTTGTGAGAATGACACTCTATACTCTGATTGTATGTGAAGGTGCAAAGTCTGATCATGGCATCATGGCTTGCATTCCCAAACAGCATCGATGATGTTAAGAGGTGCCCATCATCCTTCGACCCACTGAGGCCTTTGGTGTGCTTTGGGCAAACCAAGGCGACGACGAGTCACTTTGGATCCATTTTCTGCTTGCGGCTCTCTATCAGTTCGGGACAAACTGTCCTTTTGATCCAACGCAGCCATGACTTTCGATGATTGGATCGTGTAATTGACAGCTGTTTTTTTTGTAACACCAGATTGGTTACAATCAGAGCAGTCAAATGTTTCATGGGCCATGTCCACATAGCCCAGAAATTGTACCATCAGGGCAAGAAACCACTTTTCAAAGTAATTTCCACCACCCAGCATCATAGCTGGACAAGTAATCATTGAAAGGTACTGACAATTTACATCAAATTACTCTGCAATTGTGGTTTTGAAGAATGGCTTGGGTCAACTCTGACCAGGTTTCTATAGCCACATGGCACCTGCCAGGCATGTCCCGGCCGGATTTGCCCATCCTTCCGCTGCGGCAGGATGTTTTACTCAGCACTGGCCTAAAACAGTTGGAGATTTGGGTGATGCATGGAGTGGGTCACTGGCATCATTGGTATATATTGACTGACTGATTGGTCACTGATTAGTTATATTAGTTGATTGATTGGTTGAAGTTGGAAAACATAATTGCTCAACATTGGATGCATGGCGCTAGTCTCAAGTTTGTTGTATGTTTGAATCCTGGAATCCATATTCATAGGTTTGCTGCTCACCATTTGCAGGTTGAGAAGAGCAAGCTAACGTATCATAGCGAGTCTCCGTAAAACGGTCCTTCAAGCCTTTTGGCTGGAATCCCTTCGAAAGCATCCACAGTAATTTGCGATTCTTTCTGTTCACCACTCATGTTTGCTCCTAGCTGTTGTAGGTAAATGATAGCTAATGATAGCTACAAGGGTGGAAGTAGGTGTCTTTGCTTCTTTGTTTTCCCCTCGGATTTTGGGAGCAACTTTATCTTCGTCTTTCTGCGGTCGCAAGAGTCCCGAGGCAATGCCCTGTTCGAAGAGATCGAAGATGGGCTGACAGAGGAGATCGGACAGATTCTCATCCAGAAACTCCAAGCCTACAGCCTACAGCCTAAACAGATTTGCATGAATTTGACAGCGCATGGAATGCATTTGTTAGACTGACAAGTGATTTCTTGAAGGACTTCCTACGAGAATATAGTGGAAACTATGATCTGTCGGAAGTTTCGAGTTTGGAGATTCAGGCCGCTCAACGGAATATTTGGAGGGCTCCAGATCGGCCATGTCAATTTACTTTGCTGCCTTAAGCCTTCGGAGTTTCGGTTTCTTTCTTCCATACAATCACTCACTGGAACAAGACTCCAAGCGTTCATCAAATTACCATGCTCATCGTTTTTTTTGGGGCTTGTTGCATTTTGTCACTTTGTTTGAAACCTGGCCAGGTAGACGCTATTGCCCAACGAGTCTGATTCCAAGTTTCCTTGTGGTTGCATCCGCGTGGCAAAGGGGTCGGTTGGGTTCCCGTGTCTTACTTTGGGTTTGAAAGTTTGACAATCTGGAAATATTCATGAATATTCATCCTTTTCCAGACTTTGAGAAGATTGAATGCTTTTGATGCTGTATGATGCTGTGGAGTGATGCTCTCTGTGGTTTGTTTCCCAGCCGCAAAGCATCGGTGTCGACAGGTTGAATGCCTGGGGGAGCTCCTTCCAAATCTGAATCAGTGTCTTGGAGCATTTGGAGCCGTCGTAGATCCCATCTGTTTGGCTGGGCATAGGATGATTAGGATGATAGATGTTTAAGGACACAGTGTGACACAGTGTTCTACTCGGACAAGAAGTTGCCTCGGGCTGATCAGGATGCGCCTTAGTGGGTCACATCTGTGCCAAGCTCTCAGCGTCAAACTGGTGGACTCAGCACCATCTCATCTATGGAGGGGGCTGCCGCTAACCATTTGATCATGAAAGAGACGTGCAACCTCAAGTCTTAAGAGTGTCCTGGATGATCTTGGAGACCTTAGCATCAGTTCCTCTAGTCACATGATGCCAATTATGATTCGGAGAGGTTTGGAACACAATCTTTCAACACCGTCCTGCAGTCCTTCACAGTCCTCCCTTTACAGCGTGAGGCACTGTGCGTGACCTTGGCACTGGCCTGCAGAATCTCAAGGTTTGGTCCCCCGGGCTACCAGTGGTTTTCAGGCGTTGTTTCGAGATGGACTTGGAGAATTCTTGAAGTCCTTTTTGTCAAGCACACATAAGTCACATAAGCACACTCTTTTGTCAAGTTGTCGATTGAAAGTGCATCTTTTTCCATATTTTATCGGCACGACGCGGGGACTCTGCCGAGGTTCTGTGGCTTTGTAGGTGCTTCGTTCAGGACCAGGGTCCCCCGTGGGTGCAGTGATGTGGGAAGCTTCAGCTGTGTAGCGCCAGGACCTTGGGGGCATCACAGCACTGCCCGTCTTAGAGGAGCTGACGACACCAGTGGATTGCAGGGCTTCATGGTGCTATGATGTGCTATGTATGCTATGTGTGGGATGCGACAGGAACTCTATGTGTCCTTCAATGACATCAAGGATTTGAGTCCTTTGTTGGCACATGAGGCCTCCAAGCTTGCTGGCTGGTGGGTTTCTAGCCATGATGAACTCCCAAGTTCAGTAAGGCCTGTTGTCACCCAGAGCTTCATGGGAGACCAACTTCACTCTCCTCTGCTCAAGAAAATCTTTCTTGCTGCACTGCCTGCTGAGTACTGTAGTTGTTGTCACCTCATTTTTTCATGGAATTATGACATACACACATGTACAGTATATATATAATATAAAAACATGTATAATGTAAATTTATATAGCACATTATAAAAATAAATTGTCCATCTTGTCCTATCCATTGACCGATCTTTTTTCGCCCGCAGACTCTGCAGATCCTGGACCTGGAAGGAAATCTGGTGGACGACCTCGATGAAGTCACGTCTCTTGAGGTCATCGGCTGAGACCATTTCGGCGGTATCTGTACCATATCGGTAAACGTTTACAAAAAGCTATTGAAAATCAGAAAATCATTGAAAGATCCACCATTTTGAATGGAAAAATCAACTATTTCGACTAAAGATCCAGCATTTTGAATGGAAAAATCAACTATAAAACCGACTGGGCCATGGCTTCAAATGGGGAACTGTTAGTTTACTCTAGAGGGTATCTGTCGCTAGTGGAGCTCAACCTTTTTTAAGTCAGTGATCAAGTTTGGAGATCTGAGGATTAGGACATGGAACCCATGGCCACTCTGGAAACCACCATTTTTCCCATTGGAGTGAGCCATATGGGGGGGACATCCACCATTTTCAGACCCAAAGAGCTGTGGCACTATACATATCATCTCCTACTAAACCCTATTAAAATCCATTTAGATCCCATGAAATCACCTCAAAATCCAATGAATCCGGCTAAAATCCAATTGAATCCCGTTAAAACATGGTAAAACCCAATTAAAATCCTATAACCCCCCGTTCAAATCGCTTGAAAATTCCAGGAAAAATCCCTTATTAAACTCCCATGATTTCTTTAGTCATCCCCTCACCCAAAGCATCGCAAGACAGGCAGTGGCCACCTTGCGAGAGTTAGATCTTAGCTCCAGATCCCAGTGACCGAAATTGCCGGGCTTAGAATAAGCCACATGATCCTCTGGTAATCCATTGTGGAAAATCCGCGATTTACGGTGCTTTTTAGATGTTTTAATGGGGAAATCCTCGAACCAAACTGGGAATTTCCAGCAATCCATGTTTGATTAGAGGGTGTTGTTATGAATGTTATGATTAGTGAATTAGTGAATTAGTGACTATTAGTGACTATTAGTGACTATTAGTGACATTGTCACCGGTGTCTCACATATCCTGACTTTATCCCGATGGCCGCCCGATGGCTCAGGTTCAAATCCCGTCCTGAAGCTTCCAGGGGTGACGCGGGAATGCATCCTGGAGGCCTCGCAGCCACAGCTGCTGTTTTTCTTCAAAGATTACTCACTTAGTAATCAAGGGAGTCAACAATGATGATCTTCATTTGCATCAGTCCTGAGTCATGTGGCTGATGCGAGGCACTTCCTCAGATTGAAGTCTTGGATAGCCTCCCACGATACGAGGCCCAGAGCACCGCTTGTGGAGCTTGTGCTGTGTCCATGGTGCGCGACATTTAGATCTGTGTCTCTGAGCCATTTTGAGCCTTGGAAATCGGGAGGTCAATAAGGTCAATGCATTTTGAGAGTGCCAGATCGGCAAAGCAACAGATTTACAAAGCGCCTAGCTCCTGATAGCATATGGACATCCATATGCATTGTGACCTCCGAAGCAACGTGGATACCTGGGAACGCAATTGACCTCCCAAAACAGAGCTTGTTTCATTGTAATCTAAACTGATAGTGCGGGGCCATCGTTTCGTCCAGCTGTGGACATTTTAAAAAACGATTCTGTCTGATTCTGCGACCTCAAAGTTTTGCAAAAATACAGAAGTGACGATAGTCCATGCCATTTTTCTATGCAACAAACCAATGATATCCTATGGTACACAGCTCCATGGGCTGGATGAGCTGGGGAGCTGTGGCGCCTGACGCTCGCGGTGAAGCCCAAGGTGGCTTGGGGTGGTGGGTTTGATGAGCTCGATGTGATGGAAAAAATCGTGGATTTTATGGAACAACATGTTATATCATGTTATTGTATATATAATCAATAAATATATTTTTGATATAATGGATTGTAGATGTTACAACATCTTACAACATCTTACAACTATTTATGGAAAATTATGGACATACATTGATGGTGCATGATGGGGCCTTATATAGCATAGCCGATTTTTTGGCAGTAAAAGACACACAAACACATAGTTTGTGTTCGAATTGGTGGACTTGACGAATTTGATGAGGTTGATTTGGAGGGATATTTTGGGTCGCGGTTTCTGGTTGGTTGATGATGGTTGATGATTGATGATCAGAGTAATGGTTGGTGGTTGTTGCTTGCAGATTGGTGGTTGATGCTCAGAGTTGTGTTTAGTGGATTTTGACCACTTTAGCCTTTAGCTGCATGCTCAGTCAAGACATGCTGGAAGTCCTCTGTCATTGTCTGTCATTTTGCATCCTTGCTTTTTGACTTGCGATGACACATTGCCCTTTTTGACAGGAAACCAGACTTCTCAGGAGGTATCTAGAGGGTATCAGCAAAACTCAGAGAACTTCAGTGAATGGCCCAGGCACAGGTGGTTTTAACATGTTTTAACATGTTTTCAGCTGTTCTGACTCCGTTTGAGGTCGCCTTGGCCCTTTCTCCCGAGATGTCCCACCTCTGCAGCCGGGTGGACACACCAGCCTCTGCGCCTCGCCCTTGTGCGAGGCGCCATTGCCAAGCATGTGCGATGAACATTTGGAGAGCAACCAAGTTTTGTGCTTGCTGGCCAAAAAATGTGCCAAAAGGTCTCTATCGGCCCAGTACAGTTTGGAACATAGGTGTTACTTTCACTTGCATGGACGAGTCTTGTGAAATTCCATGAAGTTCCTTTTGACCCCAGAGTGTTGCTTTTCATCAAAGAGCTGCAGCTTTGAGCTCAAACGACCGGTCGAAAATCCTCGACCTTATGACATCCGTGTCATCCATGATTTCGTGGTACCTTCTTAGTGTTCTATGCATTCTCGGACCTGCGGAAAGATATGCTGAGATAACTTGTGATGAAGACGACTCGGGCTCGGGAGCCGTTTCTGATGCATCACTGCTACAGATGAACTTGAAGCTCAACTCTTTGCCGCCGGCGTGCCGCATTTGGCAACACACATACATCCTGAACGCCCCTTGTGAACATTTCGGACTTGGCCAAGCAGCGGGATTTTTAGTGAGCGGCGCAAGCCGAAGTGGCTCACGCTTTCTCTCAAGGCTTTTTCAAGGCCTTGGAATGAATGTGAGCGATCACTCTGACTCAGCGCGTGGTGCAGATGGGGCTGTAAGTTGGGTACATGGATTGCATCGCTCCAGCTGCACGGTACCCAGTTGGCAGAGCCCCAGATTCTTCTCCAAGGCATTTCTGCTTCTTCGGGATCCACTCAAACAGATCCCTTCGAGGGCCAGGAGCATCAGGAGCACGGAGGATTTCGACTGGTTGGAGTTTGCTCGTTGTGCTGCAGACTTTGGGCAGCCATCAACGACCGCAACGGCTGACGATCGATTGCGCCTGGCGCTCAAACACTATGTCCTCCAGAACAGTTTTGTGGAGAAGTATGCGGAGAAGTCCTTCTGGGTGGAAGACATTGACGCACATCACCCAGCTACTTTGGACATCATCCATGAGATTTGTGAAGAGTTTGGTTCCACACAAGCCCATTGTGACGATGTGAAGCTACGGCAGCTGATCTCAGGCTCCTTGCCGATCGGCCATTTGCTGATCCCAGGTGTGAAGTGGAGCCAGTTGCAAGCCATCGATCGGCCATTTGCCGCAATGGCTCAGTCCCTGACCCGAAGACATGGCAAGCAACTTTCTGTGAACGACCAACTCCCGGAGGTTCCCTGGGGGTTTCACTGTGACTTCGTAAACGACCTGTGGTCATGTGCACTTCCTTCAGAAGCAGAGTCGCTACTGGACAGGAGCTTCAGCTTAGAGGATATGATGCGTTCAAAAGATACCGCACTTTGCGCCGAGCAACTACCGCCTTTGAATGGGAGCATGGTTCTGTCGGTGTCAGTGGCGCGAGCAGGGTCTGAGACACTCAGCAGAATGCTGGGATCTACTGGCCTCCATTTGCACGATCATCAATGCAATGCGCACACATTGCTGGAGCATGGGGCTGGGCATGTGATAGTCAGCCTCAGACATCCGGTATCTCGAATCGTGTCTGGACTGCAGTGGCACGCGCATGGAGACATATCTCAATCTGTTTCAGCCGATGCCGGCGACGAAGCTGAACGTAGTGACTTAGGTCACCTGTCCGGGACGGCCTATGCTCTTCAGGGAGCGGTGTTTTCTTTTGATGAATTCAACCACAGCTATGTGGATGCTCTGCGGAACATTTCAGATCCCAACCACCGTGTAGCCATGGACGTGCAGTACCGGCCTTACAGCAACAACATTTTCATTCCTGTGGTCGACTTCTACATGAAGGGAATCACCAACGAGGAGCTCAAACGTTTGAGCTTCGTGTGCACCTGCACGCTGAAAGAAGACATGGACAGGGTCTCCCAGAAACTGAACCTCAATCTGGACACAGAAATTCTCTCCCATGAATCTGCATCGAGTAGCGATGATCCTGAAGTCCAGCGGCAATGGTTGTCGCAGAGAAACATCGACTGGATTCGGGAGATCTATGCTGAGGACGAGGCATTTTACCTTGAACATTGCAGCCACTGTGAGTCCACCCAAGCCGCATGAAATGTAACGGGCAGCGAGGAAGTGATGGAAGCAAAAAGGTGTTTGATTGCCAAGCAGTGGGCCAAGATGGGCCAAGTATGATTTCAAATTTGCAGGAGTCTTCAATCTTTGCACTGGAGGGAAGGACATAGTTTTGACAATTACATCGCGCACCTTCCGATCAGTCCAGCATGATTCCCGATTAGCCCAAGGCCCAGGAATAAGAGGAATTTAGAGAAATAAACAGCTTGAGCCGTGTGGAAGCCAAACTTTCTGCTAGGTACTCGCAACAGCACTAGCGCATCTTCCAAACTTTTGCTCTACGTTGGGGAGCAATTGTTGCGCTTTGGGACTGGTGTGTTGGCGTCCAATGAGCTCCTTGGGCCAAAAGAACTGGGCAGGTTTGTTTATTTCGAGTGAGAATTCCTTTAGATCAATGATGATCAATGTGGAAAACGGGTACATCTACGCTTCTTATACAGCTTGGCAAAGTGTTACTTCAACGGCTGGGTTTGATAAGAAAGCCGACTCTCTTTGGGGGGTGGCCCGGGCGCGGGCCACAGGCTGGGGCAGAGTGCTTTGACCTGGGCCACAGAGTATGGCATGGAGGACGTCCTGGCCTTGTTGTTGCGGGCCTGCGAGTTGGCAGATGTTCAACAGGCCCGAATCATGGTATATTGATGTTGGTTGACTGAGGATCTTCGGATATGGATACTGTATCCTTTTTCTGAGAAGCTTCACCATCCTTTCCCCAACAAACATGAGCTAGATGAGTTGCAGTCACAGAAAGCCTCCAGAGACTTTTGTTCAAAGATATTTGGAGCATGCTCGGATCATTTTTCATCCCTGTCCAGCCTTCATGCCGTTTGATGAAAATAGCAACATCATGCAACATCATGCAACATCCATGAAAATCCATCAGTCCATCATCATCTCCTGTCCAGGTGGAGCAGAATGGCTGGTACCCATTGTTTCGCGCTGCTTGGAGCGGTCGCAGCACCTGTGCTCGGCTGCTGCTGGCTGCGGGTGCAGACGTGGAAGGCCCACCAGGTGCCGGGAGCCGCTACTCGCCGCTGATGTGTGCAGCGCGCTGGGGACACCTGGAGGTGCTGATCTTCCGAAGCTTCCTCACGAATATCCGGTGATATCCGGATACAGCTCAATTCATGACTTGTTTGGATTTGTTTGTATTCATAATATAACATATCCTATTGTGACTTTATTGCTTATTAATGTTACGAAGGTATAGATGAAACAATCGATAAGAGACACATGTGTTGTTGAGGGAATCTGAACACTTTCAATCAGACATTTTAGCGGACAGGTTGTGAAAGTACTCCTGGAAGCATCTGCAGATACCAAACGGCGGAACCGTTTTGGAGAGGACAACATGCGAGCTTGGGCATGGTGCGGACTGCTGGCCTAACATGGTAGAGTGGTAGAGGGAGGATTCTTCCTAGAAAGCGAGAATAACAAGACAGGTCTTAAGGTCATTTCCTCTTCTGCTATGTGTTGTAAAGAAAGCTCTGTTGATATCATCTATTCGCATGTTTTTGAGGCCCCTAAGATGTGCAAGCCACGTCAACATAGAGCAAGCTGCTTTCAAAATTCTCGGCCAACACTTGGGAAGCATTGTCTAGAGTCTTGACAGGTTGACTGCTTAAAATTCTTAGCTGAACTTCTGCGAAATCTAACTTCAGGACGCCATGATGCTGGCGAAGGGTCAAGGACACTGGGAGGCCACGGCATGCGATTTGATGTAAACTCTGTTGCTGATTAGATGCGTTCGAAAACTGCGTCTTTTCAGCACTGGACAGTCTGAGTTTGAAGGGAAACTATGCTCGTTTCGGAAGCATCTCTCAGTTGCCAGTTTGCGAAGTTCTCACCATGTTTGAAAAAACATCCTTCAGCCCTTGCAGATCTTGCATCTGCGAGATTGAACTGATGATAAAGGTTCAAATTCTATATATCCTCAATCCATCTCAATCCTCCATCAGACTCACATTCTTCACTCCAAGCATTGCATGGTCCAGGTGTGGCGCTGGCTACAAACTGCTGGAGCAGATGAACCCGTGGGTTCGCCTTCAAGTGGCCAACGGAAGGAAGAGGTCACAGTTGCAAGCTGGGCCCACTGTGGGGGTTCATCAGAAATGGTAGCTGAAAAGTGGTTCTTGTGGCGATTATCGTTGACAAATAGGCAATGATGATGCTTCCCTCTTTGGATTAATCCTTTGTATATAAATTTGATTTGTGGTTACAGGTGTTACAGGCCTTTATGAATCCCTGAAGGGCTTCCAATGAACCGACATCCGCAGCTTTATTTGGAGCGTTCTGTCCTTTGCGGGCCAACTACTTCCATGGTACTTCTATCCCTTTAGTGTTGAGTACAGGTATACTTGCACCACAAGCTGAGCTTTTCTGTCAACAGATGGACCGGCTTCCATAGAAGATAGCAAGATCCTTTCCGTGATAGTGTCAAGCGAGAAGCTACAGCTGGAAAAGGCTAACTTTGTTGTCAGATAGTCAGACATTCGCTTTCATGCCACTTTCTTTGGTTGATCAAATTGCGTCTCTCAAGACGATGTTGGCCAGGAATGGCGCACTTCCACCAGTGCGCGACGGACCTTGGGTCATGGTTGGATTGCTTTGGGTACTGATTTCTACCTCGACAAAGAATCTTGCCTGAGGCTCAGGAAGATGAAGTACATAGGTAATCCATGGTAATGTAGTGTAGATGTTGATGGAGTATGATATGGTATGATTGATGGGATTTGGAGAGTGCCTAGACATGGCAGCAAAGTTTGAAGGAATGTTTTCGTGGGTCCATGTCTGCCACTGTTGAGGCGACTATTGGGAAACTGTGCAGAGCATGGCAACACAGTTCTCGCACTTCTAAGGTAAATACTTGGCAAGAAGTTTGAATTCTTGCCACTGCGGTCACAGATTCTCAAAACGGGGTCTTTCTATTTGAATCTTAGCACTTGCATCTGAAAGCCTAGCTCAGCCTGCCTCTGATATGCTAAGGAGGTGGCAAGCCAGAGACAAAAAGGTGAACAGAAAACTGCGGATCCACTCTTGCACCTCCCTGGGTAGATTTTCCAGTCTCCTCACGATAAAATGCAGTACTACTTGATTTCCAACCAGCGCAATGTGCATCAAACCAAGTCAATGTGAATCTCGAGATTGAGGGGTTCTTGCTGCTTGTGCTGCTTATGCAAATCTGATATCTACTTTAGATCAGCTAATTTAGCCGTTTGTGCAAGCTTTGTAAGACCTGGTGATCCACGACACATTTGCCTATTCCATGCGTGCGGGCCATTTGCACTGCTCCAGTATCAAAACCACCGCAGGATTTAAACGCTCAAGACAGCTTCAAAGAATTTGCTTTCCTCAGGTCTCTTGGCCCGTGATGTTGATGTCAAAATCTCAAGGCAGAAGGCTTCGAGCTATGCTTTGCTTTGCGTTTCTGCTACTGGTTGCCTGGGTCAGAGCGACTTTCCCTCACTATGGTTCCGCACTGTGCTTCTCTAGCCAATTTATAACGGGCGGTGCGTCTTCACATACTTTCAGGGCACAGAAGTTGAGAACTACGGTGGAGGCTGGTGAGAACCAAGTAGGTCAGCAGATCTGGTGGGTGAAGATGAACAACTACCAGCAACAAGTCTGGGCGCTGTCAAACGCACTGGCGGGTCTTCTAAGGGACAGCGAAGCATCAAAGTTCCCAGCAACATTACGGGCTAAGACCATGGAATTGCAACAAAGCTGCAATGGGCTGGAGCAATACATTTCCACATCGACCTCTCGGATTCAGTGGCTTCGCTTTGTTTTGCCAGTCTTTTTCATGTCAATTTTAGTGCTTTTAAGCTGTTAGGCATATATATATATATAGAGTTTAAATTAAATCAATGTAGATGAACCTCTGCAGACAGTTGACTTTTCGAGCTGTAGAGAACCAACAGCAAGGAAAGATGTTCGAGATTGCGTGGAAGATCTTCAGGACATTGTTCCTTCCAGTCAACAGCCAGCGAGGCTTTGCAGAAAACTGGCAAGCGTAGAGGATTATCTCCTTAGCATTCGACAACTCTTACAGACTCAGGAGTCACGCGCCCAAGACTTGGAGTATGACATCCAATCTCTTGAGGATGACTTTTCGTCCTTACAAAGGGAGACAGCTGAAACGAGCAAAGGTTACGAACTCGGTGTCAAGGTCTTCGCCGTTTGTGCCGTGGTGGCCTTTGCCGCTGTGGCCTTGCCAGCCATAGCGGGCTCTGCAGCAGTGGCTGAAGGGGCTGCCGCAGGCGCTGCCTTGACTGCGGGTTCTGCAGCTGAAGGGGCTGTGGTAGCTGCTGGAACTGCTGCAGTGGCCGAAGGAGCTGCTGTAGCCGGAACAGCTGCTACGGCAGCAGTGGAAGGAGCTGCTGCTGCCAGTATTAGCGCTGAAGCAGTTGCGATCCTTTCCGGTGGAGCAGCACTGGCACTCAAAGGTGGTGCAGATGGCTGCCAGCAGTTGGTGGAATTTCTGGATCGCCAACAGCGATCGGTGTCTGAACATCGTGGATTTGTGAGGCAGCTCCAGACTGAAATCGATGTGATCAAGGACGACATTTCGAATCTTCATCGGCGACTGGAACATGCTACGGATGCCTTGAAAGATGACGACGTGGATGATGCCACCAAGATCGTTGGCCGCCTGGCTGAGCGACTGGGGGAACTCGTCTAAAGCAAGCGTGGAGTTTCACACACGCGGTTTCACGCGCGACAGTGACAGTGGGCCGGAAATCGAGTTGTCAAGTGTTTCTTGTGTGTGTGTGTGGCACAGGCTTTTGACAGAAGAGTTGCTGAAGTACAAACACTCACGTTCTGCCCAATTTGCCAGGATTTCTCAAATATGGTTTGCTATAGTTAAGTCTCTTCCTGGGAAATTTGCTCACCGCTGTTGTTGACCCAACCCATCAACTCCGTTTCGAAGTCCCTTACTCATTCAATCGACTCATATGATATCATGAGCTAAACTGCTTTATGCCGTATGCGTTGCGTTATTCCAGGAAGAGATGCGCATCAACTGCTTCGTATGGGACAAGATGGGATAAGCTTTTCAGATCATTGAAAAAAGAAAAGATGAAGTATGATGAAGTACTTTGCGCAGGGCCAAATAGAGTGTGTATGCGTTATTCGTGGTGCCGGGAAGTTCGGAATCGTGGTGGGTGCAGCTGTTCAGATCTCACCGAAGTTGCAGGCCACCACAGCCACCAGCTGTGTGGAGATCAGTGACTGCGAGGAAGCAGCGATGGAACTCAGTTCTGAGGAGGACAAGGTGCCGACAGATCTGACGGCGGAACTCAGTGGGTTGATGTGGGTTGGATGGATGAAAGGTAATTGGAGACTCAATAGATCTCAATAGACCCAAAGAGATGCTTTCAAGTTCCTGATTGGAAGATCAACACGTGCTTGTCAAATTGTATCATTTAGAAGGGCACTAGGTGAGTGCAACTATCCAGATGGCGACGCACTTGGTCCCGCAGGAGCGTGAAGCCCGAAATGAGGATATCTCGAGACAAAGCCTTAGCACTGCCTGAGCTGCCGCTACGATCGACTAGTGCTGTCAATGCTGACATGATGTCTATAGCCGGACACCGTTGCCACATACCTGGGCACAAAACACACAATCTGAAGTGGCTCAATTTTCACTCGTTTGACAAGCCAACTGAAGTTATGCTCCACACCCGTCCAGTGTGAAGGTGTGCATGTCTCCTACTGCAGACGTCGCAGCTATGCCAAGGTGTCTCGCAACTCCTGAAGGAGGCAGCAACGGCATGGCAGGATCAGAGCAACATGTTTGCGACATTTTGCGACGACGTGTGACGATAAGTGCTCTGAAATTTGGTTGCGCTCTCCATGCTGCCTACTTTCTTCGCCAGTCTAAGCCTTAAGGAATCAAGGAATTCCAAACAGAAGGTCTGAACTGTCTGAACTACTGAGTTTCCCTAAGAGTTTCCCTTTTCCACTTCCTTAAGCTTTGCTGCGTTGTGAACCCAACTGGGACAGTTGGTATTGCATCTTTGCAGGTGCAGACTCCTAGCCACCAGCACTTTTTTATTGGTGAAGAGGCACTGGATGTGATGGGACATCAACGAACTAATGGTTCACCAAAAAGATATCCACAGATATCCAAATATGTGTTCTATATAGATTGTTCTAGTTCTTGCCCTTCTTACTTCCTGAAGCTGTGGCAGTTCGCTGAGAAGATTTGCAGGTTCGAAGTGGAATTGGAAAGCATCGCTTCATTATCCATATAGTTTATGTAATTAGATCTTCTGGTCGTTTGATCAAGCTTACACAGAAATCAAACATTTACCAAGACACAGCGGCCTTCGCTTTGCTGGTTCTGCGTTGTCAAGGTGGAAGACAACGCCCAGCAGTTCTACATCGGTGAAGAGGTCGTACTGCTGATTGGATTCTAAGTATTTCGTAGGAACCATGAACGACACGACGTGGACACTCTCGTTCAGCATGCTTTCATCATTGTTCGCTCATGCACTTCCCTCCTCAAGGTGCCACGATTCACTTGGGGGCATCAAGTCCTGCCTTCATTTCAATTCTAATTCTGCTTCGCGAACATTGCCATAGATTTCAGTCAACCAAATTCGGTTTTAGGCAGCAAGTCACCGGAATTTCAAGATGAGTTTTATGAAGTTTTTGGCTTCCAGGGGATGCCAGTCGCGCGTCGTGGTTTGGTCGAAGACGAGAGCGGTGTTGGTCTCAAGGAATCTCAAAACGCTTCAGCGTTTTGAGACATCTTTGATCGGAACTCTCCGAAAAGAAAATCATGTTCAACTGACTTCAACGAGTCCTTTAGTAGATTTTGAACCGAAAGGGTCCTTGGCCCAAGAATTGAAACCTTGTAACAACATGTATCATATGCAACTTGTACGAAAATATACAAAAACAGCACGTTCAACCTGATGTTCTTACGGTGCTCAGACTGGTTTTGGACAAGGCGACAGAGCGCTCCAGCAACTCCGCCAGCGTGCTGGAGGGGTGCAGTCCTCAATGGGGTCGATTACCCTTTGGCAATCCAACCCGGCAAAATGAGGCAAAATGATGCAAAATGCATTTTCAATCGGAACATACAACTGTTCATTGCCAGATATTGCCAGCTGCTGGATTACCATGATTACCAGAGGCTATTCGATCTTGAACAAACATGAACAAACGATAAAAGCAATTAGTATGCGACAGCATGCTACAGTGATCAGCAATCACTGGAGTTGCCAGGTCAGCAAAGTCTCTGTGGACAAGACTCAGGTGGGGTTGTCGAAAATTCCGGAGCGCCTCGCGGGTGCTATTCATGCTGTGATCGGATTTCTGCAGCTACCATCTCCCGAGTCGCAGTCACAGTGCGTCAGAGTGGACATCCGACACTACCCTGGAGGTTCAGCCAATTGTTGCCGTGGGAAGCTTAGATTAGTATGACACTGGGGTTTGGCGGAGGCTATTTTGAGATGGTTTTGTGTGTGTGTGTGTGCGTGCATTCACACACCTTTGACATCCTGTGGAAGTTTTGCTTGCAAACGTGCGCCCAGTTTCATGATTTCGCCTCAGGCCACACCTTGTTTGAGTTTCGCATGGTGATGCAACCCTCCAACCCTCCATCCAGCAGATCATTCGATGATCCTGCTTTCGGCAGGAGGATGGCCTGAGCGCAGTAGACACCTTCCGGGAGAGCGCGGCAGGGGGCCTCAAAATTATTTGGACGGAGGAGTGCTAGTGCTGCTAGTGCTGCTAGTGGTGGAATGATGCGCTTCAAGCAGTTTGGAGTGACTTAGTGAGCTGAAAATAAATTGATTGTACGTCGATTTCGGTTGGGTTTACTCGTATTTGGGTAGCTTGAATTCCAAGATGTTCTTTCAACAGTTTTCACTTTCTCGGCCTTTGCTGCCTTTGCAAAGAGACCCTCTTCGTTCTCACCATGATGTAGTTGATGATGAGCCACCACCTTTCTGATCTTTCTGAACAGTGGGGTTGCACGGCGCCTGTGACTCACTGTGTGACTTTTCTTGAACTTCCGCAGCCGCGAGACCCTGCAAGAAGGATGGCAGCCACCAGGGGTTCACATCGTGAGAAACCCAGCGGATCATCGCCACTGTCGAGGCAAAGGCAACTGCTTCCCCAAGAGATGATGGAGAGGAGAAGGCAAGGCTTCAGAGGCTTTGCCTTGGCCTTGCTGAGTGCAAAACCTTCATTGCCGATAGGGGACGACTCTATACCGATACCCCTGTTTTGCATGAGTTGCCTCAAAGTCTGAGAATGCAGAAATCCTCACTACCAATAGGGGGTTGACCATAATTTGTGCATTACATGAAAATGACCACTTTTTGTCCACTATTCTTATGACACGCTTCAAGTCCAAAGCGTAGCATTGTGACATAGTCACGCCATAGTCAAAGACCTCCAAACCCAACAATGGATGTATTGAATTGTATTGATACATGGGAATGGGTCAAAACCCTGGTACCTAGTGAACCCCAAAATAGCTGGTAAATGGATGTTCATCCCACTAAAAATGTATCTATAGGTATTGACCCATACCCACATGATGATAGATGATGATACATTGATACATCCTGCTGAAACAGACACCAAACCACGTGTCCAATTACTTCGCTGCCAGATGCCACGTGGGCCAACAGAACAGGCCGATTGGCTGATTGGGTCGAGGAAATAAACATGCAGATTCTATCACAATTCTCCAGTGCCTCGTGCTAGAAGTTGTTAGTCCCCTCAGCGTGTAGTACTGCAGACTGAACATCGGACTCGCCGACACTTGGATTATCCATGATTATCCCAGATGCCACAATACTTGCGCCACTGTTAGATTTGAAGGAACCCAAATCAAAAATTCCCGCTGAAATCTTCAGTTCTGGAACCTAGGAGTCACACCTTTGTCTCATATGCTTCAGATCGGTCAAATCTTGCATGTGGATCAAGCATACGGATTTCATGAGCAGAAACTATTGAGGTCATAGTGAGATGATGTTGAAACTGTTGAAACGTTCAAGATTCACCCAACTGCTGGTCAAGTGAGCTGGCTCTTTGTTTTACCTGACAAATTCTTTTGAACCTGAAGCAGAATTGTTGATGATGTTTAGGGTGACAAGTTGAAGGAAGGTCAGCGTTCACTGACAAAGTTGCAAGAAACCTTTGATCTCATCCACTGCGGTGTCATGGCGGCATCCTCTGATGGGGATCTATGTGTATGGGTCTTCCGAATCTTGATTATTTGCATGGTGCCAGTGCTCTATGGGCCGCTGCTGGGAAACCCACTAATTCAGCCCATGCCAGACAATAGCACAACTGAAGCTACAGACTTTCGAGACGCTTGGCTTCCAGATTTCATGGGACTAGAGGGTAAGCTTGCAATGCATCGGCATATCAAAAGTGAAATCAAGAAGAGAAACTTTGAAGCTCTCAGACTGAAAGATGGCTGAAACACACCTTTTGACACCGCCCTTTGAAGGGGAAAATGATCCGCAAATCCGTTTATTCTCAGCAAAGAACTGTGGCATCCCATTGATTTCACGAAGCCGCGTCACCTGAGACCGTGGTTACGACTACAGTGACTACAGCGAGGGTCTCTGAAGCAACTGAAGCAACCCCAGCCAAAGATCCGCTGGTGACTGCCTACATGCTGTGACTCGACACCTAAAGTATCCCATGGTGCACCTAGTGATGCCTCGGTACCAACCAGGACGTAACCATTCCTGGACCTGTTATTTTGATACACCAATGACAAGGTAGTAGAGATTAGTAGAGCAATCTTGGGCAGAGGTTTTTGGCCCCGCAGCACGCACTTTCAGCTGCAAGATGTGTCCCATTGAATGCACCAAACACATTGGAACATAGAAAACCATGCTTCTGCAGGAGAACATGGACACAATCGTTACTGCAACTTTTGTGAAGGATTTCGACTCTACCAATTCCCTGGTGTCTTTTTGACATCTGACTGAACCTCTTAATAGAGAAGCCTGTCATTTCTCGTTTTCTTCTATCAAATGCCAAACATGCTCAGGTATGAGACAGCCGACATGCTGATGACGATCTACTGGATCTTCTTTTCACAGCTTGTTCTGCAGTTGTATCCTGCAATTTACTTGAAGTTTTCTTTTGTGTTTAATAGTGATTAAACACAAATAAACAGTGGAACTTACCCGGACATCGAAATCCATTTGCTCTACTAATGCCCTGCTATTCGTTTCTATATAGTTACGATTGCTGTCCATGGTTTTTGCGCATAGTGATATATTTAATAGTTGCACCACATTCCAACATATTATAAACGGCAAACCAAAATGACGCCTCTGCCAAGGCTGGCCTTTTCCGTGTTTCTTTCTGTATTTTGTTTGTAACGATCATGCAAAGTTTGTAAACTCATGTAAACTCAATGAACGAGCAGAGAAGCCCAGAATAATCCTGACTTTGTGAACCATCAGAGCCAGATGAAGCCCTGCTTGTTGATTCACCTGAGATCACCTGAGGTTCTACTTGGCTTTGACCTTGGCGGCGCCTGTGATTTGGCCCTGCCGGGCGATTCTTCGTCTTCTGTGTCGCCTTTTCGGCATTTACGATGCTCGGTCGAAGCGAGAGCTGCTGATTGGTCCAGGGCCACACTATTTTTGAAGATTGCTGATGGAAAATCGGATATACCACAGAGAACGTGCTCGGAAAACCGCCGGCTCTAAACACGTACCGTAGCAACCATTTTTGATTTTGCATATACTGTTGCTATTTGAGCGATTTGACTTAATTGCCTTGCGTTTTGGGAGGGCTGAGGAGTCGATCATGATTGTATAATATCATAAGATATCATAAGCGAATTCACAAACTACATGTCAGGTTTCCGAATCAGCCCACCCTTGCCCAAACGGAAGCTTTAACCCCATGGCTTGACGTTGACCTTCAAACCAGATGAGCTTGTGGCGGTGAAAATCCAGATCTCCTCGTGCACACAGTCAATCTTTGAAGACCCAATGTTTCCAATCATTCCACAGGAAAAAAATGTTGCGATGCAAACCTCTGGTTTCCAGCCTTCTTGGATTTAATTAAGAACACGGGCGTTTATTTTGAGCCTATTTCGTATTGATTTGCGAGATACAGAGAATACCAATGCCTTAGATTCGGATTACGTCCTGACGATGCACTTTGCTTTTGAACTGAGAGAATTGAGAGAGAAAAGCGAAGCCACTTTCCGCCATGGCTGTGCTTGTTCTGAGGAAATGGAGAAAGATCTCTGGCGATTGTTGGAAGCGATCTGTCACCAAGTGTTCTTAGCCTTGCAGCTTGTTTTGGATTATTTTCACGAGCCATCTATGTATGTCACAAATCGACTGGTGGACGAGTTCGAAACAATACTTCCATCACAAGCAGGCCGAATCGCTCGGCACCCAGACGACTTGCTGGTCTTCACGCTGTACATCCTGATGTTAGCTGCCTGTGTGTGCTACGTTTTCCACGAGCTGTGGATCTCCTTCCGACGCTTCTTGGCGCGGTCGGTCCGCTGCCGGCGGAAGCGCAACACCGAGCCGCTGCTCTACCGGCAAGAGGTGCCAATGGGGCCCATGGCCGGCCTGGCGATGGCCCCAATGGCCGCCCCTCCAGGCTCCCTGGCGCAGTCGCCTGGGAACCGGCCACGCCCTGCCTGGCTGCCGGAGGATTGGCAAATGGAAAATCTCGAGAAGTCGTCAAAGCCAAGGGCGGCACTGCGAGATCGACAACCCGTCTGCTGCTTTGACCTCTTGGGAGGATTTTAAGTTGTGCGAAAATTGCAGAAACTAGGGATAGCAGATGATAGAAATACGTGACATGTTGACAGTCTCATCGCATGGAAGAGTTCATGCTTGAAGACCTGAGAAGATCAGTCAAAGAAAAGGAACCCAGCACTCCTGGCAAGGCTGGTAGGGAGAGGAGATTGGACGTGTCCCAGTTGATTGGAGTAACATCCAAGGGATACCAAGCTGTAAACTCAGAAACATTGAACGAGTTACTCCATTTGATTTGCCCAAGCCTAACGCACAGGATGGGATTTTGTTTACTGTTTGAAACATGTTGAACGAACAAGGAACAGCTGATTATTTGAGACATGTTTGCATTCAATTATATATCATAAGAATACAGAAACAACATGGTGACATATGGCGACAGCGGACTTTCCATTCAGCAAGAGAACGAACCGCCAGGACTTGGTGATTGAGTCCGTGAAACGTGAACGCTCAGGGTAGGGACGGGATTGGGATTTTTGGCGGAGTTTTGGAGCCGGTTGAAAAATGGTGCCATGGCGTAGTGCCCATTAAAAAAAATGAATGATTTGAAAGCACTACAGTCACTACAGTAGAGGCAGTGTGATGCCAAAAGGTATGGGATTCCAATGGAAAAGGAGCTGTATGCAAGAGTTGCCTGGCAGGGGTTCTTGGACTTCCAGAACGTCAAGATCTTCCAGACAGGTGAGGCTGCTTGATGGCCTATAACAACAATCATGATGGTCACAACTCATAACTCAAACAATAACAGATCATCACTAGCACTTTGTCCATATGATCCATATTATTCCATATTGATCTATATTGGCTGATCTTTGTCCTTATTCTCCTTGACCCTCCTTATGTTGTCGCTTGTGACACATTCATCAATATGATTTGCAGACACAACTGCCTTTTCCACGGACTCAGCCCGACTGCTATGATCAAACTGGACTTGGGCTTCATGAGCTTTTGGTACGGGCAAGAGCTTGTTGGTTATTTGGTGAAACATGGTGAAACTGCAATTACCAGATTTGTCATGATGGACACCGCAAAATCATTCAAATTCCACATTTCGCTTGGCATCTACTTTGGGGTGCTCACGTTCGCAAAGTTGCTCTTTGCAAATCGGTGTTTGACAATCTACACCCACGGATTTTGTTTGTTTCATGGTCAAGTCTCAGGGACCCATGACATATGAATAGAGTGAAAAATGCCAGCTCGATCGAAACCGGGAAACCGGAAGAAGCATTGGAAACACAGAGACCTCAGACACCTCCGACACCTCTACCCTCTGTCCAGCTGCCCAGCTATCCTCCGGTCGAATCTCATGATGACCAGGCTAGTTCACGAAGACCCCACACAGGCTTCTTCCCTGCGAAACGCCAGGCTCGGGTTCTTGGCAGGGCCGGTAGTCGGATGCTCCCACACCGTGTCTCACCTCGTGAGGACAATTCAATAGCAAAAGGATCCAAAAGGTATTTGAAGAAATCTGGCACTGTGTTTTAATTTGCAGGGGACTAGTGTGTCAATCAACTGTCGGTGCCAACATCCAATAGGCTCCAATAAGCTCGACGGTCCAGAACACATTGCTCTTCAGTCATGCTGCAGAGGTCTGGGGCTCTTCATCTGGTGGATCAACATGTGCATCGTCATTGACTAGCAGCAGGCCACCATACCATGCATGGCTGACCCCAGCGCGCGGACAATTTGAGATGTTCAAAATGTTCAAAACCTAATCTTAAGACTCTAGACATGGGATCAGCTGGTAGAGACACGGGGCACTTGATGTACAACTCAATGTACGGTTTCATAGAGTAGTTTCAACACAGGAGTTGTGCTGCGCTCAATAACCTTGGAGAACGGTTCAGAAGTTTTGGTCGTAGCAAGCAAAGCTCTGATAGCTGATAAGTTTGATATTTGATCAAACAAGAATCGATCACTGGGTTGAAGTCAACAAATTTTATTGCACATCTTAGGCGTAGGCACTTTGCAAGACTCCCACATTCATCACAGAAGAACAAATCTTCTGAAACCATTGAGCCGCCATGAGGTCCTTTGTGTCGGCGTTGCTTCCAGTGTGGAACTGAGAGCTCGTAGCCGATGAGCTTTGGCACGTGGACTTTGAAACGGAGAGAGCACCTGTGGTTATTATATTATCACGATAGTGTTATATTATAATGTTGCTGCTCTTTGTTAGTTTCTTGCTGCTGGTGGTGTTCTGCTTCATGAGGGCAAACCTGATGGCTTTGCCTCTGACCTTACTGTTGGAGAAGATGGCATGGCTTTGGCAGGGTGACTTTGACGCAAATGGGGCTGGAGATGCCTGGCCAGATGTTATGCGGCAGAATCACATTCAATCCCCAGTTGCAAGTTGCAAGTGGTGGAGCACGAATCTTGCAGTTTATCATAGTTTATCCATGAGGAGCCACAGCGATGATCCTGGAATCTGATATAATAGTTGAAGAAAGGTACATTAAAATTCTGAAGCCATCGAGATTCTCTGTACCATATGGGGACTCCCATGTTTCCAGTAATCTGTTTCTAGGTTCTTCAACAGTACTTCATATGATTCATATGGGCATACGGGAGCTTTTAGATCTGGGAATTTGACATATTTTCACAGGAATCCGCTGGCTGCCATCCGAAGACGACGACGCACCAACCATGAGCGCGGAGAGGTGAAGCTACTTGTTTTGCCGCAAAAAAACAGCTGGAACATGAGGGATGATGATGGGACAGATGACATATGGAAAATCATATACTGTAGAAATTTCGAACAGGACACAAGTAGTATAAAATGGTGTAAAGGGATTTCATAAATCAGAATGATACACCAATTTGTGGCCACAAAAGAAGGGCATAATGTGATGAACCCGTGGATGTGGGGGTGATTATATATATATACATATATATATATATATCCCATTTCTGGGCACCCATATGGGGCAATTCTGGGCAGTCATAGTTTAGGTTGCAGATGTTGGCAATCACTCTCACATACTCTCACCAGGTGTGACGAAATGGAGATACTCTAAGCAATGCTGTTTGAAATGCATGTTTCTCCATAGCTACCCTCGCATATTCGCTAGATGTTTTGATGGTGGACTTGCAAGCATCCTCAAAGTTCCATGCACATCTTGGTGCATCCAGACAAGTCGGCTGGAAGAAATGAGTCATCATTTTCATGATGTCCTTGGCTTCCATTGAGACATTATGAGACATTATGAGACATTGATATTTGTTTCATACATCTTTGTTGTGTCAGTTGCGGTCTCCGTTACTGTCAGTTGATGTGCTGTCCTGCTGTGCAGGACGAGATGGACATTCGGGATCTCCTCCGTCGCTTTGAAGCAGGAGTTGGCCAGGAGGACTGAGCCGGATCCAATTTCCGGGTCGATCCAAGTTGTCGTCCTTAAAAAACTACTCTTCTCGAAACTGTACTTAAAGATCTTAAAAACTCAAAGTGTAACTTGAGCACGGAGCTTGTTGGTTCTTGGGATTCATCTATAAATCATTTATAAATCATCTGTCTTGTAAATTGAAGTGTTTCCCTTGGTCCATCTTGGTCCCAAGACCCCCCGCAACTGCAGGAAGCTCCACAAGTTGCTGTGGAGTCTCAGAGTCGACCAGCTACTTCAGATGTCACATGGCTAATTTGTGTGAAAAGGGTGCGTCAAATTTGACTTAAGATATGCAGCAAATTGCAGCAATACTCCGTTGCTCATGGGAAGTTTTTCTTATCCTAGATTTGTCCTTGCTCTTCCGAGTTTCCGAGCATCGAGTAGCAACCTCATGGCCATCAAACCTGAAGATGTTCAGATCCAGGATTTTTGTCTTTTTGAAGAGCCCAGGTTCGCATCAGATGTCGGCCACAATCTGCATCAAGTCCGAATCCCTGGGCAAATCTGGATATGATTGCATGAAAAAGAAAGCATGAATGGTTGCAATTACCTTACTTCACTATACTTCAATACTTTCCATGGACATGCTGAGCCGTGCCACCATGGGTTTGTTTGAAGCCATGGTTTCTGAGGTCCGACTTCTGCCCAAAAAAGTCTGGACCCTGACCGGCCCTGATGTTTGGCGCCAGCAATGGGAAGTTCTGTGGCAGCGTGCTCTCAGGTCGAAATGATTCTGTGATCAGCACAGGGCCAAAGCTCAAGGTGCAGCTTCCAGAGTCGTGGGCCAGATTTCCCCCCAGCAAATCCTGCGAATATCGTTGTATGGACTCCTGATTCTTCTGGCATTAAGCTATTTTAGGGATTTTTAGGGGACCAGCCTTGTCCAGTTTACGTCAAGACCATGTTGGCCCAGGCTTTAGGCCCGGAAGTCTTGGTGATCCAGTGTGAAGCTCAGTTCATGAAGAGGGCCACAAGGCAACAACTTCAGCAATGACATTAGCCGACTTCGGTTTCTTTCTATGTCATCAATGAGCCATGCTGAAAGAACCGATGACACCACACAGGGCCTTCATTTTGATGATATTTTTTTCTTGTTTTTCTTGTTCACTTCGGGTCATTGGCTTTATTAGAACAAGCTGCGTCTTGCAAGTGGCTGGCGTTTGATACAATGCAGCGCAATAGATGCAAGAGCGGGACGTCAAACGTACAAGATGCCCACTGGAGACTATGTAAAGGTCTTTTGCTACTTTCTGCACGCAAGAACGTGACAAGTTGCATTCGCAACTGCTTTGAGGTGAGTGAATATGCTTATGTGGAATCCTGTCAAGACGGCAAGGGTTGATAGTTCATTGACGGTGACTTTTTCTGCAGTGCCAAGTGGGAGACTGGAACTGAACGACAATCACAATTTCAGGCTTTGCCTTTTTGCAATGTGTCCTGTTGGCATACTGCAACGCCCGAATTCATGTACCTGTTGTGGACAGTGCGCCAGAGTGATGTACAGAGGAAGCGGCGTACCACGCTCCTTGTCTCATTTGCCAAGGCATCAGCATTGCATGGAAGATGTTTCTCCTCAGCCTAGGCAAATGTCACACATACCATGAATGGGCATAGATGATGATGATGATACTGTACATGATAGTACAATGGTTCAAGTAATTTTGAAATATTTTGATCAAGTACTGGCATTAGGAGCTTCCAGAATAACATGGGAGGTATGCCACCTGCACAATTCCTGTCTCGCGGGAATAGTGACTCAGAATCCATTAGGAACCACGCATTGAATAATGAATACATAATAAAGCACAATAATACACTGTATCCAAAAAATGAAAGAGGCATTCGTGCATCCAAGGACACACCATCACTAATCAACTATGTCAAAATAAGAAGCGTGCCAATAACATGCCGATATGGGTGTATCCAAAAACGATGTATACCCCAAAAAATTGCCAGGACAAACATGACATATGATTCATATATATATATATATATGATGAGATGATTAACCGGCGGTGGATTTGGGGGGCCATTTTCCGACAGACCCTAATATCAAAAGATGCTACAGAGGCCTGCAACACTGGATGCGACACCTGGCTGCGCAAAAATGACTGGGCCTTTCTGGGTAGAACTTTTCGGGAGAAAATGAATGACCAATGAATGAAGATCTTCGCTGAGTTTCCATTTAATCCATTTTAATCCCATTTCAGTGGACTTGGATTCTTGTTGGTGCTGTCCATTCTGCTTGTTGGACAAATTGTACGGAGGAAACCATGGATGGATGGCTTGTCGTGACACCCGTGCACATTTTGCCACCTTCAAGTCTTGAGTCGTCTTGAGTTCTCGACGTGCAACTTTCAACTTCCGCTGGCTCTGGTTTTTCATCTGGCGTTTCTGCCACCTGTGCACAGTGCTTAGTACTAGACGCCATGGCGGCACCTGAGGCTGCGGGGTGCAGCATGAATTGCAGATTTTGGGGATCTTTGGGGCTGCAAAGCATAGGCAGAGAAAGGATAGATCTGGAGCAGTATCGAATGCAGAGAAAGCAGTCGGAACGTGCTGAAGCTATAGGATCAAGACTCCTTCAAGGCATTCATGTTGTTTGGTCAACCTGTGACGTTGACTGACCAGGTCAAATTTCGCAAACGCGTTCCTGTAGTGGAGGCCAGCGCCCAGTGGATCCACATATTTTCAAGCGATCAGTGGATTCGTTGAGAGGCCTTGCCACCATACGACTTAGCCAAGTCCAAGTTGGTGAACTTCGATCTTCTTGGGGAGCTCCGACGTGCACACGCGGATGAGGTCAGGGTCGATGTCAAATTGAACATTGACAGGATTGTAAACCATTGTAAACCACCTAGGACTAGGACGCCTCAAATAACGGCACATTTTTTAAAAAATAGTTCTTTGGTTCTGTATTTTTGGATGGATGTATAGCCCTTGAACTTAGATCGGCATGTGATCCCTGTCAGGCCAGACGACACTATGCAAGTCTTACTGCACCAAACGTGGGTTTGGTGGAGCGCAAATGCCCCTACGGCGCGCCTTTGCCACAGAGTCTTGCCACCATATTTTGGTAAATGGAATGCTACTAATAGGCAAATATAACAAGCATGTAGTAAGCACATATCAGAGCTATTGTGGACTGTCCGATTGGATCAAATTTATCATGACATATATATATATATATGTATATATATATATACCAATTCAAGCAAGCAGGGCCCTGCTTCATGACTTTCAAGGAAACGTGGAAAAAACGATAAAGAAAGGGCTGCCATTTCCACTACCACCCCTCACTGGTTGCGATGCCTTGCTCAGCTGCTTGTCACAGCCACCGGGCAAGGAAGATCCGAAAGACGAAGTCCAAAACGAAGATGACCCAGTCGCTACCGGAACTGCCGTGTGCGGAAGAGAAACCGAAACCGAGGAGGAGATTCCGCATGAAGGTTGGTGAACATGAGATCTTTGTTCCTATACTGACAGTTCGGTGATGACTCAAGGTGGAACCTAGAATTTTGAACAGTATCACTTTAAGAGTTGGCATCTTCGACGGATTCCGTCCATGGTGATGGGGGAGTGGCTTGGCACACCATCCTATCATACACCAAGGTTCGCAAGTTTCATCCAACTCCAAGACCTGGACCTCTGACGTTTTGAGATGTTTTGAGAGCAGGTTTTGACATGTTTTGACGCATTTCTTGATTTCTTGGAGCTGTTTCTTTGATTTAGACGTCTGTTTGATTCCATCTGATTCTATTTGATTTTATTTGTATATCAAGAATGGCTGCTGTTACTTGCACCTTCCAGTTGGATGCTCGAATAAAACACATGGACCCCAAATGACCCAGGGGTTGCCTGGGGCGCTTCAGGATACCTGGAGTGCAGCTTCTGGAGATTCCATATGACCCCACCACCCTCTCCAACGAACATGCTGAGCGCATCAATGCTCTTGACAGCCAGATTGCTGAAAAGGCTGGGGCTTTTTTTGGGACGAAAAAAGGACGAGACTGGGAAGGCCTTTGACGAGATTTGACCTGGGATGAAAATCAGCAGATCCAGATAGATCCAGCCCAGGATTCCATCAGATTCGGATTCCATCAGATTCCTGTCGACTTCGTAGCTCCCAAGCCTTCGACTTCGATCTTCCAAGTTCCAAGTTTTCAGGAGCTGAGCCTGGAGAAGTCAGGCCGTTCCCTGCCGCGGAGTTTTTCCTTGACCCCCAGCTTCGACTTCGATCAGTTGCCCAAGGGTCAGAGTTCTGAGGCCAAAACCCAGGCAGGAAATCATGGAAAGATGATGGAAAGATGATGGAATTCTCTGAAATTCTTTGGTGAACCCCAAGATCCTTTGATTCAAAAACCCCATGTCCCCCAAATAGACGTCTTGATCCATCGTGGAGCTCAAGAAAACTCCCAGGCTTACCCTCTCAGTCTGCATCACCCCCCATGATATGATGAAATATGTAGTGGAAAATTATATAAATGATGGAAGGCCACTGTGGATGTATGCAAAGCCCTTTGATTCTGGTTGTGTCACTGTTGTGTCAGAAGGATTCCAAGGGCATCTTCTTTGCGAAGTAGTTTATTTTCCAAAATTGGACAATACGAAGCATTCGTGGCATTTCATGCAAGTTGTTCGGAAGTGTTGGACAGATGCTGGCTTCATTGTGAATCGTTACCCCACTGTGGTCTCAACTTTGGCCTAAATTCCGACCATGTGGACATGAACCACATGTTTCTGATCTGCGCACTTCACTGCATCCTGGTTTTCAGCTGGTTTGGCCAGTACTTCCCGCGAAGTACGAACATCATCAAGGAGATTGGTTGCGGCAAGGACAGGGACACAGGGCAGGGGCATAGATCCGACTCATGTCCGAACCCCCGTCCATCTGAACTCTCACAAGATGATTTTCAGGTCGCTTCAACCAACTAACTAAGATAGTCAAAGGGGTTGTAAACTTGCAATTCTTACCGCTTTCTACAGTACCCCCTTCCCCCCCTTGTATCTCGGGCGTTGAGAGCAACCCTGATTTTCTTTCTCTGCCAATGGGCTTTTGTTTATAAGCACCTTTTCATGTTCGAATTACTGACATGTGTATGTTGAAGTAGAATCCAATAGACTGGCCACATGTTAGATGCTTGATGACTCTTGATGGTGCGCTTCTTATTTGAAAGCATGCCGCATGCCCGTATGAGCTTGTTCCAGCTACATTAGGATCCGCGCTATTGCAGACCATGGGGTCCTTATGAACAGCATCGAGAGGCCCACAGAAGGATGAATTTCACTGGTTTTGATGCGTTGATATGATTGATACCCCATGAAATATGCAACATGCGCAGAAAGATGTAAGATATGGAACACACACACACACAACATACATGTCGGGTGTTTTGAGTCATGAGGTTCTGGTCATTGTTGGGAGACTGCTGTTTCCACGAGTGTCAGTATTACTGTCTTGCTGTGAGACAGGCAGAACTGCAGAACCGAGTTCAGTCTGCGGGAAATATTTGTCACGGCAGGCCTACTGGAGGCAAGCTATAGCCTCCTCCTTAGTCTGGCCATGTGCAATCCACACGACGTTAGGACAGTGATCTTGAAACAAGTGACCTGTAGACAGCCTGTAGAACACTGTAGATTAAGAGCTCAAGATCTCATCCTTTGTGAAGATTAAGAAGTCGACCACATAGCAGACGCCAACGCAGGCCTCTGGTTTGAGGGCAGTTTAATTTGTTCACCTCCCAGCCATTCCCAGCCAGACTTTTAGACATTTTTGGGCACAAGTTGCTGTCCACCCAAGGCTCTATCATCAAAGGCATGAGTGAAGCACCAGATTTCGACATTCTCAGCTTGCACAGATCTTGACAGAAGATCAGAATCAAATCAGGACAAATCATAGTGGTTTTGGACAGCCTACTTATAGTCTACTTATAGAATCTCAAGCCTCTGGCCATCAAACAGGGCAATGGAATAAAGGAAACACATCCCCATTTAGTCTGATGAATTTCCAATCATTAATAAGCTGGTATTTTCAATTGCCATGTCTGATATATTGGACCATTGAGGACTTGCCTTGTGTTGTCGCAGTTCCCCTCCATGGCTCTTGTACAAAGGCACCAAGTCAGCCACCAGACGCGGCTGAATCTATCAGAACATTTGGATCAAACTTGGAAACCTCTTTCTTTCTTGGAAACCAGTAGTGATCTTTAGATATCTTTAGTGTAGTGGAAGCTGGTGGTCTCAGACAGCCCTTGGAGGAGGCTTTCACATGCTTTCACCACGGTCAAAGTTCCGAACGGAACCGTTGACGCCAGGTTTGGAGGCGCCAGTTTGGCGGCAAAAGACACGGCAACTCCACTTTCCCTATCTTTCCTTGGTCTTCCGTTGATTTCTTTTCAAACTTGGATAGGTTTGTTTTGGCGATTTGAGTTCCTACCTATGGACACTTTCCTGTCTAGTCTCAACAGAACGTCTCAACCAAACAAACTGGTCTCTGGGCACCTTGGAAGATGCAGTCCTGTCAGATTCCATTAGCCAGACGGGCTGTGGTGAGAAGATGTATGTAGAACTTGTTAGAATTATGACAATCCGAGATATCATCGAAGTATGAAATACCTCTTTACTCCGACCTTTACTCTTATTCACAACCCTATGAATGCTAAATGGACTGAATGATGCACTCATGGAATACACAACAAATTGGAATCCAAGTCCATGATGCCGCCGGATAGGTCCAAAGACTGGCCAAAGTTGGGACATTTTTTTTCAATATAAGAATCAGCAAACATCCAGAGATTGCCCTGGGATTGGAAGCGCATGATATCGTTTCTGTCACAGCACGCCACAAATCCTGACGTTGCTCAGCCAGAAAGAGTTTGGTAATGTTTGGTCCAAACAAATCAAATCATCGAAAGCCGAAACTTGCTTGGCGTATACAGAGCTATTTTATCTCTGAGGTTCTTAGATCCTTAGATCCTTACATCCCAATATATACTTGTATCATCTTGTATCATCCAAAATGATGAAAAATGATCCAAAATGGACGAGCCAAGATCGACTTGTTTCCACACTTCAGAGATCTTCAGAGCCATGGCTGAGCCGGACGTCTTTGACCCCTATGAAATCCTTGGAGTCAGCGGAGGTGCTACACTGGAGGAGTGACATTCAGTGGTGACTCCAGTCAGTCATTCTACATCAATCATCAACCAATCTATAAAGTCTATCATCTACCTCATTTATCAATATTTATCAAATATTCATTAACAGTCATGACATTGATATTTCGTCATCATTCTGCTGGGCTCCTTGAAGTCTTCCTTGGCTTCTAGATTTGCGACCAGGAGATTGATAGGGCGTACCAACGTTTGGCTTTACAACATCGCCCAGACTCGGCCTGCGAACTGGCTGGGGGGTCATTCTGGTGAAGAGTAAACTGAGTAAACGAAGCTCTTCGAAATTCATACCCGAGCCTGCAGCGGATTTAGTATTTATTATATTTATTCATGTCAAGTATCTCTGAAATATGTTGCCCAAAATTCAGAGAAGATGTGGAGGTGGGTAGCATTTTTGAGCTTGGAGCTTGAGGCCATTGGTGCCGCAACTCGCATCATTAAGGAATCCTCCCCATTTTTTCCTTGGAAAAAAGTCATCCTCCCCCCCTGTGCTGAGGATTGAAAAGGGTACTCTTGAAAAAAAAGGACCCCGCATCACAGTCTTCCTTGCACATCCAATGTACTGTAGAGTCTGTAGAACTAGAATACAGCTTTGCATTACACAAGGTGGTGCCTCATGCTTCGCAGAGTTGCTTTACGTATGACTATAACAATAGGTTAGATTAAGTAGGGTTCATGATGGAGATATCGAATCTATAGTTGGATGGGTTTATAAACCAACTTATAACTGGGGGGGTCACCTTGCATGCCTTGACGCATGTTTGTCCTTCACATGAACACTCAATTTGCTTGACAGGCAGCATTCCAGAGGATCAAGGAAGCAAGGAATATGTTGACGATAAGCACAAGGAGAGCCTTCCAACGCGACAGCATTCAGCAGATCCATTGAATCATACCAGTCCAATTTTGTGGTTTTGTGTTTTCACCACATACCGTTTTTGGGTCTTTGGAGGCCACGCCTCCTTCTTCCGCCCCCTCATTGTTCACATGTGGTCACACTTGTGTATCTGGACTTAGATGCCGTACTTGAGGCTCCAGAACCCGAATGTCAAACTCTCTCTCTCTCTCTATATGTATCAATATACGTGTATATATATATAAATATGACCTCATATATACACACGTATTTTGGTATCTTCCAGATCACTCCTTGAAGTCACTTCCAAAATGCGTGTTGAAGCATTTTGCAATCTGAAGTGTTGCGCAATTTCCAAATTTTCAAAGGGTTTTTCCTGTTGGAAAATCAATGAAAATCAATGGATCCAGGAGGCCTCCAGATGCTGAGGACTCGCTGCGGAAGATTTTTTCTGGCGGTGTTTTCCCCAAAAATCCATCATCCATCATCCAATTGGCCAACCATTTGGTTTATTACTAGATTTACCACATAAAATTCAGGCAGATGGGCCTGGACCAGCTTTGATTCTGTTCAGGTCTGGGATTGGCTGCCGGCTGTACAGTATCAAGACATAGCAAGTACATAGCCGTGTCTCAAACTTGTATGCATATAGATACATAGTGGATATAATTATTAATATTTATATATTAATATAGTTATGTCAATCGGCAAACCACATCCAGGACCGCCAAGCTCTTGCACGGCCTCGGACGGACGAGGCCAGTGGATTTTCACAAAATCCGGGCAGCAAAATATCACTGGGAGCTATGGCCCAAAAATATCCAAACATATGGTGTAACAATGTGTGGTTTTGACATGTCTTGACATGTTTTGACCAATTGTGACCTATCCATACCCTATTCCCATATTTGCTGATGCTAGTACATATACTATACAGAAAGTAAAACAATAAGATTAGTTGCTATACGTCAACAACATCGTTTCTGTCATACCATCAGCCATCAACTATATCGAAACAACTTGGTGAAATATCGTCACCTATTCTTGATGGTGGATAGTAGTGCAAGCGTCTATGCTCAGAAGGCAGGAATTCACTCCCCAATCCTGTCCATTTGAGGGTCCAGGCAGGGCGAGCACATGCAATTCTAAATGTCCCGAAAATCTGGAAATGCGGGTGTTGGGACCACGAATACTCTTGTCTAATTGGCTGAGACAGGCCAAGGAATTGGTAGTAGTTCAAAGTATATATATATAATATATATATATAAAGTATGGACGCATCTTGAGCCATGCCAAATCACATTTCAACATGAACCGATATTTATATTTTTGCAACCCTGCTGGTGGTTGAATACTAGGCCGAATCAGCGCAGTTCTTCGTTCAGCACCACTGTGGTCTGGAAGATGAGGTGGACACTGGAAGATTCTGGATCATCCCAAATGTAGCCAAATGTGCCTAAATCCCCCACTAAACCGTGGTGGATGGGATTAAATTAGTTCATTTAGTTCTAGATCTTCCCAGAATCAGTGAAATGATTGAAATGATGTGATGGTTCAAAATAGCTTCAACCGTCAAGGCTTTGCCCTTTTCCTTGCTCCAATTTTGTTTACTTCTTTGTTGCAGACAAGTCCTTCAAACATGCTGAATGTGTTGACAGGATGACGCACCACAGGAGCATGCTGGGTCGACTGCGTGCCCATTAACATTGCCGAAGTGTTGGCACTCTCCTGCCGATGTAGTAGAGGATTGAGCTTGTTAATTGAATCCAGGAAAGCAATGGAAAGCATAGTTTGATTTCCAGGCCTTCCCTGCGACTGACTGTGAATCACTGTAGCCATGCGTAGCCACGTGTAGCCACAGATAGCCATGCGTAGCCATGTGTTGCTTTGTTTGAGGATCTTTTCTTACTGGATGTCGCTGCTTTTATGCGGCCGTTTAGACCGACTGCTCCTTGTGGAGGGGGGTGGTATTAGTCAATCTGAGTCATGCTTTCAATGTGGCCCCAGATAGTCAACCTTTTCACGACATGAGGTTTTCGGTGAGCATTATTGCAAGTGGTACTGTAGCTGAAGAAAGAGTTCAAACTCAGGAAAAAATGGCCGATCCAAAATAGCTAAGTTCTAGAAGTGGGTTAGACGCTTTGATCACACACCCAACACAGTGCTTGGAGGACTGTCTTAACTTCTTCCAGCTTCACACATCCATCCTTGATCAGACTCACAAGGTCGAACACAACTAGCTGGGCAAAGTTCCTGCTTCCAAAACCTTCCAAAGTTGATGGGCGAAGCGTTCCATGAAGTTTGCGCCATGGCTCCTTTGCAGTTTGCGCGACTTCGACCAAGTGGCTTCCGTCAGGCTGCTTTGTTGGCTCATGTTGGCTCGGTTGTGGGACGCTTGATGGGATAAGGAAGGGCAAAAGCATCATTGATCCCCCTGAGGCAAGACGATCAAGGATCCATCTCACAGGCTTTTAGAGTTTGATTTTCATAAATCAGACGTGTAAAGTCGTTTTTGCTGGAGTTCATTGACCACAGGACACATTTCACAGTCAATTTCATTCTTCCTTGGATTGCATCCATGGTTTTTTCCGATTTTTTTTGATCAGGCTTTCACCTCTGCAGGCCTTGGGGTTCAGTGTTACCAAAACTTCCGAGCAGAGTGCTCTTGGGTTTTTGGATGTTCTTGGCATGTGATATGGCGTTCAACGATCCACGAGCAAATAAAGTCTTGATCAAAGGTCCAAGAAGAGTGTTGCATCGTGAGCTGAGTTGTTTTGAGTTGGTTTGGAGTGGATCCGATCTGGTTTGTTTTGATAGTGACAAAATACTGACAAATGCATGCTAAAAGCCGCTGTTGAACTGGAAACTAAGCTGGCATATTTATCCTACTGTAGCAACATTTTTTGACTGTTCTCCTTCCTCAAGAAAGGCAGGCGGCGCTCGGCATATTGGCTTTCTAGCCTTTGGCTGCTTGCAGCATTCTTTGCATGCCTCTTGCACCGCAAAGTCCATCAATTTTAACTGCATGTTTTGGCTCCAGTTTTGCAGCCTGGGCCGCCTGCTTCTCTTCATTGCTTGACTTCTGTCCTCTTCTGTCCTCAATCTGTTTCTGTTGGTACCGTGATGATTTCACCTTTAGGCGTCTCTCGGTTTGGTGCAAAGATTCCTACAGGATGTCTGGGCACGTCTTGACAACCTGATCCCAAGGCCTTTGGTGGGATGTTCTGACCTTCGCTTCAAGCTCTTCTGCCACAGGCAACTTCAGCCCGTGCATACCTGTACCAGCTGGTTTGAGAGTTCAAAGCCATTGATATCATGTGACAGCGCCCAATGAGCAAAATCTGGTGTTCAATCTTTTTATCATACTTTATCATGCCCAGGCCGCGAAGATATCAAGGTCCTCAATTGTCCCAGCAGCTGACCATCCCCCTTGAAATAGTGAGGGCAGCCGTAGTCAACATCAATAGATCAATGGAAAATTCACTGGATCGGTTTAAGGGAACATCTTAACCGGAAACAATGTTTTTTTCCCATGAAATATGGGTGTTCCTGTCAATTTTCCCTTGAACCAATCCATTGAAAACTACTCAAACTCGTTGATGTTGCGAAGGTAGATCTTCCAGGAGCCTGCTGCAGGCTCAGCAGAAGGAAATCCGGGCCATTTTGGTGGTTTTCTATGGGTTCGGCATGGTTCGGCCATAGGGCCATCAACATGAAATAGACTAAGATAGACCAACCGAGGGCTCGCCAAATTTCGCTTATTTTAGGTCACTGTAAAGTCAGTGCAAAATTGTGCGCGATATGAGAGTTGGATCCGACGCAACGAAGAAGTTCTAAGATATAACTCGTCTCTTGAAATGGGAACCAAACATCAGAGGGTTTTCACATCTCCTATAAAGGCCTCTCTCACCATTGGCCCGATAGGCTAAGTGTTAGGCATGGTTGTAAGATGTTGTAATTGGACCTGGTAGATATTCAGCTGAATGCAATGGGTGGAAAAATGAGCAATCTCAGCTTTGATCCAACGGAACCCCCCAGGAGTGGAGTGGCGCTGGCCTGCAACTGGGAGTGGCGAGAGTCGGCCAAGTCCTTGCGAATTTCGCTCCACAAGTGAGCTCCATTGCCACCTGGCAGCTGCGAGTTGGAACGATTGATCAGTTGATTTGCTGATGAGGGGAGCTTGACGGAAGACCCAGAGCTATCTTTACAGGATCTTGACTGGATAGAACTATCTCAATCCGTCAATGTTGGTCACATGTGACTTGATGCTCAGAATGCTCAGGTTGTGACCTCTATGGTTCTGCTTGGTGTAATGGGTGCGGCAGGGTCCAATGATGGCACTGCTGGTGGACCAGATTGGAATACAAACGTGCTTAGGCCGCAAAGACTGGTGCCTGATTTGATGTTTCCAGAATCCATCAGAATCCACCTGCATCCATCTTTGAATGAACTAGATCCCAACATCGGTCACCAACGACAGTGCAACCATGAGGTCCAAGTCAGTGTCTCCAAGCAACAAGGGACTTCAGATGATGGAACAGCATGGTCACTGAGTTGCAGCAAGTCACAGCTCTTTTTCAGGAGCCGCGTCGTTGATACCCGGCTCCTGAGAATTTCTGAAGCTGGAGAAAGGAAGTCACATTTCTTTCGTTATGGACATCATGCAGCCATGTTGCTTTTTGAGATGCTGTCAGGAGAGAATGACATGCAAAACTACACTTTGGCTGGGGGTTAGCTGGCTACAGTCTGTGTTTGCTGCATTTTTGAAAGAAGATCCGAATGCCTTGAACTTGAGAAAATCCCAGCCCACTTCCAGGATGTAAGATGATGTAAGGGCTTGTAAGGTGCATCAGTAGTCTGACCAACTCCCCTGCCCTTTAAGTTGTCACAAGTTGTCTATTCCAGCATAGAGTTCCATGATGTTCTATGTCTGCATAGACTGATCTCTGATCCGACAGACGTAATTCCCTCGCATCCAAGACACATTCCACTGAACTTCCATCATGAAACGCTTGAAACGCTTGCCTTGCCATGGTGAAAGCCCAGCGACGTGCTCGGCGTCGTTTACGACGCTTCTTATGGCATGGTGCACAAGGTGTGCGGCTGGCACCAGCTTTCCAGAGAACGATTCATAAGCGGATCAGCACTGCTCAGCTGTCGGCATGTGGTTTCTTTCGGGAATGCCCAAATGAGGACGCCCGGCCACTGGTTGATGCTGCACTGTTGATGTTGGTTGAGCTGCAAGTTGAGTCCTGAAAACCTTGTGATTTTGTTGACTTGCGCCAAGAGTCAGATGTTATCAGATGTTATCAGATGTTATCAGATGTTATCAGATGTTATCAGATGTTATCAGATGTTCCATGTTCTCATCTGTGGCCTAGCCCTAGTGGCCCTAGTGCGGCCCTTGTGTCTTGAATCAACCCATGAAACAAATTGAAGTCTTTGCATCCTGCGACATCCTGCGACATCCTGCGACTCGAGCCCTTTTAATCCCGACCCAAAATCTTTCCGCTCGTGCTGCCGTGCTGCTGAAGTCTTTGGAACTTTTTCGCCATGGGTGCCGGAGCCTCCGCGATGCCGGAGATGCTAAAGATGATTCCGGAAGATGAAATGGAGGAGGCGGTGAAGCAACTTCCTCCTGAGGCCATTGAACTCATGAAGAAAATGGTTGCAGTAGCTGAAGAACACCAGGCCAAGGAGAAATCTTCGACCTCGGAGTCCTCGGAGGCCAAAGGAGCGTCCAAAGAGTCCAAGGAGGGCTCCAAGGCCTATGAAGCCATCGAGAAGATTGGCAACTCAGATGAAGCCTCCTCGATGAGACGAGCGATCTTTATTTGGGATGAGAAGACGGCCAATGAGGCCTTGAAAGAAATCTGCAAAGACAAAGTCCCAGAGAAGGTCAATGGCGCCATGCTTGTGATGGATCAAGTGGAGTGGGCAGATCCTGCAGATGCCAAGAAATGGCCAGAAGCCTTGACGTTCTGTGCTTGGGATTGGTTCTCAGATCAGCCCAACATGGACGTGCCCTTTGTCCCACCAGAGAAGGCCAAGGAGAACTGCGCCTACCTGTGGGATGAGAAGACGACAGATGCGTGGCTCGAGAAGATTGGAGTGAAACCGGTGGGCAAGAAGGGCAAGGACTTGATCGACAATTCTGGGCGCAGCGAAGCTTTCTCAGACATGGATGAAGCTGACAAGGTCCTGGAGAAGTTGAAGGATTTGTCGATCATCTTCATGAAAGACATTGTGAAGGCTGCACAAGCTTCATAATCATAGACAGTATTTTGTGGCTGTGAGATTTCGGCATTTCTGTGTTACATGTCAGCTTACTCAAAGCTTCCAAGAAGCGGGTAGGCCGACCATTGAGGTGATGGCCTCAACAACCCCCCATGAATCCGTAGCTGGTGAATGCCATTCGCCCATTTGGCTCGTAGCTTCACCACACGGGTTCTATTTTGTATCTTACCACAAGCAGTTGTGGTAGACCATTGCCAAATCTCCTCCAGAAAAATGCAAAGTTTTCACGTTTTCACAACTGATGGGAGGTAGGTTGGTTGCCGCTGGTTGACTTGATTATGAGAATTCTTCGTTCACAAGGCCTTCAGGAAGATCCTTGATGACACCTCTTGCTTATAGATCTTATAGTCAAGAAACTTGTCATCGCTGTTGTGTTCAAAATCATCAACAAAGATTCGAGAAGCAGTTTCCAGCAATTAATGGCAAGCTTTGATCAGAAAAGTCGGCGTGCTTTTCAAGGTGTGAACAAGTGACCACATCTTTCATCATCTTTAGGAGAGCGACTGCTCCATCTTTCAGCTCATCTCGCTGATTCCAACATCTGCACGACTCAGCCGTGGCGCTCGCAGATTGCTTCCCCTGGTGCTGGCGTGGCTGGCAGGGCATCGGCGGCTCCCCTTGGGAGTCGCTGGCGTTTTTTCGGATAAGGACAGACCACGAGACCTGCGTTGCAAGGAGTTTTGTTGAGGTCCGCTATGGTCCCATTATACGTCTTATATCGTAGTATGCAGTATACAGATGTATACAGTAATTATAAGGACGACTAAGGATGTAATTATAGAATACATACAGTAATACATCCCAAGGTTTCAAATTGAAACTGTTTTTACATGTTTTTACTTACAACTTTCTGTATTGTTGTCGGTGTGGAGAGATCCTGACAAGGCAGTGCCCTATTGTAGGTGGGCAGACACCGTTTTTTTGCGCCAGGACATGCGACCAGTTACGCTCAGAGCGAAGCTTATCTCACAATTTCTTGGCACACCATTTGGTGAATTTGGTTATAGAATGTTATGAATATGTAGTAATATTATGTAATAACCAAATGTAGTAATATTCATATTATGAATATGTAGTCATATTATGTAATATTAATTACGATTATAAGTCTATAGACGCAAAGAGGCTCTGTTTCATTCACGTTGATCCATCTAATATCCATCTATTGACATTGGGTGCCAAGTTTCAAAATTAAATTGTCCCATGATACTAAGCACTCTTGCAATGGGTTTGATTTATTTTGTTGAACTTGTTGATGGGAAGTGCTCATTTGCCCAACTGATTGGGAGAAGGCAAACCTTATGCCATCCCAGGCCATCCCAGGCCACATGGTTGCCATGAGTTCTCGCATGTCGCACGAGGCTCACCCATTCCCAGCGCAGGGAACGCTGCTATGATGCCGTGGTGGCCGTGAGGCTCCTGGCCCTGAGCCGATTCTTACTCTGCGACAAGCTGCAAGAGGTGGTTGAGAGGTGGAAACGGATGGACGGTGCTGTGAAATGACCCTGAATGAAACGGCGAAATCCGCATGAAAAACGGCGTTAACATTTTGAAAACATGCACGGGGTTCCGGAGTTCTACATTTTCACATGTCAGATCGACCTGCACGCTGATTGCTTTGAATTAGCCTTGCTGCGAGCCGTGCGATAGGTGGATTTGGCGCAGTGGATCTGTGGGACGCAAAGCTGTGGCTTTGCAACTCTTGGAAGGCGATTCCAAGGAGATTTGCTGAGGGTTTTGTCGAACGTTGAGCGCTGACAGATGGATGCCATGGAAGACAGACCATCGTATGCCACAGTGTAGAGAAATTTAACCAAATTATACCAGCAGTGGCACATTGCGGCCCAAAGCATAACAATATGCTTTGCACTGGAATGTTGTTCTGAGACCTTTGGCGACTTGCAATGGTTGAAGCCGGTCACGGCCTCGCGTGCGCACGCGCATGTCGGTCTCGCGTGCGCACGCGCATGCTGGTCTCGCACGCGCACGCGCACTAATTGCGCACTTATTTTTTCTCGCGCAGGTCAACGAAAATGACGTCTCGGCTGCGGCTCGCCTGCGCACGCTGTGCGGCTCGCCTGCGCACGCTGTTGCTGGTCTGGGACCTTGCAGATGTAAGGCTCCCTTCTACTCTAAAATAGAGGCAGTAGCTCAGTTTGACGGCTCCCTTCTCCTCTAAAATAGAGGCGCAACGACAAAGAGCCTCTGTTCTCCTCTAAAATAGAGGCATTAAGAGGCAGCACTCCTCCCTTCTCCTCTAAAATAGAGGGAGGAGCTCCGTGTCAAGGCTCCCTTCTCGTCTAAAATAGAGGCGCAACGGCAAAGAGCCTCTGTTCTCCTCTAAACTAGAGGGATTAAGAGGCAGCAGCTCCTCCCTTCTCCTCTAAAATAGAGGGAGGAGCTCCGTGTCAAGGCTCCCTTCTCCTCTAAAATAGAGGCAGTCCGTCCTCCGCGACAGAGATTCCGTTCTGCTCTAAAATAGAGGCAGTAGCTCACTTTGACGGCTCCCTTCTCCTCTAAAATAGAGGCGCAACGACAAAGAGCCTCTGTTCTCCGGGATTAAGAGGCAGCAGCTCCTCCCTTCTCCTCTAAAATAGAGGGAGGAGCTCCGTGTCAAGGCTCCCTTCGCGCAATGACAAAGAGCTTCTGTTCGCCTCTAAAATAGAGGCATTCCGTCCTCCGCGACAGAGATTCCGTTCTGCTCTAAACTAGAGGCAGTAGCTCAGTCTGACGGCTCCCTTCTCCTCTAAAATAGAGGCGCAACGACAAAGAGCCTCTGTTCTCCTCTAAAATAGATGCATTAAGAGGCAGCAGCTCCTCCCTTCTCCTCTAAAATAGAGGGAGGAGCTCCGTGTCAAGGCTCCCTTCTCCTCTAAAATAGAGGCGCAATGACAAAAAGCCTCTGTTCACCTCTAAAATAGAGGCATTCCGTCCTCCTCGACAGAGATTCTGTTCGGCTCTAAAATAGAGGCAGTAGCTCAGTTTGACGGCTCCCTTCTCCTCTAAAATAGAGGCGCAACGACAACGAGCCTCTGTTCTCCTCTAAAATAGAGGGAGGAGCTCCGTGTCAAGGCTCCCTTCTCCTCTAAAATAGAGGCGCAATGACAAAAAGCCTCTGTTCACCTCTAAAATAGAGGCATTCCGTCCTCCTCGACAGAGATTCTGTTCGGCTCTAAAATAGAGGCAGTAGCTCAGTTTGACGGCTCCCTTCTCCTCTAAAATAGAGGCGCAACGACAACGAGCCTCTGTTCTCCTCTAAAATAGAGGGATTAAGAGGCAGCAGCTCCTCCCGTCTCCTCTAAAATAGAGGGAGGAGCTCCGTGTCAAGGCTCCCTTCTCCTCTAAAATAGAGGCGCAATGACAAAGAGCCTCTGTTCTCCTCCAAAATAGAGGCATTCCGTCCTCCGCGACGGAGATTCCGTTCTGCGCCTGCCATAGATGCGGTAGCTCACTTTGACGGCTCCCTTCTCCTCTAAAATAGAGGCGCAACGGCAAAGAGCCTCTGTTCTCCTTTAAAATAGAGGGATTAAGAGGCAGCAGCTCCTCCCTTCTCCTCTAAAATAGAGGGAGGAGCTCCGTGTCAAGGCTCCCTTCTCCTCTAAAATAGAGGCGCAACGGCAAAGAGCCTCTGTTCTCCTCGAAAATAGAGGGATTAAGAGGCAGCAGCTCCTCCCTTCTCCTCTAAAATAGAGGGAGGAGCTCCGTGCCCGTCCTCCGCGACAGAGATTCCGTTCTGCTCTAAAATAGAGGCAGTAGCTCACTTTGACGGCTCCCGTCTCCTCTAAAATAGAGGCGCAACGACAAAGAGCCTCTGTTCTCTTCTAAAATAGAGGCATTAAGAGGCAGCAGCTCCTCGGCATTAAGAGGCAGCAGCTCCTCCCTTCTCCTCTAAAATAGAGGGAGGAGCTCCGTGTCAAGGCTCCCTTCTCCTCTAAAATAGAGGCGCAATGACAAAAGGACTCTGT